GTGCACGAAGTGCCACGTTCAAGGCCACACAAGAACTCAGTGTAGAGCTAGATAACAAATTATATTCTTTAAGTCTTGTCTAATTTTATTGCGTTGTTGTGGATCAATTGCGCAGAACGTCGCGCCGGGTTTGGTGAGGTGGCCCATTAACTGATCCGGCCCACTTACTGATCCTTGACGTTAACGTGCCCCACCAGTAAGCTGGCCACACCAGTAAGCTGGCCGCCCCACCAGACTCGACGCAACGTTCTGCGCAATTGAGCTACAACAACTTATTAAAATAAGACAAAACTTAGTAGTATAATTATTTATCAAGCTCTACATGAAGTCCGAGTATGTCCTTCAACATGGCACTTCGTACACGTTGGTGGCGCGCGCCGACGTCGCTCACCAGCCTGGCTCTGGCTAGCCTCCATCACCACTCTCTCTGCCTCTGCAGCTAACTGCTGAGCCTGCCGCACCTAGAGCACTCCACCAGAAGCAATATATTGACGTTGCTGATGCTGCTTTTGTTGTTGCCGCTGATTTTCTGCACGTAGCTTCTTATTCTCTTCTATAAGTATTGTTGCGGATTGCATTGCAAGCTGAGCGCTTTTTGCAAGTTGGCGTAGTGCAATACTTGTTGGGCTCTCTGGCTGCCGCCGCAGTCGTTCTTGGAGATAGCGCACCTGCTGCTGAACCTCTGCTACTGTATGTGGTGTCTCTGTCTGCGCTGCTACCTGCTCTACTGCCTGTTCTATAACGTTACTCTCTGTGGTTGTCTGTGGTGGAGACGGCGTTCTAGCTACTGTAAGCGACGATAGAACGCGATCTGGATAGAGAGGGACAAGGCCTGTTGCCTAAAAGCCTGCCTGGATATTCTGCTGCGTGAAGACTATTCGCCGGATCCGTGTATAGGCTGTAAGGAAGTCTATCTTGTCAACGTGGTAGACGCCTTGGCGGGCAAGCTCCTCAACCTCACGTCCGTACGCGCGCTTAAGAGGGGAGTAGCAGCTCACGTCTAGAGGCTGGAGGAGATGAGAGGTATGAGGTGGCATGTAGAGAGTGATGATCTTGTTCTCTGCGCAGTACTAGTCGAACTCTGGCGTAGCGTGGCTTTTATGGCCATCTAGGATAAGAAGTCGATAGACTCCAGCAGTACGAGCCACTGTATGCTGATTGAAGTGCTTTACCTACTCTACGCCAAGCTGATCAGTCGTCCAGCCGTTCTCTGATACTGCGACAGTCCAGTCTAGTGGGAGGTCGCGGTACCAGCTGCTCTGATGGGCCTTACCAGCCAGGATTATAAAGGGTGGGAGACACCAGCCAGACGCGTTAATACACTTGATTACTGTTACCCACTCACGATTGCCTGGCTGTATAACAACTGCTCGGCCTACTCTATTAGAGCTAGTAACAACTTTTGACGTTGCAGCGACGCCTATAGCGAATCCAGTCTTATCAAAGTTGTAGATATCCTAGTCTAGCACACTATACGCCTAGCGCGTCTCCTTTACTAGCTTAAACCACGCTGCAATCGCAATAGGATCCTTAGAGTTAGCGCGCTAGCTATTAAGCCTTCTAGTCCACTTTATCTGAAGCTCTGGCTGGCTCTGGATGAAGCGCGACACCTAGTTCTTGCCAACAGGTAGTGGAGGTGGATCTTAGCCACGCGCGGCGAGTAGAGCGTCTGCCATTCGTCGTACGTTAATAATATGAGGTGGAAAACCACGTTGATTAAGGTCTAGGATCTACTGTACGAGAGACTGTTCTTCAATAGGTAATAGCTTACGCCTAGCAGATGGAATCTCTGATCGTGGCTGAACACCCTGGAGACGCGTCTGGAGAGTTGATTTTGGTACGTCATACGCTGCCGCAAGTGCGCGTACTGATTGTTTTAGATTATTATAATAAGAGGCTATAGCAAGACTTAATCTGCCTTCACGAGAAGTCTGTATAGAGCGTTGTTGTCGCGGCATTGCGGTGGTTGTGCAGAGTGTCGCGTCGAGTCTGGTGGGGCGGCCAGCTTACTGGTGTGGCCAGCTTACTGGTGGGGCACGTTAACGTGCGGGATCAGCGAGCTGGCCAGATCAGCAAGCTGGCCACCCCACCCCACCTAACCCAACTCTCTTCACTATTAATCCACAACTACGTAATAAAATAAGATAAAATTAAAAAAATATAATTTATTATCTGGCTCTACATTGAGTTCTTCTGTGACCTTGAACGTGGCACTTCGTGCACGTTGGCGGCGCGCGCTGACGTCGCTGACTGCTATCACTCTGCTCAGCCTCTATAACTACTCTTTCTGCCTCTGCAATAAGCTGCTGAGCCTGCTGTACCTAGAGCACCCCACCAGAAGTAATATACTGACGCTGCTGATTCTGCTTTTATTGTTGGCGCTGATTTTCTGTACGTAGCTTCTTATTCTCCTCTATAAGTATTATTGCTAATTGCATCGTAAGCTAAGCACTTTTCGCAAGCTGGCGTATCGCAACGCTCGTTGGACTCTCTGGCTGGTGGCGCAGTCGCTCTTAGAGATACCGTATCTGCTGCTGAAGCTGCTCTACTGTATGTGGTGTTTCTGTCTCTTCTGCTATCTGCGCTGCTGTCTGTGGTGGAGATGGTGTTCTGGCTACTGTGAGTGACGATAGAACGCGATCTGGATAAGGAGGGACAAGTCCTGTCGCCCAAAAGCCTGCCTGGATATTCTGCTACGTGAAAACTATCGGCCGGATCCGTGTATAGGTTGTAAGGAAGTCTATCTTGTCAACGTGGTAGACCCCATGCCGGGCGAGCTCCTTAACCTCACGCCCGTACGCGCGCTTAAGAGGAGAGTAGCAGCTCACATCTAGTGGCTGTAGAAGGTGCGACGTATAAGGCGGCATGCAGAGAGTGATAATCTTATTCTCTGTACAGAACTGGTCAAACTCTAGCGTAGCGTGGCTGCTGTGGCCGTCTAGAATAAGAAGACGATAGACTCCAGCTGTACGAGTCATAGTATGCTGGTTGAAATGCTTTACCCACTCTACACCAAGCTCATCTGTTGTCCAGCCATTTTCTGAGACGCCGATAGTCCAGTCTGGTGGGAGGTTGTGATACCAGCTGCTCTGGTGGACCTTACCAGATAGTATCACGAACGGTGGCAGAGACCAGCCAGACGCGTTGACGCACTCGATCGCTGTAACCCACTCACGATTGCCTGGCTGTACGACGACTGCCCGACCAACTCTATTAGAGCTAGTCACGACTTTTAATGTGCTAGCGACGCCTATCGCGAATCTAGTCTCGTCGAAGTTATAGATATCCTGGTCTAGCACGCCGTACGTCTAGCGCGTCTCCTCTACTAGCTTAAACCACGCTGCGATTATAGTAGGATCTTTGTAGGAGGCGCGCTAGCTATTTAATCTCCTAGTCTACTTTGTCTGAAGCTCTGGCTGGCTCTGGATAAAGCGCGACACCCATTTCTTGCTAACAGGTAGTAGAGGTAGATCTTGGCCACGCGCGGCGAGTAACGCGTCTGCTATTCGTCGTACGTCGATGATATGGGGTGGAAAACCACGTCGGTTAAGCTCTAGGATCCACTGTACAAGAGACTGCTCTTCAATTGGCGATAGCTTGCGGTTGACAGAGGCTGTCTCTGATCGCGCCTGGATACCATGAAGACGTCGTTGGAGCGTCGACTTTGGCACGTCGTACGCTACTGCGAGTGCGCGCACAGATTGTTTTGGATTATTACGATAAGATGCCATAGCAAGACTTATTCTACCTTCACAAGAAGTCTGTATAGAGCGTTGTTGTCGCGGCATGGTGGTGGTTGTGTAGAGTGTCGCGTCAAGTTTGGTGGGGTGGCCCACTAACTGATCCGGCCCACTTACTGATCCAACACGTTATTGGCTCAACTCTCCGTCACTCTTTTTGTCCACCTTGTTTCTCAACTGCAAGTTGCCAGTAATTTCCCTGCATAGTCCTTATTCGAATTGACGAATACTCTTGAAATGTCTTCACCTTAGCCATCTTGATATATTTTGTCTTTTTCAAGTTGGCCAAGAAAACAAATTGAATGGTGACTCCTAGTCTTCGCATACCATGCAAAATATCCTCGTTTAGCATACTCACTCATACAATACTTGACAAACTACTCTTTGCATTGAAGCATAGAATTTAGGGAACCTTTTTGATCTTTTCTCGCTGCACAGATATCATTTTTCAAGTTTGTTATTAATACACTTGTGCTTGGAACAAGAGCAATTTTCGACCGCGAGAAAACAACGCTCCTTTCCAGTATTACGACGAGGAACCTAATTGAGAGACTGCGAGAATTGGTTTATGATCGAATATCGAAGGCATATGTCGAGTAATGGGAGGTTGGATATTCTAAAAGCAAGTTTCTTCCAGCAGACCATGCTAAACCTTGGCTGAATTGCCACTACAAAAGAAAGAGTTGCGACTATGTGCGAGCTTTGAGATTCGTTCGATCAAAGAAACAGTGCGAACAAATGCCCCAGTAATGCTGCTCATGCACTTCTACGATAGCCGAGTCGGTGATCGGCTCTCCGCTAACCCCGGACCCTTGATCAACCTTCATCTCTACTATGTAATACCATCAGGCCATCACACCATAAGTGCCATGTGGAAAAATCTGACAAACTCCCTATCCCCATAAATACCATCAAATTTCTTTAAGATGGTCGGATCCATACCAAACGATATCTTCCAATTCTCTACAGTCACCGCCCTCAAGGCCGGCTTCAACCAAGGCCAACCACGAACATCAGACCTCACCTCACACGGCTCAGACGGCATTGGCGTCTACGAAGATGGCAACCTCATGATGCTGAAATCCGGTCAAGCCTTTGCAATCACCAAAGACGGGAAAGCCAAGCCAGCACCTGCAAACGCACGCCTCCCCCTCGCTCTAGTAACTGTTTATGAGCCCAACTTCCGTATCAAGATACCTTCCATAAACATAGACGGCCTCGAGGAACTCACTTCTTCCAATGAATTGGGACCTACAAAAGGTGTCAATACGCTCATGCCGTTCAGAATATTCGGCCGCTTCGAGTCCATAGAGTTTGAACATGGACCTGGTCGCAATGGAATTGACGGTGTCATCTTCGGCTTCATCGTACCAGAATGGATGAAGGCGATCAGTGGGCCGCGTGTCCATGCACATTTCCTGGACACGAACGAGGAGGTTGGTGGAAGGGTGACGGATTTCCAGATGGCAGATCAGGCTTTATTAGATTTTGCAAAGTGCGGGAGGTTTCATTTGGGGTTTCCGCAAGGAGAGGAGTGGGAAAATATCAAGTTGTGATAAAGTCTCAGTGCTCGAATAGACCGGAGACTTTACAGATGACACAGGAGATTACATGACGAGGATAATGATACGAAATGATCCCGATGAAGTATGACTGCACACGATCCTAGTGAATGAATATCATCAATCTAGACAAAGGGTGACTATATGGAAGTGGCTCTTTCGTTTCTTGACCTGCTTTTTGTGCTTTGGCTTGATGTTGATTTGTGTCGCGCAATGGTTGACGATTGCGGCTCTCTATTCAGACACAATTTCGATGCACATTGCAGGAAAGAAGCTGTAAACGAATCTAGTCAGGCTTTTGGAAGAGGGATTCATTGCTACCAAGAGCATCAACAAGACCTTGCCAAAAGCGCTAGTTGTACAGCCGGTATTCCGCAAACACCCTATTTGGGCCTGATAAAAACGGCCTAACTGTAAACTAGCTGCATTACACAGCAGCTACACCTAAATCATGTAGGAAAGTCCTCGTATGTTAGTTATGTAGCCCAGCATAGTGTCTTAGCACATATAGCGGCCTAACCCCGGAGCGAGTACCTCGTTAGCAGATATCCACGCGCTGAAGGCTCCTAGCGTCATCTGATTAAAAAATGGCAGCTCCCTATTCCGCAAGCTATTACGACGCTGGCTTTATGATTCAAGTGGAGCAGGTAGGCCGAGTATCTTCTGCTCTCAAGGTCCAGAGCTAATGCCCTTCGTAGTGAACACGTCTTGCGGTAAGAGTAGACTCTGCATCTGTATCAATTCACACAGTTCATGTCCCTTGCTAAAGGCCGAAATACCTCTGCTTGAAAAAGTGCTGGCGATACGTCGACTTCAAACGGACGCCCATCCGTCTGTGTCGAACATCCTGCTTACCAAACTATAAATGTTTTTTTAAGCATATTTTACCTAGGTCACACATTTGTACGGATTCTAATTGATCTTTTAACATTTTGTCAAACTCAATTCTCCATTTAAAGCCGTGGACATTAAATTGCAGCGATTTAGAGTGCGTCGTTAAATATTTCGTCTTAATCATATAAGCTTCGGGCACCACCCCACCCTATGTACCCCACCTTTTATGACAGCAGGGCTTGCTGCTTCAGATCACTTGATTAACAAAACCTAGCCTATATGCTGATATCTTCTCCCCATACTAGCAGATCTCCGGGTATCGCTACTTGAAAGTACCCTACACCTGATCTATACAAAATGTACTGTCGGATGATTGGCGCATTGAATGATCAGCAGACTGTCATTGTCTACTGTATATTAGACGTTGGTTGCTGTAGCGCCACGAAGATGCTCTTGCAATGGCTACGCCCTCTGAGAGCCAAGCTTAATTAATAAAACAAATAGTGCAGATGTATGAATATGGTTGGTCGAGTGGTACGGTTCGCCACCTTGCTTCACCGGTTTTCGTAATCAAAATTCTTAACTCGGCCTTGTTGCATTCCACATCCTCTCCAAACTGTTCCACCAATTCCTTCAACCATTCGATCAAGAAAATGATCAGCTCACGAAATACTTTTGTATACCAACCGCTTTCCACAATTTCCTTAGAGGAGTTTAAAATTCGACTCATACGCCTGCATCCAGGTGGATTCAACGATTGTATACGTTGTACGATTTACCATGCCAGTATACCCGAAAACCCACCTCAAGCAGAGTACATTGCATTGTCATACGTGTGGGGCGACCCAAGAAAGACAGAACCTATCCGACTTGGTTACCAAAAACTCCTCACGAGTGAAACTGCTAGTACACGACCACCCGTTCCCTCCCCAGGGGCGGATTTCTATAAATCATTCCAAATAACAACGAACCTATATACAGCATTACGATATCTACGAGACCGTGATTCGGAGCGCATACTCTGGGTCGACGCCATTTGTATCAACCAGTCAGATGAGGAAGAACGTTTTTCACAAGTGAGAAAAATGGGCTTTGTGTATAAAATGGCCGCGGAGGTACGCATTTGGCTGGGCTCTGTCACTGATGTATGCAAGTCAACGCCAAATATACAAGAGGAACTTGCGAATTATCGATCAAGACGAGTTCCGATACCTAAAGGATCCTACTCTCTCTTATCCCCAGAAGAAAATACAGATGAGGTCTTGGGTAGTGAAAGCAGACTGATTATCAGGAGGGCACTGCTCGAAGCCATGAAATACGTCATGGATGACGACCGCCTGCTCGGTTAGGAAATGAGAAACGACTGTTTTCTAGATGAAATATAAGCTCTCGGAATGCGAATCATAGCTACGCAACCCTGGTGGCGACGCGTTTGGGTCATCCAGGAAGCCACGCTTCCAGAAAGGGAACCAATCATGCAATGCGACAATTTCAAAATCGGATATCGTAAGTTTCTCGAATCGGCGGACCATTTCATGTTTTCAGGTACGCCATTGATACCTTCTCGAACCCACATACCCCTCATTGTTCACGGCATGTTTCAAGAAGGACATGAACCATCCGAAACATCTCTTGCGAGCCGTCTCCTTACGTACCTGAGCTGTATGAGTGGAAATTTTGAAGTGACCAAACCTAAAGATAGGGTTAATGGAGTCTTTGGTTTTCTTCGTATGATAGGTTGCCATAGCAATATCTTCTTTCTCGTGACGAGATTCCAGGAGGAATATACAGTCCTTGGATTTTTTCACCGAGTCGCTATTTGGATACTTTTCGATCCTCGACCTCAGTCATACCCTCTCCGGATCCTTGAAAGCGGACCTAGTAATATCGAAGGGATACCTTCCTGGGTTCCATTATGGGAATCCAAAACATGGATTGGAGAGGATAAAAATCGTGGAGCTCCAGAAAGCAAGTATGATATCCTTGCCCAAGGTACTTCAATGGGTAAAATATATCATGGATCCTTAGTTAAGATTTGTGATGGATGTACTGCAGAGTACGAAAAAAAGTGGGGAGCGCCGAAGGGTTTATTTGACATCGGCGTAAGATGTACCGAAATACGGATACACAATGCGCTGGTGTTGGGACGAGTCATCACGACGCTGGAAGTTCCTCCAATCAAAGAAAAAACGGATACAGATGTGCTGCACAAAGCTATTCTTGAGCTTGAACAGAAAATTCTGGCAAATCTAAAATCTAAGGATATACCTCATGCTGATGCGAAAACGCACGTACGAAGATTCCGCGGTTATCTTCGTCTCAACTTTTGGGATGCCGATACAAGGGAAGATCCAACTTCATCCGAGCATAGCGCGACATTAGAAGAGTTTCTCCAATGCGAAAATAAATCAAGGAGAAGAAAAAATCAGCGACGCGGCGGCAGAGTTTCAGCTCAACAAGCAGACCTTAACTTTCCAAGTTCCTCTTCAATCGCGAAACTGAGCAGCTTCTTCGAGCATGTCCGCAATCTTATTGTCGGATCAAGTATCGTGGGGCACATTCTTGAAGATTCGCTACCTTCTTGTCGGCACGATGATAAGTTGTATCTCATCCCCGAGTGCCGTTGGGTCCTAGGTCTTCGACATAATGGCAGGGGATACCGGTACATGTATAGGGTATTTGTTTCTGATCTGGAATGGGAACAACGCAAGCGGCCGTTTGATGGCAAAGGTATATATGAGAACATAATACTTGTATGAAGATACTCTGTTGTTTCGTAGAACAGTTCTAGCGGTTGTTTCCTGTCGGGCGAGACTGGGGGCAATGCTGATCGTGTTGAGTCGTATACACTAAAGTATGAGTAGTGTGCACGAAGGGTCATAATAGCTCTACTATTCTATTGTATACTACTATCCTAGATATCTAGAGCATTTTCTAAAACAATAGGAGGATATGATAGAGAGAGAGAGGAAGTATGTAGTATTAGTGTTCTGCTATAGCGGTTGTTCCGTTACGAGTGGATCCAAGTTAGCGGCTGCGGCGATGCGCTCGGAGGCCTTCCGTATCCGGGTGCTCCGCCTCACATGTGGCGTAATAGCTTGAGAGGTACCGTAGCAACACCTCCAGCCTCGACTGCAACCATCATCTTCCTTGCTTCCTCCACCTCACAGATAGCTTCAACTACATGCGCGAAACTACAAACATGACGAGGAATCCCCCTGCTCTACGCAAAGCAACTTCGAATGCTGATCTGTACTCTGACCCGTCACCGCCTCGCCCGTTGCGACCCTCGTCCTCGGTAATACTTCCACGCGCGCATACCACCGCGTCTCTTCCATACATGCAACGCCCAGACAGGGGAAGTGCCGCAAGAGTTTGGAGAACCCGAGAAGGTAACTCTGATCTGAGCCACCGTCATAGTGTAGCAGCATCATACCCCGACTTGATTCGTGCCTATGACGACGACTACCCGCCCCCAGCAAGGCAGCAGAACCCTCCACCTGTACCCCCCAAGATTCCCGAAGTACCTAGTGAGCAGCCTGAGAAGGAAATGGAGGCTTCTAAGACTGTACCCTCCCACTGCTGGATCCCGGTTCCTTCTCGTACCAAAGAGGACCCAGCAAGCTACACGAAGCCCTTCACCGATTACATGACCAACAACCCTACCATTTTCCACGCCGTCGATGCTGTCGCAAAGGACCTTGAGAAGGATGGCTACAAGAAGCTGTCTGAACGGGATGCATGGGAGCTGAAGGCTGGAGGAAAATACTACGTCGAGCGCAATGGCACCTCGTTGATTGCTTTTGCTGTTGGTGACAAATACGCGTCCGGCAATGGTGCAGCAATCGTTGCAGGACACATTGATGCTTTGACCGCAAAGCTCAAGCCCATCCCTAAGCTGCGCACCAAGGCTGGCTACGTGCAGCTTGGTGTAGCGCCATACGCTGGTGCGCTCAGTGATACCTGGTGGGACCGCGATCTTGGTATTGGCGGCAGGGTGCTCGTCAAGGAGAATGGCAAGATTGTCACCAAGCTTGTCAAGCTGGACTGGCCCATTGCGAAGATTCCGACTTTGGCACCGCATTTTGGCTCTGCTGCCAACGGCCCGTTCAACAAGGAGACTCAGATGGTCCCGATTATTGGTCTCGATAACAGTGACTTGGGACCTTCGAGTGAGAACGAGGCAGAATTCAAGGCCAGCCTTCTTGGTGGAGAGGGTGCTTTTGCTTCCACTCAGCCTGAGAGGCTCGTCAAGGCTATCTCCAGAGAGCTTGGTGTTACTGACTGTACGTTGCCATAGGCTCCATCTCTGAATCCACACGACTAACCACCAACAGACTCCAGCATCGTCAACTGGGAACTCGAACTCTTCGACACCCAACCCGCCCGCACTGGCGGCTTAGACAAAGAATTCATCTTCGCCGGCCGCATCGATGACAAGCTCTGTTCCTGGGCCGCCGTACAAGCACTCCTCAACTCTGCGTCCACCCTCTCAAGCTCATCGCAGATCCGCATGGTCGCCCTCTTCGACGACGAAGAAGTCGGGTCCCTCCTCCGCCAGGGTGCCCACGGCAACTTCCTCCCCAGCATTATGGAGCGCATAGCCGAGGAATTCGCTGCAAACGGCAAAACAAGCAGCGCCCTCAGCCGAACCTACGCAAACTCATTCCTTGTCTCCAGCGACGTCATTCACGCTGTGAACCCCAACTTCCTAAACGCTTACCTCGAGAACCACTCCCCCCGCTTGAACGTCGGCCCCGCTGTGTCGGCGGACTCGAATGCGCACATGACGACTGATGCCGTCTCCACGGCTATCCTGCAGCGCTGTGTCGATCGCGATGTGGGTATCCGCAAGACGGATCCTAAGCTCCAGGTGTTCCAGATTAGGAATGATAGCCGCAGTGGAGGAACCGTGGGACCGATGCTCAGTGCTGCAACGGGAATCAGGGCTATTGACTGCGGAATCCCGCAGTTGAGTATGCACAGTATCCGCGCGACGACGGGAAGCCTGGATCCCGGATTGGGCGTGTTTACTTTCCAGAGCTTTTTGGAGAATTTCGAGGCTGTTGATCAGGAGTTCAAGTGAGGGGTTGAAGAGTTGTTTTGTCTCTTTTCCTTTCTTCGCTCTTGGTATATAGCAATGGTGGCGGACGCGACACGTATTGGGGTTATTGAATCATGGTAATTACGTACAAACATATATACACGACGCGATCTTGCACAATCAACATTCGGCAGTTATGAAGCAAAAGAGTCCAATCGTCATATTCGTCACACATGCAAAGCCGATCAGCTATGAAAATTAATATCCCCCAAGGCCCTCCAGCGCCGTCCTTTGACAAGGTAAATCCCGTTAACTCCATCATAATGCCGCAAAATATAGATCATACAACGTAAGCAGCCCTTCATGGACCATTGGGGCGCGAGGGCATCTCTTCGTCTTCATCTGCATCTTCTGGGTGGCTAGCTGGCCGTTAGCGGCGACTCATGCTGGGAGCGGTGAACAACAAGACTTACCCTAGCAGGTCCTTGACATTTTTCATCTCGTAATGCTTTTTGCGCAGCTCCTCGAACTTGCGGTGCTTCTCCTTCTCCTCCTGTGTCGCATTGGGGAGTAGTTCGCCGTGGTAGCCCTCGTCCGTGTCCATGCCCTCGCCGACAATGACTCGCTTCTCGCTATCGGGCGTGTGTGAGTGGCGGGCCTGTAGCTCTGGCTGGCCTAGGTCAAACTCGGGGATATCGTCAATCTTTGGCTTGCGCTTCGCCTTGTCGAGCTCGTCGACCTTGAGATCTTGGGCGTTGAGCATCTCGACTTCCTCTTCGTCCTCGGCTGGATCGTATTGCTTGGCATAGGGCGTCTTTGGCTCGTCAATCTTCATGGTGCTGTCACGGTTCTGCTCGTTGAGGTAGAGATTGGCCTCGTCCCACTTGAGCTGGGGGCTGGCATCGCCCGCGGGGTCTGCGCCCGATTGGCGCCGCGAGGCCAGGCCACGAGGGTTTGAAGACGAGCGGCGGTGGGGGCCAGCATTGCGTAGCGTATTCTCGAGCACGATTTCCTTCTCCGACAGCTCACGACCAAGCTGCGGGCGCTCCGAGGAAATTGGGCTCGTGGCAGGCGGCAGGTCGCGAGTAGGCGATGTGTGTGAGTTTGAGCGGTAAGAAGTGGAGTTCTTGAGGATACCTGGGCCTGTTAATCAAGGGTGCGGGCGAAGCGGGGTATTTTTCACGGGCGCACCCTTTGGCCGCTCAGGATGCGAGGTGGGCGAGTGCAGCTGGGGCGATTGTGCCGTCATTGCGTGGGTGATGGATGGTGGCGTGATTGCTTCTTTTCAAGAGAAGAAGGGTACCGGCACGTGCAAGAGAGCAGTAGTGCGGGGAGTGAAGTTGGGTGGTTGGGAGGCTGGGTGATGGGAGCGGGAGACTATGTGTGGAAAAGCAAAACTGACGGGGGCCAGGGGAGCTTTGTATGAAGAGGAGGCCGATGGGCAGATGGGGAGGTGGAGAGATGGGCTAGCAGAGGAGCAGGCAGCGCAGGAAGCGATAGGGTCGGGTTAGTGAGGCCGCCGAGGAAAGCGCAGTGGGCGTGGTGGGGGTGCGTTGTCCTGGTGAAGACACAGAGCACAGAACGATGACGTCGGCGGGACCTTTGTTTTGCACCCCCCGCTCGCCCGTTTGCTCTGCCTGCAAGGGCGGCAGGGCTAGAAAAGACAAGGGAAGACTCCCCGCAGCACTCGACTATTGCAGCGACCTACATGCACCTCCGGGCTTAACGCGGCTGTCTTTGTTTGACAGATGCACGATGCGGCCGCACCATGCCCAACTACTCCATAGACTATACATGTACACGGTAGGGCGAACATCACCACTGGGGCGGACCCATGACGACAAGCGAGGGCTTGCTCCACTCCACCCATTGGGCAGCACACTGCAACGCTTGTGAGACTCGCGCCCGTGGACTCACTCGCCCTCGTAGACTGTGCCAAGCGCGCATCCTGACAATCACATGCAAACGGGAGGGGCGCACGTGAAGAGCTATGCAGGTGCGCTCCTGTATGGAATGCTGTCTTGTGTACGCAATCCATCGACAAACTCTCTTTGCACTTTCCGTCCACCCTGCATGGACAGGGAGGCCATGGCTACAGCGGCACATAGCGCCAGGCTACTGTCATCTACCACCGACCATCAACACCAGCATTGCCAAAGTGTACAAGGTTTGGCTTGACTGCCCACCCTCCACTCGGGTCTCATGAGACGGAAGTAATGCTGCTTGGGTTGCAATGCTGCACACGACCAGGAGCTATCGCCGATACGCTTCGTGTGAGCACCATTGCGGCTTCGTCGATTGGGGACTGCTGGGCAATCACCAATTAGCACTCCTTGTTCTCAAAGCAACCCCCAGCCACCACACACAAGATACAGCCAATCGCTTCAGACTTTGCCTTTGAGCTTCATATTCAACCAAGAAATCGCTTGCGCGATAGTGTACATCTGGCTGAGACTCAGACTACCAGAAGTGGTCCACAAGGACCCTCATCCCCAGCCATGGCGTGACAAAACTAGCGATTCACACATACAAAAAATCAAGCAGAGACGGCTGCAAACAGCGCCGTCTCAACGCGTCAAGCGCGTGATGAAAAAATGTCCCTGCTTTCAGGTCATCACCGCATCATGGAAGCCGCGAGAAGCGGCCCTCGTGATGATGGTTTTAGAAGAGGATGGCTCGTTCTGGGCCAGTTATCCGAGTTGCCAGCTGAGTAGAGAATGTCGAGCTGGCAGTTGTTACGAGTCAAAGGCCGGTGTTAAAGAAGAAGAAGAAGAAGAGAAGAGGACTGGGTCGCGCGCCAGCAAAGAAGAGATTGTTCGTCTTGGCGCATGACTAAGCCACCATCCCTGCCGCGCAAGGCGCGCGCCTGAGCTGCAAGTGTGCCAACCTCTCTCAAACGTTTTCTCAGTACGCTCCACTATTCGGCATTGCATACCACACATCCCACCACGCTCAACGATCCCACGCACTCCGTCTTCTCCACATTCTTCTGTACCATCACATCATCCATACGCCCGCACAGCCTTCGCCTGCACCACAACCAAAACTATCGCAAACCACACCCCGCCCGCTTCACTCGCACACTGGCCCTCGGCCCTCTAGCTCGCATACTTACAACTTGCTTTCACACGACCACGCCCAAGCCGCTTTTGGATAACCCGCTGTTCTTCTTCTACTTCCTCTTCTTCTTTTGTATTATTTACCCACTTGCCACTGCTGCCAATGGACAACAGGGAGAACCTCTGGACCCGGCGCTCCAAGTATGCTCGCATGCACCCCCGCACCTTCGCATTCACACCTACTGACCCGCGTCCAACAGCACCAGCAAGCTCTCCCTCTCCATGTCGCATTCCGAAAACAACGATAAATCCGAACCACACCAGCGCACCGTTTCCGCAACCAAACGCTTCGGGGGCGACTCGTCCCACGGCGGCCGAAATCCTTTCAACGCCATCCCCCCATTGACACCCGGCGGCCTTGCGTCGCCCACCACTGGAGGCTCGTCTGCCTTTGGCCTCGGCTCAGGTGCATTCGCCTCCTTTGGCTCCGCGGCAAAGACTCCCAAGACGCCAGGAACAGCCTTTGACTTCAAAGCCGCCGCCATGTCGTCCACAGCGCCTACAACCCCTTCTGAAAGGAAGGACAAACCCGTGAGCAAGGTGGTCAACAGCATACGAAAAGAGTCTATAGCCACGGCACCAATACAAGAAAACACCGCGAGCCCGTCCGCACCGCCAGACTTCAACGCGCCGTGGCCGCTCAAGTACACCTGGGCGGTATGGTACCGTCCACCCACGGCTAAGAACGTCGACTATGAAAAGTCGATCGTACCGCTCTGCAGATTCAGCACGGCCCAGGAGTTTTGGAGAGTCTTCTCACACCTCAAGCGACCTTCGAGTCTGCCCTCCGTGTCCGACTATCATGTTTTCAAACAAGGCATACGACCGGTATGGGAGGATGACGAGAACAAACGAGGCGGCAAATGGATCATGCGCCTGAAAAAGGGTGTTGCGGACCGTTACTGGGAAGACCTCTTGCTTGCGCTGGTTGGCGATCAATTCTTGGAGGCCGGCGATGAATTCTGTGGCTTTGTTCTGAGTGTCCGAAGCGGGGAGGATGTTTTCAGCATCTGGACAAAGAGTGACGGAGTAAAGAACGTCAAGATTCGGGATACGATTAGGCGGGTCCTCAAGCTGCCAGAGGGCACCAACATTGTTTGGCGAAGTCACGATGACAGCATTGCCCAGCGTTCAGCCATCGACCAGGCCCGCCATGAAAAGAATCTCATGGAGAAGCGGAGGGTGACGTCCACCGAAGAGAAGCCAGTGGCCGGTTCTTAGATCGTTTTCGGGCCACCGAGCGATTGACTTGTTCTGAGGCTCGGCATCAGGGTCACACGCTCGTTGCGTTGTTTCCGCAAGCGCAGGCACAAGCGCAGGCGCACCTGCGTTATCAGACCCACAAAGGATTCTATGTACCACCAGCGGGGGCCACTGACAGAAATGCCATGCCCTAGTCGAGCGCGTGGAATTCACCGCGGGCTCTACTTGCATGTAAGGCATATGAACCGTTGGATCAGCTCTTTTTCTGGTCCGGTCATTGCAGACCATACCCACCACTATACACAGCGTCGCATCGCAGCTGGTGTTGTGCGATTTTGGTCAGCTTCCTTTGAAGCTAGCATCCACACAGATGCATGTCACATAGACCTGTGACCATGAATGATAATACTATGTACACCTATGCGCACATGACTAGTGCGCTTCGTTGCCTCGATTCAATCCCATTCTATACGTGATGCTCTATATTTTGCATGTGAAGTCTAACGAGCGCGAAGCAAAGATATTATCACAAGGATCTTGTTGAACTGCAGAAGCCACCCGTCTTTGTAAGTCCAAGCAGGATTGTCCAGACGAGGCGCACGGACGTCATCGCGAACTCACCTGCTGGCGCAACTTCACCTCCACATGCCCCACGGCGCGCGTTTGCGCTTTGTGCCTTTTCTTCGCGCATTTTGAGGATTAGCGTCCGCATTCAAGAATGCCACCTCTAGTCGCTTTGCCACCGCAATGCTACACTAATGTTGTCTAACCTCATCAACGGCATAATAGCTGTTGCCGGAGGCCACTCAACCACAGACGTACGCGCACTTTTCTTTGATCGCCTTCCGAGTGCCTTGACTTGGGCTCTGCCACTTCACTTTGCACATGTGACGAAACACTGCCGCTCCTCCCAGCTAACACCATGCTGCTACAGGCGAACGATGCCCCCGCCCACTCGCCAACTCTCGACCTGCCCTTGTCTAGGGACTCACCACCCGCCTCAAGATCCACCCCCACTGTCATAGACCTCTCTTCGCCCACAAAACCCCCAAGAAAACCCCAGCGCGACGAGAAAATTTCTGGGAAATCTCTCTCACGGCCATCAAAACGTGCTATAAGCGAGGACGAGAGGCGCCTGGTTGGTGATTACGAGTAAATTACCACGATGACTGCGAATAGTAAGAGGAAGAATGCTAATAGCCGATCAGAGTTCCAGCAGATGCAGTCTCTATACCCAACCCGTCGTCCTGGATGTCGGATCCACGAACCATGCACAACAAGGTATGTCTGTAAGCATCTATGGTTATAAGCTTCCACACTGACATCTTGAAGCCGGGCGCGAACAAGGGATACAGGCCAGTCGACACACTCAACGGCGTAGCTCGCGCAGCAATTCGGAAGCCTACAACGTATGGGAAACATACCCGTCCCCGTCCCGTGTTAATAGGCCAGTCGCCAGGTCCGGGTCAGACAGCCTACTCCGAGTTCCAACGAAGCAAGGTACCTACCACACCAAGCCGGCATGGATTGTCACGAGGCGAAGAGGGTCAATGGTCTGGTGGACCTGCATCCGCAAAACGCAGGAAGACTGAGCATATAACCCTAGACGATGACGAAGACGATGAAGCCATGGTGGTGACACGGCCTGAAGCGTCTACCCCTCGCAGGCTGTCTGATGAAAGACCAGTCTCGGCTATGTCATCACAATCACGTCCTAGTATTGACAGTGGAAGTACTGGGGCTGAATTCAAGATACACCGAACCACAAACGAGTTCCGAGAAGTCGACGGGCTCATTAATCCTTCTGCAAAGAAGCCCAGACAAGCAAGTTGCATTAAGCGCCAAGCTCGCCGGAATAATTCCCCTACCGGCCGTGGCACCCTATCTGATGAAGCCCACCAGTTCATTTTACGGGGTTTTAAACAAGGCGAGCCTCAAAAATTCGTAGAGCGACCAATCACTTCTGAACATTTCCCTGAAGCCCGAATCAACGAATCGACCACAGAGCAGCCAAGTACCAGCCGCCCCGTCACTAACAACAGCCCCAATCTCCGTACTCAACATCAACCAGTGCCTAGGCGATTAGATCAGGCTGAAGATAGCGACAGCGCCGATGAGCTTGCCATTTCACCCGTTGCTACCAGGAAGCAGATCCTGTCACCGTCAAAAGTAAAGAAGGCCGTACAGAGTGGTGCCAAACGAAATGGACACAGCAAATCCAGCAGTAATTCTTGGCCGTTGTCATTTGCAAGATCGTATGACTTTGACGTGGCCGGCTCCAAAATGGAGGGCGAACATACTACTCTGGTTCTGCGAAGCGACCCGAAAGGCTTGCGCGTCCAGAAGTACAACACAGAGGGCTATGAGACAGTCATTTTTATCCATCCTCAAGAAGTCAATAAGGTCCATGCAGATGAGACAAGCCGTGTTCGCCTGGAAGGACCCAGGAATGCAGATGGCAATATTCCCATATTTGATCTTGAGTTTCTCAACACAAGTGACTTTTTGGCATTCTGCAATTCACATGCAGCGTCTCTGACAACAAGCGGCAAGATTCTTTCGAAAGAAAAGTAAGAGTGAACACGCAGCCACCATCAGCCCCCTATTAACGTTGTTGCAGTGAACACATGCGCCGATTGTTTACTTCGCCTCTACGAGCAAGGAATGATAAAGTAGCAATGTCTGAAGTCTCAGATAACGCTTTAACAGACTTCAAGAGTCATGGAACGCATTCTGAGCAGGCGGAGAAGTCACTTGGGGTTCGAGAGCGGCGCCACGAAAGGGGTGTCGAAGACAGATTCACCGTTGATAATACGAGAACAGCCACAGCATTGATCCGTTCATCACGCTCACGACCATTGACGTCCACACGTCTTGAAAGGAGTAGTCCTGAAATTGTTGAGGTGCCAAAATACTCCATCGACAAGGGACTAGGACGACCCTGGACCAAGTAAGCACCGAAACTCCATTGCATGATTTCGCTAATCACATGAAGGTCCCTTGAGTATGGGGAAGGGCGTCAGCGTGCTATAGTGCACTTTGATGACTTGCCTCGACTGGACGAAGAGGAGTACTTGAATGACAGTCTGATAGACTTCTACATGATGTATGTGGGTTGAGGTCTCAGCTCATGCAACCGCTAACAACAAGAAGCTATCTCTTCAAAAAGCTCAACGTTCCTGCTGACAAGGTCTATTTCTTCAATACCTACTTCTTTACCAGACTCACAGAAAATGCTGGCCGCAAATCGATGAACTACAAAGCTGTCGAGCGCTGGACATCTAAGATTGACATTTTCACCTACGACTATATCGTTGTACCTATCAATGAATCACAGTATGTCAAAATTGTCTACCTTGTAGAATTTACTGACCTCTCATAGGTCGCATTGGTACTTGGCGATTATTTGCAATGTCTCAAACATCCAGCGCAAGCCCGTGCTCGAAGATATCGATGACCCACAGCTTCGCATGCAAGAAACACCTGAATTGTCTGCCATATCAACTACAGCAAGCGACGGGGAGGGGCACAAAAAGTTGCAATCGACGTCAAATCCAAACTCACCTATGAAGGTCGAAGAAGTGCATAGCCAACAGGATGAAGATCCCAACCTCTTCGATGAGGTGACGATATCCTTAGTTGATCGTGATGACCCTGGAACAGGAGCTCGACCCCGGACTGGGGTTGACGAATCCAATGCAGTAACTCTTGAATCGGAAACTGAACATATGGAGACGCCGCAGACCGCTAGTGATCTGGAAGTCCCATCCCGAGGGAAGCTGGTGCAATCAAGTCTATCGTTTGCCAAGAACAAGAACAAACGCAAGGTTGTCCCTAAGAGAGATCCTACTCAACCAGTAGTTGTTGTTCTCGACTCTCTCGGGGGGATTGCCCGTAGTGGGGCAGTTCGCACCCTTAAAGACTGGATAGCAGCAGAAGGCAAAAGCAAGCGGGGCATGGAAGCAGTCATCAAAGAGAATGGCTACTACCCAAAAGGCTCCCAGATTCCGATGCAGAACAACTGGACCGACTGTGGTGTTTATCTACTCGGTTACATCGAGAAGTTTTTTCAAAATCCGGACGAGTTCATGCACAAGCTATTGACGGGATCCATGTCGGCTGAAGAAGACTGGCCAGAGCTCAATCCTTCAGTCATGAGGCACAAAATGCGAGAAATCATATTCGAATGTCACAAGCAGCAAGAGGTAGCAAGGGCGGCACAGAAGAAGGCAAAGAAGGAATCGATGCAGTCAAAGGTTTCGCCTGATCCGACAGCGAAACAGACGACTAAAGAAACCTCGTGTGAAAGATCACCGGATACAAAGACGGAGGCAAAAAGTGACAAGCATGCTGCCGATGGAGATGGCCTACCGCGAGCTGAACCGTCTCCCACTTTACCTCTTCCAAGACTCGGTTCGCCTTTTGAACCTGGCAAGGACAATTCAGCCTCAGTCAAGCACTCGTCGCAGGGAGGCGCGACTAAAGATTCAAACTCACCCCCAACAACCAATTCTCCTGCCAAACCAGGACTTGCTAGCCATTCTAATGTGTCACCGAGACGCCATAGCCCGGAGGTTCGCGTAAACAGCAGGATTGTCCAGCCACACAAGTCAGCCAGTGACACGCATAACAGTCCCGACAGACTGACTGACCAGACTGGACACATCGATCAAAAGGACCAAGAATCTCGCTTGTTCGGCCTTAGCAAGCGTCAAAGACAGGACAACCACGATCATCTGACAGGCTCACCAAATGCCAAAAGACCACAGATGGACCCGTCATTGAAAAAGAAGAGAGATGGATCTTCTGGAATCAAGGCCAAGTCCCCACGTAGCCGTGAGGGTAGCGCGCCGGATGCACCCATTGAAATTAAGGATTCGCAAGAGATGGAAGTTGAGGGCCCTGGACTGCGTCCTCCTTTGCAGCCTCGTGCCGACAAACATCATATGCCATCATCGCAACCACCGAGACCGATACAGATGCTTCAGCCCTCACCTTCCTTTGAGGAAATCCCCCCGCCACTACCGCGCAGCAAGATTGTCGAGTCCGGTAAGAAGGACACATCAACTGGTGGCCAGGTCGATGACGACTACGAGAAGGACCATGCTCGTCGGTCCAGAGCACCAGACCCAAGCCAGCCCAGCCAAAACTTGCAACGCAGCGAAGAAGGGACTGATGATACTGTGGAAGCAATCTCACAATCCACCGACCAAATGCAGTTGGATGGGACTCAAGATAGTACTATAGTGCGAGAAACACCTGAGCCAGCGAGGAGTCCCATCACCACAAAAGACAAGACAATATAGGTCGTTTGGCCAATCATTTAGCGGCACGATACCAGTACGGCTTTTCCGGCACCTCTGTAACATTTTTATTTCCTATTCAGCCTTGTGCTGGTTCCTTTCTAGCATTTTCCTTTTCTTCTCTATTTCTTAGCATGGCGATGGCGTTGTTTGCTACAGATACCAAAAACCGGTAGGGTGGAAATCCCGCATTCTGCACTTTTCTACTACATATTTGCCAGTTCGTCCGACAGACGATGCCACGAGAGGAAGGGTGGTGCATTCTGGCAATGCAATGCGAAAAGAAGAAGAAGAAAACTCGATCCACGGATGAGGGAACTGAGGGGGAAAGACGTGCTAAGATATAACTAATAACGGATTTCTGTTCTTCATTCACACCGCACTCTCGAGTATCTCCCTGCTTGCCCTGCTCTCTTGGTTCAATTGCCGTGTTATATCGCCGTTTGCGCCGCGGCCGCCAGTTGGATCGCCTTGTGCTGCTGCCACTGCATTATCGACATCTGCGGTGATCGTTAGCTACACCATCCCCTTCATTCCCTACTCATCACTAGTATCAACGGGCTGGAAAATCTTACCTTCAAGTTCCACCCCACCAACCCACCTCCCCATCTTCTCCCTCACAAACTCTGTAAAATCCCACTCATCACCTTCCAACCTGTGCTCCCCTGCAACCCAAATATACGTTTCAGCCTCTACCTCCTCTCCCTCGACGTTATCTTCTTCTTTTTGAGTCACATCGCCCATGCCCTCCCCTTCCTTTCCCCCTTCCCCTTGTATTTTCTGACTAGGCAGCAGAACCCTGACCCTAACTTTGCTGCGAACGTATTCCTTCCCTTCAAAAACATCTAAGCGCCATAAATCACCGTCTGTAAGTCCTTGCACCAGCGTCCCCCTTACACTCGCCTCCGAGCAGGAAACAGGGACTACGCCGGGGTAGTCTGCTCCTTTTACTTTTCTGCGCTGATGCGCATGTAGGATTGCTGGGCGGATGTGGAGGAGGGATGCGTGGGTTGGGGTGGGAGGCGTGGGTGAGCCCCAGATTACGCGGTGCAGGACTGGGGGGGCCATTAGGGTGCCGTAGAAGAATGCTGTGTGGGACATCTTTTTTATTTTTTTTTTATTTTTTTTGGAAAGAAAATCTAGGTATTCTATTGTTCTTTCAAAAAGAAGGAGAAAAAGGGAGAGAAAGGAGAAAGGTTGTGTACGCGGGGTTGGTGGGGTTTGTTGACCTTTGTATTTGGAGGATGGAGGGGGAGAGAGGGGAGAGTTGGGGTATTATGGGGATATATTGAGGCGGATTCGGGCGATAAGATAACGAGGGTTCAGCCCTATGGGCAAATAGGCAGGGGACCGGAGTTTAGGTTGTCCGCGGGTTACATTTAGTGCATTTCCCTCCCTTTTTCCCTCTCTGCCCTTTATTATCCCGCGCTGCTGGCCTTGTTTTTTTGGCAGCAACGGTTACAACACCAAACGGTTTTACGACGGTCACGTGCTTGTTATTTTTATTATTTTTCTTTTGTCTACTTAAGCGATCTTATTTGGAAGGATTTTTTTATTTGAAGAAACGAGAGAAGACAGCGTGAAGAAAATTGTGGGTACAATACAAACAAGGGGAGAGAGGTGATTCCGACAACCTACCACCACCGTTCCGAACAATACCGCCTCGTCCTCCACCCGCCGCCCGCCCTCCCCGACCGACCGCCTCGATTCACGACCAAGACAACCATGTTCTTCATCAGCGCAATCGTAAAGAACATAGCGCCCATCTTGTACGCCGCCCGCACCCCTCTCCTCTCCACCTCTCTACTCTAACGCATCCGTGCTTTCCCTCGCACCAGCATAGCAACGAGCCCGATAACCAGCTATGGCGACCAAATCTACTCGATGCACCGCGCCCGCAGCTCCGCCGGCTTCTCCCTCGACATCCCCCTCATCATGCTCGTCGCCAGCATCCTCAAAGTCTACTACTGGTTCGGCGCCCACTTCAGCACCTCGCTGCTCATACAAGCTTTACTTATGATATGCGTTCACCTCCTCCTTCTCCACGTCGCCCTCACGAATCGGCCCCCGCCCTCGCACCTCCCGTTTCAGCACAACGACGTGTCGAACCGCCCGTATGACTTTTGGCAGTGGAGGGCCCCGAGACCTTATTGGGCGTTTATCACGTATTTTGCGGGCAGTCTGCTGGTGTTGCATTTGCTGATGAGTTCGACGGCCGTGTTTGGACCGTATACGGATTTGCTGGGTGGCATTGCGTTGACGATTGAGGCGACGCTGCCGTTGCCTCAGATTCTGGCGAATTGGCAGCGGAGGGGGTGCAAGGGGTTCCGCCCGAGTGTTATTGTGAATTGGGTTATTGGTGATACGTTTAAGATGTGGTTCTTCTTCGCGAGTAGCAGTGGAGAGGTCCCCTGGGCGTTCAAGGCTTGTGGTATCTTTCAGGCGTGCTGCGATTTGGGGCTCGCGGCGCAGTATTTGGTTTGGGGAGATGGTCCGGCGGGTGTTGAGGGGTTGGGTCGCGAGAAGGAGCTGAGGAGTCCGGTTCCCGAGGATGTTGATTGGAGTGTGGAGAAGTTGGGGCAGGCGAGTGTCACGGGAGGGATTGAGATGAATGATGCTCAGGCGTGGGAGAGACCTAGGGCTGGATAGGGGGCGGGAGTGTTGGAATACGATTTGAGGGAGTGCAAGGGGTTGAGACGAATGAAATATACATGGACATCAGGTTATGTCGAGTAACGTTTGGATTCAAGTTACGCGGTTAGAATTGATAGTACACTGTGAATAATGTAGAGTCAAATAGCAAGACATTGTCAATAGAAAGCACAATCAATCTTCTATATGTGTATGGTGCCTGATTGAACAAGCACATCACAAAAGACTGTTTGTCCAAAAAGCCAAACGCATACAGTCCTCGAACACTTAGCGACGCTACATGTAGGGAGGTATGTATGGAGCCAGTAAAGTCATGATATACATTCATATTTCATTCAACTACATGATCAAAACAGCGTACTATTTACTAGAAAAGGGAAAACCACTCTTCATATACACACCCCATCCCCCCTTCAACGACCTCATGCAGGAACCGGCTCCGGCTCCACACTCGTCAGCGTAGGCACAACCGGCTTAATGAACCCGGCATCATCAAAGTAAACCCGATCAATCGTCGTCTCCCTGTTCGTTCCACCGCCGTTGGGGATAGCAAAGCGGTGGTATGCAATGTACCAATCATCCGTACCGGGTACATTGATAATGGAATTATGTCCAGTACCCAAGATACCCAGGGTAGTGTTCTTCTGGAGAATAACACCGCGGTATGTCCAGGGACCGTTGACGCTGGTCGAGGTAGCGTAGCCGACGCGGTAGTTCTCTGAGCCGGTGTCGTCGATGGAGTAGGTGAGGTGGAAGAGGCCCTTGCGGTAGTTGAGGAAGATGCCCTCGCGGAAGTCGGTGAGGCCGCTGATGGCGCGTGTGGTGCCGGCCTTGAGCGAGATCATGTCGTCGGCGAGTTCGGCGTAGAGGGCTGGTGTGCCGTTGCCCCAGAAGATGTAGTACTTGCCGGTGGTTGGATCGCGGAATGCGGCGGGGTCGATTGCCTGGCCGGTCTTGGGGGTGCCGTCGTTTAGGATCATGGCTTCGGGTTGGGCGGTGAAGGGGCCTTCGGGGGAGTTTGCAACGGCGACGCCAATGGTTTTGCGGTTGTACTTGGGGTTTTGGCCGCTGAAGTAGAAGTAGTACTTGCCGCCCCTTTCAATAATGGTTGGAGCCCAGGCGTTGCCTGTTGCCCATGGAACGTTTCCGCTTGTGCCATTGAGAGTTAGGAAAGGCTTCTCTGATCGAGCCCATGAAACTAGATCGGGAGACTTCCAGACGTAGAAGACGTTGCCGCCCCAGCCTGGGAAGCCGTCGGTTGTGACATAGAGGTAGTAGTTCTTGCCAAAGACTGCAATGTTGGGGTCGGCATAGAGGCCTGGGAGAACAGGGCTTCCTGATCTAGCACTCAAGCGGGAGCGGCTGCGAGAAGCAACAGAATCTGAGCGGCTCGTAAGTCCAGATCGTAGGTTAGCAAGTTCGCTGGCAGTGACTGGGATGACGGTTCCGTGGCGCGGGCTGCGTGGGAGACTGTAGGAGCTGGAGACCTTCCAGGTTGGCTTGGAGATGTCTGCAGTCTCGAGAGGAATATAGCCGCGGCCCGTGTATTCATCCACAAAGAGGTAGAACTTCTTGCCGTTGACGTCATTGTCGTTGGCCTTGAATACAGTCGGTCCTTCGACGGCGCTGGTACCGGCGTTGCGACCAATGCATGCAGCAACCTGAGTCCATCCGCTCACAGGCGCAAGGAACGATGTTGACCGCTCTTGGATAATGTCTTGGCAGTTGGTTCCTGTACCTCCCTCGTCCTTGGTGAATCGGTAGAAAGTGTTTCCCTCCTTGATGACAGTGGTGTCGATACGCGAGAGTCCAGCGTCTTGCCATACCTGAGGTTGGCTGAATGTGACAAAGTCTCGCGTGGTGACATACATCATCCGGTGGTAGGTCGGTCGAGTACGGGCGGTATCGCTTGGTTCATAGAGCGAAGAAGCCCAGAAAACCACGTATGAGCCTATACTAGCATCATAGTACGCTTCAGGCGCCCATGTGTTTCCAGCAGTGGATGGAGAAACCTTGACGTGGCGCTGGGCTGACCAGGTCTTAAGGTCCTTCGATTCCCAAATCTCAAGGTAGAGACTGCCAAACTTGACTGCGTCTCCCCACGAGGTACCGGATCCGATCGAAAGGTCAGTGGCGAGCAAGAAGAACTTGTCGCCCTCGTTTGATCGGATGACAAAAGGGTCGCGCAGGCCTTTTGTGCCCATAGTAGAGGCTAGGACTGGCTGGCCGCCGTTCAGCTCATTCCACTTCAAAGCATTGTTGCCTTGACTGGCTGCCATGTAAATCTTTTCGCCAGCTATGGAGTTGCCCGTAAAGTATGCAAAGGCGTAACCCTCGAAAGGTGCAAGGGCTGCTGCTTTACGGACATTGGCGTTGAAAGTGCGGTTAGAGATGATTCCTTCATGGTCAATGATTGCCGTGAGATCGACCGCGGTTTCGGCATCCTGTCGTTTCACGATACCATCCGGTGAGATAATTGATGGGTGGCTGCTTGCCCAGGTGATTTTGAAGTCTCCAGATGTGTCTGGTAGGTGAAGATTGCCGCTTACATCCTCAATGTTCGTAACTGTGAGACTGTCAAGCGCCTGGTCAATGTGTCGGCGCGATACGGCAGCATTCGCAGTGGATGCCGACCACAGACCCCATGCGTAAAGGGGAAAATTGTGAGCACGCATGGTGGGTTGCGAGGTAGTGAGAAAGACACAAAACTGCTCCTGAACTGCTACAGCACTGATCACCTACCTTCACAATATATAACATACTTTGTCCACCGGGTGGGATTTACCCCGAACAGGACTATGCCAGGTACACATACTTGAACAGACACAGTGTGACCTCGTATGTCATACCGGGGTGAAGAATCTCCACGAATGCGCAGCAGCTAGTCCGATGGTTACAGCAGGTCGTAACTTGCCTGCAAGAACTTCAAAGAACATCATTCCCCTGAACAGCTAGATTGATCGGACTGTAACCCGTATTGGTTAAGGCTACGGAGAATCTCATGTACGAAATTCGGCAAGTCAAGGAACTAACGAATAATGACGCCGCACCCGAGGTCACATTCCAATCGTTTTGCGGGGTGCAGCGCATAAAGAGTTGCTTGGCGACTCGGGAAAATGACGACCGAAGCTAAAGCATGACAACGTTACTCTTCGATCTAGTCTCGTAATGCCATAAATACTTACATTCGACGTCAAAGGAAATTTCAAGGCTTTATCGTTCGGACGACCTTGGTCAGTTCAGCATTACTTACGGGGCCGTGGATATGGCACGTGACACACACCGCATGTACGTGTATACGCTGAGATGCGCAACCGTATCAGCGTCCAATATGGAGGCCATCGTCTTTATATATACAAACGAAGGTACCGGATCTCGGCTGAGTAGTTCACCTGGTTAAGTACTTCAGAAGTACTGGTTATCGATGCCAAGGTATCACTGCTTGGAGACTAGGTTCACAAGGTGGAGGAACGACGGAGATCCTTACTCCATGGAGAAGGAGAAGACTGGAAAACATGTGGACTCGACGGAGATAGCCTATGGTAGTCTCACGTGGTCCGCATCTTGTGTAATTGCAGTATTGTGTTGTTAGGATGTTCCTATTTCCCAAGTACTTGGCAATACGAGCGAAAAGGCGCCCGAGGCTGGGCGTGCATGCCGAGATTATTTTTGGGCCTCAACGTGAGTATATTCGCAAATCTGAGTGCCTGCCGCTGTGTAGAATACCCGGCACTCTACAGCTTTGTATTACATGAGACTTTTCCATGCCTCTCGATGCTAAACACTAGGTTGACACTCATGTTGCTAGAAAACGGTCAAAAAAGTTGCGAGGGATCAGAAAAGAAGGTAGATGCACTTGGAATTTAGCTTCAAAGGCTCTTGGATCTGATCTGTTCATTTTTGATACTCAGTACATGGACGTAAGTGTTCCAATGACTACATTCCAACGGCCCACTACTACCTCCTGTAGTATGCAGGTCCAAGACCTGTGGCAACGCCGTTGAGACGGCTCAAATGCTTGTCGTGGGTACTCGATGTATTTGCCGCTCCCGGGAATACCGTGATAGGTAGTTGTTGAAAATTCTGAGAACTATAAGATCATTTCAACATGCCAGACATGCATATCACAGCTCAGGCACTTGACTCCTCAGACAACTACCTTCAAGTCTCTAGCCCGCCACTTTCGTTTCCAAAATGCGCACCTCCACAGCGCTAGCAGCTGTTGCATTGGCACAGTCTACTTTAGCAGCTATTGAGCCCAGGAATTTCATCTTCATCGTCCCCGATGGCATGGGCCCCGCCTCTCAGACCCTGATTCGAACGTATTTGTCCATGGTCAACGGTGACTCAACCCCCCGGGCACCAAGGATCAAATCGCTTCCTCTTGATGTCACTGTCATTGGAAACACCCATACACATTCTTCCAACAATCTTGTGACCGATTCCGCCGCTGCTGGTACTGCTCTTGCAACAGGCCACAAGACTAACAATGGATTGATTGGAGTCCTGCCTGATGGAAAACCAGTTGGATCCGTCATGGAGGCTGCAAAGTTGGCTGGTTACACCACTGGTCTTGTTGTGACTTCGCCCATCAGTCACGCAACTCCTGCATGTAAGTTCTTGTCTATAACAAATTTTCAGGTCGTTACTAAACAAGGACAGCATTCTTCTCCCACGCAGCAAGCCGCAATTCTTTAAGCCAAATCGCGGAACAGCTAGTCGGATACAGCCACCCTCTCAACATCAGTGTGGACTTGATGCTCGGCGGCGGACGCTGTGACTTCCAGCCCCAAAACGAAACCGGCTCCTGCAGAGCCGACAATATCGATCTCTTTTCCTACGCCAAGTCACAGGGCTACTACACAGCCCGAGACCGTGCTGGCTTCGACGCTCTCGAGCTTGGTCTCGGCGACATCCAACTCCCCTATGTCGGGCTCTTCAAGGGCGGAGACCTCAGCTACGAGATCGATCGCCAGCAACAAGCCGCAGAAGTCCAGGAGCCATCGCTATCCGAGATGACAAAGGCAGCGCTCAACTCGCTCTCTCGCGGCAGTAAATCCAACGAAAAAGGTTACTTCCTCATGATCGAAGCCTCGCGCATCGATCACTCATCGCACGCACACGACTCTGTTGCGCATCTCCATGACGTACTCGAGTTCAACCGCGTCACCGACATCGTGATGAAGTGGATCGACGAGCACCCCGATACTGCTTTCCTTGCCGTTGCAGACCACGAGACAGGCGGCATCACGCTCCCGTCCGGACACAACCCTCAACTTCTTCAGCCCGGCAAGCACTCGGTCGAGTATCTGAGTGAGCAGTGGAGCAAGTACAATGGCACCGATCCAGCTGGCTTCCTCGCCAATGAGATCATTCCCGCATATGGCCTCGCCGATGTTTCGGATGTGGAGATCCAGAGGTTGATTGCTAGTGAGGACTTTGCGCAAGAGTTGGCGGATTTGTTGAATGCAAGGGCGGGACTTAAGTGGTCGACCGGTGGGCACACGGGTGTTGATACGACACTGTATGGTTATGCTGTTGGCGAGATCGGTGATCGCCTTGTCGTGGATATGGCTGGAGGCTGGGATAACACTGATATGCCCAAGTATATTGCGGATGCGCTGGGTGTTGATATGGATGAAGTTACCGAGCTGTTGAACGCGCAAGGGAGAGCGTGGGTACCAGTGGATGCGCCGGAGAGTTGGATCTGATATGGAGCGCTCTTTTTAGAAACATATTGAAGTGCTTGATTTTTGTTATTTAATGTAAAGACAAAATGAACAATCTAACATCCTTGATATTAAAGCCACTAGTGACTAGCCCTGCTGAAATTCTACTTTTTCTAGCTTTCCTCCACGATACCGTATTACAACCCCTCTGCGGTGTGTCCCAAAAGTACTTCTAAGCTGTTCGTACCCAAGATCTTAGAGACAGAAATATCTAGTCTAAAGCTCTACTTCCGCCAGACATGCAACTCAATTGCTGCAATCGAACACAATCCAAATTCAGCAAGCGCTAGATTGATGGGCGAATATCCTTCATCCTCTGACAAGACACTGAAGAGATAATGTGCAAATCTTCGCACAAAATTGCTCATAGCTTCTAGAGTCCTTACGATAGCCGAACCAGTATGTGAATTGGCGATTCATGAGTTGAGATGATTGGCTGAGCAAGTACGTTCTACCATAAGGGCCGACTTTCGAAAAAAAAACAGCTTCAGATAAGGTCCTCGGCGCCTGAATAGTAGCGCTATCAGTGTCCAGACTCAAGGACCATCACGGATGTCTTGGCGAGGGCGAGAAAAGAGGAATGGCTGTCGTATTTGTTGTGGATAGTCGGGTCCAGAACACAAGCTTCGCCGCACCAAGACTCAGGGATGTAAAAACATGTTCAAATGCTTTGATCATCTTGTGCTGTACTGGCTTCATCCCTGATAAGATTCACCTCCTCTTTCTCCTTCTTGCGTGGAATATCGTCTGGATGAGGATTTCCCTCGTGATGGTCATCGGCGCATACTCTGCTCCAGACAACCATGAAGAAGAGGAAACCAAGTAGTACAGCAATTATGGTGGGTGCAGCGGGATGACGCATTGTGCTTTTGATGTTGTTTGAAATTTGAAATAAATGTCATCCAGTCGAGTTTCGGAGGTGCCGGCGATCTATTGCGCCTCTGATTCCAGCTTGGAGGCTTTGCTTTGTTCGCGAGGCGTTGCGTCTTTTTACGCGCAATAGCTAGTTGAGTGAAATGTATTATTGGACCAAGGGATGCTTCGAATTCACCAATGAAGATATTAGTAGAAATAGTCTGTGATATGATGACTGGAAGCCAACACCTGGTCTGCGTTACAGGATTCTGGACGTTTTACGGCGCGTTGGACTATTGTGATCTGTTGCTCTTCAGAAATGGCAGCTATTGCCGAAGATTCCGCTTACTTAATATGTAGAAAGAGCTTTAACATGTATTGGGAGTAGCGTAGAAGTCGAAGTGGGGCCGGGCCTGTCCAGCTGCAGGTTGCCCGGACGCGTATCATCTCTACAAACACTAATCGCAGCCCTCACATGATCTCTTGACATGGACAACACCAAACCATGGCGCAAAATGCAAGGGTCTCTAGTATTACAGACGACCTTATCCGGTCTCTTTTGACTTCTGATTCAGCAAAGAACAAGCAAGCCTACAAACACGCTAAAGAGATCGCAACACGCAACCTTCGAGGTCACCAATATGCGCGTACAAATCAGTTCGATGTCACAGCTAGCTTTGCAGGGCTTGACGAGAAGTTTCGAGTCAAAAATCGCGATGACCTCGCTGATGCGCTGCAAGTGCGGCTGCAAAAGCTTGAAGGATATACAAACAAATACAAACCTGAAATCTTAGCATTATTACTCCAGCTAGCCGATCGGCCTCTTGAGAATACCCAAATCGAGGCACTGGACCTGCTGAGACCGCCGAGTCCCCCTCCACCGTTGACCTGGGCAGAGATCCTGCAAGATGATCCATACAGCGATGAAGATATCTGGAAGGACATTGACTATGCCGGCGACTCTTCTGATGAGGAGAAGCCACTGAAGAAGCCCAAAAGGCGTCCAAGCTCACCGCCGACGAGTTTTGATGAAGATGACACTTACGATCCGGAGTCTTGCGTTACGTCAATCGACAAAGAGATCGTGACAAAGCTAGAAGAGACACAGTTTTGGAGCCACCCTGTGAGCGAAGATAGTTCCGATGTGAGCATCACGGAGTTACAGGCAGTAAAGGAGACACTGTTCATGATTGGTGGATTGAAGACAAGTCTATATGAAACAGACAAACAAAAGCGCTGTTTCCGTCATAATTCTAACTATGTCCTCGATCATACTCGATCAGCCTCTGTCGAGCATCTACTATGCCAGCTTGCGGAAATTGGCTCGCGATTACAAGGAATGCGGCAATGGACGTTGCGACAGCGATCTAGCAAACGCCCGTCATCGCCTCTCGTCCAGACTTTTGACGCTTCTGTGCAGAAACGACTACTCCAGTTCGACCACTGTTTAGCAGAAATGCAACAGCAATACCTACTCCCTGAAAACCCAATACCTGTTAGTTTGCTCCAATTACACAGAGACATTCGGAAACTGTCCGCGCCCATTCTCCGCTTAGCACCAATTGTAACTCAGGTTGCTCGCGACCAAGCAACTCTGAAGGATAAACCTTTGGCGCATATCAATCCTTTCCGTCATTTGGAAGCCTTATTCGAAGCGGCTACTTTGGCGCAGATGGCACTGGAGGATAAAATCTTCAAGTATTTGTCGGAGGCCTTCTTCGAATGCTTACAGACATATCTAAAGCCAATACGGCGGTGGATGGAAACGGGAGAACTAGGGTCCGACCAGGAGGCGTTTTTCGTTATGGAAAATGACGCCAAAAGTGAAACGTCCTCATTGTGGCATGATCACTATGAATTGCGCCGTGATGGTCAGAATAAGCTGCAGTTTCCTTCGTTCTTGCAACCGGCAGTAAGCAAGGTCTTTAACACTGGAAAGAGTATTGTATTCTTGAAAGAGCTGGGCATTTACGACACAGGCCTACATTCTGAGGTTCACGAGCCCAGTCTGGACCATGAGATGGTATGCGGTACCTCGGACAACGCACCACTCTCACCCTTCCCGGAGTTGTTCCGCATGGCCTTTGAGTCATGGATTCGTAGCAAATACTCGATCGCTTCCACTGTACTCCGTCAACACATTTTCGAGACTGATGGCCTCATGCACGTTCTTGGAGTCTTCGAGACCTTATACCTGGGCCGAAATGGATCAGTCTTTGAAGACTTCGCAACCGCAATCTTCGAACGCATGGATGCCGGCAGACGAGGATGGAACGACCGCTACGTACTTACAGAAGTAACACGAGGTATATACAGTACCATCCTATCTACCTCTGAAGCCGACAAAATTGTCGTCCGCTCCACCAAAGCAAACCAAAACTATGGCAAGTCCGTCAAAGACTTGGCCATCATATCCGTAGACTACGCAGTAAGTCGGCCTCCCCCACCCCCAGTCCTCCCCTTCTAACTCATGTTCTCCCTTTCAAAAGCTACCCTGGTCCCTCCAAAACATAATCCAACGTACCTCTCTCCCAACCTACCATTCCCTCTGCACCCTCCTCCTCCAAATCTACCGCGTGAAATACCTCCTACAACGCACCCGCCTCCGCGCCGCCCGAAAACCTAACTTACCCCCCCTCCTCTACAAACTCCTCCACACCCTGACCTGGTTCACCGACACCCTCCGCTCCTACATCACGGAAACCGCAATCCATCTCACTACCCGCACGATGCTTTCGTCGATGCAGAAGGCACGGGATATCGACGAGATGGCGCGGATCCACGTCGAGTACATGGCGAAGTTGCGCCAGAGGACGCTGCTGTCGAAGGATGTGAAGCCGATTTTCGCAGCGATACTCGAGATGCTAGATTTGGGCGTGCTGCTTGCGAGGAAGGAAGGGAAGGAGCTGGGGAGGGTAGAGGCAGAGTTTAAGCGGTTGCTTCCGTTTATCAGTGCGGGACTGAAGAGTGTGGGGAGGGCGGGGGCGGAGCCCATGTGGGAGCAGTTGGCGGATCGGTTGGAGTGGGATGGGAAGAAGGACCGAGTTTTGGTATAGACGGAAAGGGATAGAAGATTTTGATATGCGTATTTTTTAGATGTCTTATGTATAGTCTAGTGGTATATGTACTATCGAGTGGACATCTATCTAGGAGTAGATGCCCAAGGGGATAGAGAAAAAAAGAAGCCTCCAAGTCCAAGATGCCGTAAAACTCCTCTTCCTCGAAAAGATAGACGGAATGTTCGCCGTGATGCATGTACACATTGCAGTACGCACACATCGTATCTATACATAATAATCCCAGTATCAAACCGATTGAGTCCTTTTTTTGCTGTACCTGAGCAAAAACACAAAACTGACTGCTGCGGATCCACACTCTCACTCCATTCCCACATATTTGAACCACAGCGGTCGACAATCCTCACGATTCAACCACTTCTCACCGTCGGTAAAGCGACCTGTGACGCAACCCGAGCACTTTGGATTGTTCGGACAGTTGAAGAAGGGAATGTGCTGGTATCCAATATCGCGGAACCAATGGATCTTGTTCTTGTCTTCGAACAGGCCGAGCGCCACACTGTGGACAGGGGCATCGCCCCAGCGCTCGTAGAAGAAGCCGCCAGCGCGATCGAGATGATCAAAGTAATCACGGTATTTTTTGCTGCGCCAGAAACTCAAGTCGCCGATTTCGAAGTTGGACCAGAAGTGGCAGGTGGAGTAGCCGTGGGCTTTCTTGTTGTTCTCGGGGCGGCGCTTGCTGTCTTCGAGCCACTCGCGCGCGTTGTTTGGGTGGACGTAGTCGGGGTTGTCTTGGATAAATTTCTTTGTTTCGGGCCAGAGGGTTGCGACGCTGTCTGGGCTGTCGTAGATGTTGATGTTGAAGCCGTAGGTTTTGTTGTGGTCTTGCATCCATGCGAAGACGTCGTAGTCGACGTCACAAAAGAAATGGACGTTGGGCTCGACTCGCCAGTAGTACTGCACATCTTTCAATGCGGGGTGTTCACTGAACATCCCGCTGTTCCACCGACACATTTGGTGGTACGACTTTTTGCCCATGTATTGTACGTCGAGTGATTCCAGCAGCGAGACGGACTCTTGGTATAGGTCCATATTTATCCACGATGGTACATCCCAGTGTTCAGCGGGGACCAGCTCGTATCGCACTTCGGCGTTGGTGGCTGCGCGCGTAGCCTTTTTGAATTCTTCGGTAAATGGCTTATCGTTGAAGAAGGTCCACGGGTAGTTGAACTTGTGATTCCACGTGCGTTCGAGATCGCGCATACTCTGAAGCATATCCTCAAGCTCTTCGTTGCGGACCAAACTGAGAATCGTGGCATTGATGCGTGCGCTTTTCGGGTTATTGGGGGCATAGTTATCGCCCTCGACTCGTCGCAGTGGCTCGGGGGGTTCGCCAGACGCTGTAAGTAACAATTAGAACTCATACTCTATAAATTAGAAAGCAGAAAATATCCTTACGGTCTAATTGAGGATCGTGATCCCAATCCCCAAGTTGGTTGGTCGGAAGCTTGTTCGGAATCTGTATTGGCGTCTCGGAACCGGGCGTCCTGAGAATCTGAACGAACAGATACAAAAACACACAGATAGTGGCGCCAGCCAAGTAGCGTACGCCCTTGGGAAGCGCCATCTTGAAAAGCGAGGGTGTTGGCTGTGGGGTTGGGACAAGAGTCCCGTCCTGAAAAGTCGCCGGGACGTTACATGTTGTGTTCCACGCAAGTGACGCGGAGGGCAAGGACGCTAGTACACGATAGGGAAAGTGGCAAATGTGGGTCTTACCACGTGCAATTCGACGGAGCTGAGGCGGCTGGCCATGTCCAGATGGTTTAATAAGGAATATATAAAATGATCGCATCGTAGAGCAGAGACACGCGTAGGGAAAGTAAGATAGCATGATACATGTCGCCGAAACTCCAACTCAATGAATCCTGACATCAACCACTGTTGGCGAAATACACTTGCCAGGCAGATATCCTGCCCCGACACGCTCATATATCGTCTCCCCAGCACAGCCCTTGTGTCCTGCCACTGCGACAATCAAAATGTAATGCCTTCGTGTCTCCGGCGATGGACTGCCTTTGGCCTTCCCCAGCACCACACAAAGCGTTTTCGGCATCGAAGATCTATTCGGGGTATCAAAGATCAACTCACCCTCGCTCAATACTGCAGCACCAAGATCGTACTCCCGTGCTGGAGCAACCAATGCCATGTTTGCGATACTGATATCTGTGTTGGAGATGTTGCTGGGAGCATTCGTTGACCACGGGGATTGCAAGTCCTCCTCCCACTCGTAGTTTCCAAAATCCGGTTGCAGGTAGTCTATTCCGCCAGTGTATGCCATCCATGACCACGAAGGCACAGTTGGTAGAACGCTTTCGGTGGGAAAGTGGATTCGGGTCAGGCTTCTGGTGTCGACACCGCGGCGCCACAAGAGACTGCGCCGGAGCAGACCCCGCGTCACTCCCTCATCGAAGACACCAAACCCACCCTTGACATACATTGTACGGAGAAGACGTTGTTGTAAGCCGTCTATAGCTGTGGGTCTATCGTACGCTTTGGTGAGTCCTAGACGCGAATACTTGCGATAGAGCTCCTGGCAGCGGAGAATCCTTTCTCCTTGACTTGCACTGGAAAGTATGTGAGGAAAATCTGGATCTCCCAAAAAGGCGGCGAGTTTACTGTTTCCAATAGTCAACCAAGGTAGATACAAATCTTGTATCCTGTACTTACTTGCTTAGCGTTGTCGAGGTTTCGCATCGAACCCCTACACCGCATTCAAAATACGTCTGATGTTCAGTAAAGAATAGCGTCCTCCGAGCAAGGGCATGTTCTTGCAGTACCCACCCACGAGCATGCAGTTCGCCATCGAGAACATGTTTTTTGAAATCGTCAATGTTCTGGCAAATGTAGAAAGGGGCTTGTTCTCTACCCCCACGACGCAAGCCAACATAATCTCTGCGATTGCGTCGTTTCAGGAACCCGGAGTGATGGTCCTCGGCGCAGCTCGCTGCAATTACACAGTATGCGCCACTGTAGACTTCCTCCATCCGCTTAGCCTCTTTTACAAAGTCGCCACCCGGCCCTTGTATTACGCATAGGGAATCGATCCAAAGGTATCGTCGTCCCAACGCACGCGTGACTGCCACAGCGTCCTTGAATGTGTTTGGAAGAGAGTTCAAATCCATACCATCAAGGTGAGCTTGAAGGGTTTCTGTGGTAGTTGAGAAATGCTTGGAGCCCCATCTGTGCGACAGAGCCACCCATTCTCCAGTGTCTTCAGCTCCAGTCACCCAAAGGCGGATCATGTTGTCGCCATCTACACCCACGTCGAGCAATCTGGTCGGTAATCGTGATATCATATTGGTTCTGGACTGTAGAGAAGGCGCGCACGAGTGATTCTGGTCGCAATAGTCAAGCCAATTTTTGACAACCTGAAGATGGACAGCACTGCCAGCATCTGGAAGGGCAACGAATCCTACCTGGACGTCAGTACTTGGTGGTAACTGCTGTCGAGGATCGCGAACGACGGAGAGAACGGGATGTCCACTGCTCTTGATTGTCAAAAAGGGACCAGTGCGGTCAAACTTGATGATTGGAGATGCCGCTTCGCCGTGCCTAATAGCAGTTCTTAAAAGCAAGGGACACAGATCGCATTTTTTGGCGCGTGCGTTTGCCTTCAAGATTTGGTTGTCGTATGATATTGAGAAACCAGGACTCAGAACCTGTTCTTGAAATATTACACAATCTTTGCAGAGTACTGTTGCTACTGCATGATGATTATGATCATGTGCATTCGTCATTGCGAGCGCTGGAAGTAAGTCCAATGTCACACTGTTGCCAGATGAATACTTCCAGTCATTCTCATCAAGCTCTGGAGAGGCATAGTTGACCTACATAGAGAAACGTTAGTTATTTCGCAACAAGTTACTAGATCTCGGGGATACTTACTCTCTTTTGGTAAGGAGCGGAAAGACCATGACTCGCTGAGTTCAAAGTTTCTGTATACGTGCCGAGATCTTCATCCGTGGTACAATAACTCGATGCAATCAATTGAGATGTGGAATATGATGCGGAGAGGCTTTCAGGAATCGAGTGACGTGATCCGTCGATACACCAGTAGGTCTCGTCTTCGTCCTCTGCATCAATGTGTTCCAGTCGTTTCCGGAACTCATCCGCAAGGAATCGACTTTCACCTGCAGGCTCAGGTTCAGGCTGTAAGGGAGTCTCAACGGAGATAGACTCTGCTGGGGTCAGACTGATTGAAGGTATGTCCGATGTCAGTCTCTCAACTGAGCCCACAACGTTTTCTTCAACGGCTGCCTTTTCAGATGTGATAATGCCAGATCCCTGTATACTCGGAATTTCGGATGCAGAATCTTTACGAGGTTTCATGGGGGGTTCTGATATCGTCGTACCCATCCTTGGCCGAAGTCTGACAACGAGCAGACCAGTCCTCACAAGTTCCAGGAGATCCCCGAGTGCAGTAGTGCCAACCTGGCACTTAGGGTCGTCCGCCATCACGTCCATCCAGCGTGTCACAGCGCTGTGTACTGAAGCAATCTTCTTTCCGTTGACCACATGAATCTCGTAGAAACTGTCGTTGCCTAATTCATTGTGAAACTGAGTAACTGACTTTTCCCCATACAAAAGCCAAATGATGAGCTCCAGGGTGATGCAGCCCATGGCCCATATGTCGTATAGCCGTGAGCGTCGTTTGGTTGTGTGACCCAAATATTGAGACTTGATTCCTGTCTCTACTTCTGGGGCTTCGTATCGCCGAGTACCATACTTGGCTGCTGTTTTGCTAGGACGCATCACCGTGGCCTGGTCATGTTGCCTTGCCTCGCCCCAATCACCAATCTTGAATGTTCCTACTGATCCTCCATTGTTGAAAACAAGAATGTTCTCCGGTTTCAGGTCGCCATGTCGATATGAAGCTCCCGTCTTATTCAAGTTGTGGGCAGCTTCAAGTGCTTTCGCGAGTCCCAAAATCTGTTTAATAACGTCTTTGACGAGGTGTGCTGTCATAACGGGAGAAGGCATCCGTTTCCAAAGACTGCAAAGGTTTCCGCCGTCTGCCCATTCAAACATCAAGTAATACTCTTCCTCGCCTTTTTCTTTTAGGCGTCGAAAAGCCGTGATAAAATGGACGATATGGTCTTGGTTTAGTTGATTCATTGTCCGAAGTGCCCTGACTTCTTGTTCCCAGTGTTGCGCTACTTCTTCGGCATCATCTTTAGCCTGTATCTCCTTCACTGCAAAGGAAGTGTCTTCTAGTAGAGCCTATCCAAGTGTCAAAATCTACACGAGTACCAAATTTGTTCGATCGAAGCCACTTACAGGATTCAGGTGATTCCGGTGCACTACATACTGTGACACGACACCGAAAGAGCCCCTTTTTGAGTCTACGTTCTTTGCAATGAAGGGCAGAATGTGAGACTCCTCCAGGTCATGGTTGAATTCGGTGGTCGAGAAGACTGGAGCGTTGAACTGCCACTGTTTTTCGAAGAAGTCTGAGGCCCACTCTTTTCTCCCCAAGTCCCGCTGGTCTTTGATAGGAAGTGAATCGTCATCGATGCCCTTCCTTTTCAAGGACTTCATTATCTCCATGCAATCGCCTTTCATGTATACCACAATGGCAAACACCTTCTTGGCATGTTTCTTGATGAACTCTATCATCTCACCTTCTTTCCTCGAGGCGGGTGTGCCTATACCTAGGGATATCTTGATCATGTCTTCTGTGATGATACCTTGCATGTTACCTTCCGGCACGAATCTTAGTGGAGTTTTCTCGAAAGCGCTCTTCACAAGTCTGTCCGTGATCAAGGGTCTTAGCTGTGGTCTTGGGTCCGTCTCTTCGTCGGACGATGACTCGTCGGACTCATTGTCAAATATAGCTATGGAAGTGTCGCTTGTGGCCACTGGATCTTCGGCCATAGTTGTAGAATCGGTGGCCATGGCCATGTATGGTCAGAAGGAGAGGAATCTCGGGTAATGAAGACGGACGACTTGAAAATTGAGTGCAAATGCAATGATTGACGCAACAGATCTTGCCAAGTACCAATATGTATTGTGTTTCATCATGAAAGTCTATATCAGTAACTCCATTCCATGCTTTATAAGATGCCAGATGCAACCTGAATGCCACGGAGCTGCTGTTGACTCATTGAAGTTCAGTCAAACTCACATAGGACATGCAAGGCTGAAGCTGAAGCTGCATCAATCCTGCAACAGGTGAGAAAGTGCCAATCGAACACTCCAGGATCCAATCAACCAACGGACCAGCCGGAAATGAACCAATCGGAAGAGGTGCTGCTGCTGGGCACACAGCCGAGATGAGAGTATGTTATCGCGGCGTCTACACCGGAGCGTCGCTTATAGCGACCAGCTGAGCTGCAGCCCCGAAGGACAAGTCTCTGAAGAAGGCAAAGTGTGAAACTGGAGGTGGCGAGGGTGGGGGGCCAGTAAGTAGTCGCAAGGCTGAACAACAGCCGTGGTATATCCGATGAAGAACGGTCAAATGACACAACTGAGAGTATTTCCAATTGCAAGTAACCATTGTATATTCGTTTACTCATATGTAGTAAAACGCCTTTATGAACGGCTGTGAGGTAGTGTTTTAGTTGCGAAAGTCGCTGTTGCCCAATGATGTTTGCTTTTGTGAGAACCAGCGACGCACAGTCCACACCCCAATCACCTGCCTATAGTAAACACTTGCCTTGATAGCCACCCTGACTGCCACAAACCTTCCTTCAGACCATACCATCCGTCAGCTGCATATAAAATTTCAAATCGCTTATCATTCCATCTCGAACCATGGTTAAGTGGCTGCATCATACGGCGCTCACAGCCTTATCCTCTACCAATAGCATGCATACATCATCGACACTCTCCCTCCACCTCCGTGCTGGTTATGTCATCGCCGACACTCATCGAGATCCGACTTCATGAGAGCAATTAATCAGCATGGTCATGACCGCGGACATATAGACATAGCCTTACCGACGTCAGATCCTCGCAGCCCTGGATAATATAGGTGTTATGCATCATCTGCAGTATGAATTAGCGAACTTCAACCACGCCGCGTTCTAGATTTCTGCCCACATGTACATCGAATCCGCAAGGAAACTTCAGCTCCAGCTTCTTCACCAGCTTTTCTGGGTCGATACCGATAACTCCAACCTTTTGCTCATAATTTCGGCAAGGTAACTCGGCAGTTGATTGTGGGAGTTTTCGTCGTTTCTTTAAGGATTTGGGAAAAGGCCTCTTAAGCATCTGAACTAGCCCACCCATTCTTGTTGTCGTTGGAAAATTGCGCAGGACCTTCTCGCGGGATCCCACCTGAAATAAGTTCTTTCAGTCTTCAACCCCGAGGTGGCCTCATGGGATCAAGCCACTGGGCTGAGCAAGCGTTCATGTCGCCTTCCTCTCAGCCACAGGCAATCTCGAAGAGCCAATCATGCCTGTACCTCCGACACCAACAACCCTAGAGCTGAACCCCTGCGCCGGGCAAGAACAGTGATGCGCGCGCATCATCAGATCTCAGCATGCATGTATGTGACGCGGTACGAGGTGTCACCGGTCATATCTGATACCTTTCTGTAGCATAATGCCTGAACAAGAAATTGGCGCTTATAGGCCCAACCCTCAATATCGTCACTTCGTGTGCGCCATGGCTGTCAAAGAGTCAGACTCGCGCACTGGTGTACGCATTTAGTATACTTTGTCGGTGTGGTGGAGAGATGATTGGGTCTGATCAGTCTCTCACCGGGCATTCAGGGCTGTATAATGAAAGAGCAGAATGACGGAGCCTGAAACTTCGCCCTGGCCTCCATATTGCGCCCCTACAGGGGTTTTACAGCCGTCAGTATTGGACCCCACGCTTGACTTCAGCAACGGGTGCCTCACCGGACTTGAATACTGTGCGCATCATGATTCCTGGTGCCTTTATTCGTCCTTCCCGTTTCCATTCTTGCCTAAGGTATCCCTACAGCTTCAACTAAACTGTTGCAACATACATGATAGGCCTAGCATGGTGACCATGCAATCGACCTCACCAGTAGTGTGCTCTTCTCAATCCGATTTATACCTGCCCGAATACCGAAATCCAGCCTTGCGTAGAGATGCTGAGCTAGTGGCTGACGATTGCTGCTTTTCTGAAAGAAATAACATGCAGACCCGAGTCCCGCAGCAAGGTACATTAGAGCTGAGACCACATGTACATTTGATAGCTGACGATCTGCGACAGATGCGACGCAACAGCTGTGTCCAAGAAGCGAGCAATCGCCTGATGTCGAATCGAATCAAGTACCCAGTGGTTCACCTGACGACATGCATCTGTCAAGCAGAGATCCAACTTGTTCCAATACCAATCACGCTATAGCAGAGAGTGATGGTGCCCGTAATGAAGCTCTTGGTGAAGAAACAACTGTACCTGCAAGCCCAAGAGCTTCCAACATGCGAAAGAATGTCGTCAGTCCCGTTTTGTTTATACAAAAATGGGCGCGGACGCATTTACCTCGGGACGCGCCAACGACTCAGCTACGGAAGAAGCTCGCAGAAGCTACAATAAAAACGCACCGTCAGCTTAAGTTTATACCCAGGAGTCATGTCAAAAAAATTGTTACAGCTGAAGCAGTACAGATCGAGCTCGACAGGTCAAACTATCCAACCTTTCGGAGAACTCACAGAGACCCAGTTACTACCGAAGACTATTCAGCATATAGAAAAATCCTTGCCATCTTGTACCTCATTAAGAAGCCATCTAAGATCCGGATGTTTGTCCAATATGGTGTCTGCGACAAAGATCTCCCACTAGTCAAATGCAACAGCTCGAACAATCCCCATTGTTCCCCTGAACTGAGAAGTCGAAACAATCATCTGGCACAGCCTATAATTTTCAGAAGACGAGACTACGCGGATGATTTTCTTGAAAAACAGTGGACAGTTCTCGCTCCTGTATTTACTAAGAGTGAAGAGGACCGCAATGCACACATAGTTCTTGAATCTGACGCAATCTTACCTTTTATCTCCCGATCTGAAGTCACACGGCAAGGTGGGTTTGGTGACGTCTACAAGACTGAAATACACCCTGACCATCATAGTCTGGGTATGACTAGTGTAAGTAATGGCCCCCTGATCTGACCAGTTTATAACCTGGTGAAGCTAATAATTTACTAGGGAAATGTCTTCGCTATCAAAGAATTGAAGTCAAGTGATCAGGAAGCATTTAATCAAGAAGCTACTGTGCTCGGCAGAATTTCAAACAAGCGTCATGCTCACAAACATCTGATCACTCTATTAACCACTTTCCAGCACGGCAAAAAGTTTCATTTCATATTCCCATGGGCGGAGGCTGATCTTTTTGAACTCTGGAGACGCCACGAAAACCCACCTGATCGCGAGATGATGGGCGCATGGATCATAGAGCAATGTCGTGGTCTTGCAGATGCTCTCAACAGCATACACAGATACGCGACGACATCAGGAACAACATTGTTCAATGTCTTCCATTTGACCGAACAGGTGGACAGCGACAAGAAAAAAAGACTCATACGAACCGACAGTGCGGGCAGCGATCGTCACCTCCGCAGTCTGTTTGGCCGCCACGGAGATATCAAGCCAGAAAACATCCTGTGGTATCCCTGTGAAAACTCCACGGGACGTCATGGTGTTCTCAAAATTGCCGATTTCGGCGTGGCACGCTTCAACACTGTAAATTCATGGGATGCCCATAAGACTGGTCGAATTCCCGACACAGATACCTATCGTTCACCTGAGATGAATCTCAACGGAAACCCGACTACAGCCTGCGATGTTTGGGCCTTGGGCTGCGTATTTCTCCAGTTCGTCACCTGGTATTGTGGAGGCAACAAATTGGTAGAATGGTTTGGCAAGCGGCGTTTGGTGAAGGATCTGCAAGCTGCCAACATGAAGACCGACACCTTCTTCATTTTGTATGTGGATCAAGGACAGATAAAGGCTAAAGTCAAACCTGCTGTTGTAGAAGTAAGACTTCCTCGTTCTTCTCCCCTGCACTTCGATCCCTATCTACCCTAGCACACTATGCACACAGAATGGATGCGGTAAACATGCCATCTATTTAATGTCCTCTCTTTTCACATCGCTAAATGGACTCAGATAATCGAAGCGCTACAGGGATATAAAACCTGCACACGCGAATACAGAGAACTTCTGAACATGATCCAGCAAGACATGTTAGTCGTGCAGCAACAAGCACCCACACAAGAGGATAACAATAAATCAAAATCCCAAGAGGCACTCTCTTCGAATACACATAGTCAAACTCGGTTGGGTGGTGTTCGAAGAAAGAGCTGCGGAGATATCTGGCGTAGAATAGGTGATATTGAGTCTATTCGCGACCAAGAAGAAGGATTAACGCGGATCGACACGTTTGTACCGGCATCACCTGTTGCCGAGAGTCACTACATGTGGTCTTCGAAAACTCATCTGGCTAGTGCGATGAATGCACTTGAGATATCTTGACGTGGATGAGCAACCACGTGGCAGTTTCACCAGTACACGTGTTGTTGTGGTTGACAATCAACCATACTCGATTGTACCCCATAGATTCCATATCGAGAAGCGAAACCCAAGTCCACGAGAGTCGACTACCACTCTTCAAATGCCGTGCCATATCAAGGACCTAGTTATTCCTCTATCCACTTCGTTAGACTAGGAATAACACGCCGATGCAAGACCCGAGTCGTGGCCGCCACACCCTCAATCGTTCCTGTAAGGATCACTCAAGCGCGCGGAACTTGGATGGTAAGCCACTGGCCACCCATCGCCTGACATGCTCGGTCATACTTCCTCGCATCAGATCAAATCCAACACAGCAACCAGGATACCAACCTTGCATTGCGGAACATGGTGCACCGTCATCCCAGACGCAACGTCGTATCCCCGATCATATGGATATGAAGTCATGAATCTTGTCTTCACATTCCATGAAGAACCACCGAGAAATACACTTACCAAGTCCACACGCCGTTTGTAAAATTACAATGTTCGCATGATTTTGTTATATACCCCAATCTCCAATTCGATATTTAATCCCAAACGATTTCATTTTTTCCACATCAATTAAATCTCGAACGCAAGAAGAATTACACAAAACAAAGGCACAGTAGTAAGCAAATGACAAACTAATGTCTAATTCAAAAATCAACTTTGTTTACATCTATTCATATACTCCATAACATGATCATCCCATCCATCTATACTCTCCCACTTTCTCAATGCTACAACAGCCTCAACACCTCTCACCTCCACTCTTCTCACAATCTTGCATCAAATCTAATGCTCATGCCCATGATGCTCATGTCCCACGCCTTTATCCCCAAAGTCCACCTTCCACCCCCTCGTAACAAAAACGCGAGGATCCCTCACAACTGCAAACGCCGCCTTCTTGCCCTGCGCAGGATGGAATTCCAGAGGCACGGATTTCTTCCGACGAGTCTCCTTCTCGCCCTCCTGCATAACAACAACCTCCTCCTTGTCCTTCCAAACCTTGGGTGCACCGACGATGATAATCTTTTCAACGCGGACATTCTCCATAGTCTTGAGGTACTTCTCGCACTTGACGGTGCGCTGGTTAGTGTCGAGGTTGGAGGAAGTGAGGACTTGGCGGGCGCCGTCGAAGGAGAAGCGGCGGTGAATGAAGGCACCCATTTCGTAGTCGAAGGTTTCGCCGTCGTCGAGGTAGAGGGTTCCTACAGCATTGCCGTCTTTGTCGAGGTTGACGACGAGGGTGAAGGGGTCGTATCTCATGAGGCCAGATGAGCGGCGGGGACGGTCGCGGCGGGGGATGATGTTGCCGCCTTGCATGAGGAGAGGGATCTTTTCGAGAGGGGCGGGGACGGTGTGGTGGCCTTTACCGCTGTAGATGGTGTAGTCGAAGTAGTCATAGTAAGGCTGCTCATCTGCAATGTAGACAGAGACGCTGTCAGCGCCCTCCTTTGTAACTGGCTTGGCAAGAAGCCCGGTGGAGCCAATGTAAAGCTGGTCATCAACCTCAAAGCCAGCCTCGTCATCCGGATGAACCCAGAAGTTCGGACGGATGATTGGAGCACCAGTTACGTGAGCTTCACGGAAAGCAGTGTACCAAGCAGGGAGCAGCTGGTACCGCAGGCGAAGGGCTTGGGTGATGATCTCAGTGTATGGTGACCCAGCAATGTAGGGCTCACGACGACGGGTGTCAATGTGAGCATGACCACGGAAGAATGGGTAGTATATACCCGCCTGGTACCATCGGGTCAACAATTCCTTGCTGGGATTACCGAAGAAGCCTCCGACATCTGCACCTCCGAAAGGGAAGCCAGAGATACCCTGGTTAAGAACCATGGGAATAGAGGCCTCAAGGTGAGGCCAGTCTGCCTGGTTGTCGCCAGTCCACATGGCTGCAGAGCGCTGACTGCCAGAATAGAAGGCACGGGTGAGAACAAATGGACGACGGAGCTCACCCTTCTTACGCTCCGTGATGGCTTGGTATGTCGCATTGTGGAAGGTCATGCCGTTGATGTTGTGTACGTCGCGGTGCTCCCAGTTGCCATGGTGAAGGTTGTCCTTGGGCATAGTAGTCTCAGGGCCGTTGAACACGGATGGCTCGTTCATGTCATTCCAGATGAAGGTGTTGGGAGCGGTCCCCTTGAACTTGTCATACTTGAACAAAGTCTTCCACCACTCAACAGCAGCCGGGTTAAAGCAGTCGACCCACATGGAAGAGCCAGGCCAACACCATCCATCGTAATGGTTGCCATCCTTGTTCTTGACAGCTAGGTCCTTCTTCTTGAGTTCATCGATCACCGGGTAGTCATTGGTATTCTTGATATGAGGATCAATAATAGCAACGAGCTTTCTTTCACGCTTGTCAAGCTGTTGTAGCATTCCATCGGGATTGGGGAAGGTAAGAGGGTCCCAAGTGAAGTACTTCTTCTCCTGTGTGTATTCAATGTCAAGCCAGATGACATCGTATGGGATGTTGAACTTGTCAAATCTTCGGTCGACATCCTTGACGTCTTCATCGGTGACGTAGTTCCATCTGCACTGATGATAGGCAATGGCAAAAGACTGTGGCATGGCAGTGTAGCCGGTGAGCTCACCGTATTGGCGAGTGAGATCCTGAGGCGTTGGGCCAAGGAAGACAAACACGTCCAACAAACCACTCTCAGACATCCAGTGAGTTTGTGTGTCAGTGTGACCCTCAACACCAAGGGCTAGAGGGTTCACAGTGTTTCTCTTCTTGGTGACATCAATCCAGGTCTCGGCAGCATTTAGCCAGAAGACACCGACGGTTGAGCCCTTGCGATGGGCTTGCATGAAGGGAATGGCGCCATAGAGAGTCATAGGGCTGTCCATCTCGTATTCAAAGACATCGGCATTGTACAGACGGTATGGCTCAGTGTAAGCGTTGTCGCCGCCTCTGTTACATGTTAGTTATAATTGGTGAGGGCTCGTCGTCAGTACGTACCGTGTAGTCTTGAGCGACAATCTTGTTGCGTGCTCAGGAATACCAAATACATGTGCGTAACCTGGGAAAGAGATATCGAGTGCCACAGCCTCAGGGCCTCTGGGCTTGCTATCGGTGTTACCACCGAAGCTCTCTTCCCACCATGTACTCTCGTCTTCGCCGGGTTGCTCAACCTTCTTCTCTTCTTCTTTGGCTTCTTCTTTGGCTTCTTCCCCTTCCTTCTTTTCTTCGACAGGCTTCTCGATCTTTGGTCTCCAGTGCTCCACGTTCATGTAACCACGCTCGTTGAACTTGACCTGGGTCTCTCCTTCCCTCTGGAACTCGATGCCGAATGGTGCATGTCGAATGACAGCTTGGTGTCTTCCACCTTTGCCGTAGACGACCTTGGTGTATCCTTGCTTGGCATCTGGACTGAATGCAGCACCGGTCGAAGGAGTCAGTCCTCCAACGAGAGCCCATTTGGAGGCTTCATTGTATCGTTCCTTCCTTGCTTTGCTGTCGTGACGGAGCGCGATGTTACCCTTGGCCCTCTTTTCCTCATCGAGGGTAACGCGTGCGACACCAGTCTCGAGGAAAGTAACAGTAAGCGGCAGACGAACTTTCTCCTCGCCTTCTTTCACCGTCTTGAGGACGACAGCATCCAATTGACCGTTGTTGAAGGTTATCGAGGCAGGGTCGAGCACGTAGGGGGAGCTCCAGGAGCTTGATGCAGCGACGTCATCGGCAAACTGGCGATTTCGCTTGCAAAAGCCAGATTGATCGCATGTTTTGAAGTTTTCGTGCTTGACCGAGACTGCAGCCTGTCAGCATACCATTCTTTTCGCTGTATTCATATACCAAGAAGATGACGCTGCCAGCCACTGCTGGGTAGTCACAGAGAGCTGCGGTGAGCTACATACCAGCTGTCCCAAAGAAGCAACACACAACGACTAGCAGTAGAAACACAGCCGTCCACCGGGGAGGCCGCTCCCGTAGATTGATCATGGCAGGCAGCTCTTGAGGATGAATTCAGAAGCCCGCCTGGAATGCCATTCACTCAAGCCAATCCTCAACACTCAAGATGCCATGTGGACTTTGAGACGACGCCAAGCTCAGGGTCCAGTGCTTTTGCACAAATCAGGCATAACTTTATGCAACATTACCCCACTAGACAACGAAGGCCGCAGCAACCCCCCCTACCCCCACCTCTCAAAAAATCCAGCTCCATCTCGGTGCCTCTTTCTCTCCTTTAACCTCCACCTCTATCCAAGTATGCCTAGCCCACCTGCCATTGAGCTCTTGACCGAGGTCTGAAGACTAATTCCATTGACAGAACACCAAACATCACACTATCTCCACCATGACTACCGAGCAGACGTACGTTGACACTCTCAAGAGCAAGAGCTGCTCAGGGGCGGTGAACAGCATGCTGACAGAAGACATAGCTTCATCGCTGTCAAGCCTGATGGCGTCCAGGTACGTAACAGCTAAACTCCGTCTACAATTGCTCCATTGCACTCCTGCCGCTTGCAATTCAATTGCTATGGCAGCCTGAGATGATGGCTGGCAGAGCTTTCCAAAAAAGCAAAACAAACAACTAACATGCTCAACAGCGTGGCCTCATTGGTCCCATCATCACCCGCTTCGAGAACCGCGGCTTCAAGCTCGCCGGTATCAAGATGGTCCAGCCCTCCAAGGAGCACCTCGAGAAGCACTACGAGGACCTCAAGGAGAAGCCCTTCTTCCCCGGTCTCATTGCCTGTAAGTCTCTCTCTTCAGCCCAACTAGCGACCAATTGCGTCACTACCGCTCTCAACAATCGAGCCACGCGCTAACACGTTCCAGACATGAGCTCCGGCCCCATCTGCGCCATGGTCTGGGAGGGCCGTGACGCCGTCAAGACCGGCCGCTCCATCCTTGGTGCCACCAACCCCCTTGCCTCTGCCCCCGGCACCATCCGTGGTGACTACGCCCTCGATGTCGGCCGCAACGTCTGCCACGGCTCCGACTCTGTCGAGAACGGCAAGAAGGAGATCTCCCTCTGGTTCAAGGACGGCGAGGTCCAGAGCTGGAAGAGCGCTCAGCACGACTGGGTCTACGAGAAGTAAATGCCTTGACAACTAAGCTGTAAGGGCATTGGGCGACTTAGTAACTACAAAGACGTGGCGAAGAGCTAGTTCGTGTCTTGCGGTCTCGATGCCGCAAAACTGCGAGTTGGCCTAGTAGTTGTGACTTGTCAGTGAAAGGATGCTCTAAGCTTTTCATGGGATAGACGTGGGGCTATGAGATATGACCGCATGACAAAAAGGATACAAGTAGAAACCAATGAGACACATGAATGATCTCAAAGCACTTGATTGTCGATTGTGATGTCAATTGGACTATGCACGTTGGTGTTTACATATTACTTCTGATGCTAAGGTACTACAGTGACATTAAGCACCTATGCATCCGCACTGCCTCCGGCAGCCCCCTTTGCCTTATCCCTACTCCTAGTCTTTACTTGACTCTCTTCCTTCTCCTGTAACTCTTGCTTAACCTTATTCTCATACCAGGCCCTCAGCCTCTCTACCTCGCGCCACTCGCCCTCACCACGCTCAACCTCTGGCCCTTTAACCTCCTCTCTCGCCTTCAACTCTCCAAACATCCCCTCTTCTGCCCCCGAACCTGGTTTTCCCCACTGCCAAACACACCACGCGCTCTCATCCGCACTCACCAGTGCCGGATGCCGATTCAACGACTTCACCGCAAACGCCCTTAGCAACACTACATCGCCCACGCCTGCTTCCGGTAGTGCCTCTCGGTACGCACGGAAGCACTGAACGGTCGTTGTCGCGGGCCAGGAACTCGCATCCGTGATATGCAAAGTCGTGTTCCAGTGCTTGGGCCCCTTTTTCGCTTTTTCGCTTGCCGTCGTGGCGGAGGTGACGAGGGCGAGGATGTCTGGGTTTACGGATGAGTGGAATTGGGAGGAGCGGTTGAGGAAGTAGGGGAGGTCTTTGAGGGGGGTGTAGTAGGAGAGGGGGGTTGAGAGGCCGATTGAGGGGGATTCTTGTGTGGCCTCGGAGGGGTCGGGTTTTGAGGTGGGTTGTTCAATCAGAGTTGGGGATAAAGAGGTCGATGTCGTGTCTGTGGCTGCTTTGTTGTGGCCAGGCGTGGTTTTGGTCGTTGGTGACTTTTGCGCGTTGGGTGACGCGGATGTAGTAGCTTCCATGTCAACATCTTGCTGGGAAGAACGGAGATTGGTGGATGTCGCCTGGGTGGGTTGGGGTGTTAATAACGAGTCCTGTCCTGCGGGCGCAGCGACAAAGCCTGACTGCGCTTCATTGGTAGTTTGCTGAGTTGCGTCCGGAGTCATGAGCCTTTGCCTTTGTAAAGCTGCTTGTGAATCGAGCGTAGAGCTGCGCATGGACTCTCCAGCCTCGACTGTAGATGTTTGTGACAGGCCTTCACTTTCCCCCTGTTGTGACTTCTCCTCAGGCTTTAGATCCGCCTCACTAACCTCTTCGCTCTCCTGACGCTCAGAGATATTGTATACATTCCTTCTTGTTCTCCGGACACTGCGAGGACTCTGAGTGACCAGCTCGATAGGTCCTTTTGAGCGCAGCCGCCTGCTGGGACTTCCAGATTCAGATGGTGCAGCTTGACTGTTTTGAGTCTCGACAACTGCCTTTGGTGCAGGCTTCTTTCGTCCCGTCTTGGTCTTCGACTTTGGTTTGGACTCTGGATCAGTACCCGAGGGATATTCGGTAACCACATCATCTTCTCTACTAGGAGCATCGCGTTTCATAGGACTGCCAAAGTCCGATTTCTGTGCCTCAGTCAAGTCTTCTAATGTGCGTGCAGGCGACGCGGAATATTCGGTGTGAGTGTTCCGCTCAGCCCAGTCTTTGACAAGAACATCATTCATATGTTCATTCTCGGATGCATTTTGAACTTGTGACAATTCGAACTTGGGAGATGATGGGCCATCCCTCTCTTTTCGAGAACGAGCTGCAGCGAACTCTTGTTTCAAGCTTCTCTGCAACGATTTACGCGGGCTTTCGCGGACAGTAGTAGAAATATGAGCTGGAATGTTCTTCTCTGGAGACAAAAAGTCTGACTTGGTTTTAATGCTGTTTGGCGAGGCCTGTGCAGCTCCCTGTGATGGAGAATTTGCCGAACGCGCGCGTATGCGAGGAGAAATGACCGAGCGAGCGATGGAACTCACAGATCCCCGAGACCTTGTCGAGCGCGTGGTACGAACGGAGCCAGGCACCTCATCTTGTACCGATGGAGTTTGAGCTTTGGCCTTGGATCTTGTGTTCCTAGCCGGTACAGTACGTGGTGTATCCGCAGTCTGTACTTCATCTATGTCGTGGCCCTGTTCGGCTTCGATCATAGACAGTTCGTTGGTAGACAAATTAGGAACCTCAGATACCACCGAAGCCTTGGAGTGGTCAGTTTGTGAATCGAAATGGTCTTCTATCCATTGGTCTCCCATAACCGAACCTTGCTGTGTTTGGGTATATTGTTCATCCTGGAACTCGTGTGACATGTGGTCCATTGGGAAAGCGTCCTGCAAGTAATCGTCGGTAGCCTCTATAGAAGCTTCATATGAGTGGTCTATAGAGAAGGATTGCTCCATCTGGTCAACATCTTCACTAGGCTCCGGTTCCTGGGATAGTGTGTGAGTTGCAGCTGGCTCACCGGGGGCTTCAGAATGAATGGAGGTTTTGGTTGCGGGATCCTGGCTCACGAACTCACTGTGACTTTCGAAGGTTGCGGATGGAGGCTGGTCTTGATCCTGGGGAGAAGCCTTTGGGCTATGATGTTCGATGGGTGAGCCATGTTCACTAGGCAAAGTTTGCTGATTGTCTTTTTGTTCTTCAACGACCCCACCTTCAGAACCTACAGCTGGGCTAACTACGTTATCCTCAGTCTCCTTGCCAGTGTGATGAGCGGTGTCTTGGTCAGGTTCCTCAACACTAGAACTTTCATCCCCAGCTGAAGAAAGCATCGTTACATCGGGATCTTGGGCTTCTTCAACAGTGCTTAGCGCCTGTGTTGCAGGTACCGCTTGAGCATTTTCGCTGGCTTTCTGGGCATCTCCTGGATTCTGAATTGTTAAGGGGGCACCCGCATCAGAGTTATCAAATGAAGTGTCTGCAACTGTAGTCGAACCTGATGCCTCTTGCACATCCTTGTCTTCCTCGTCCGGCTGGACTTCAGGTGGTGGGGACGAGATCTCCATAGGGCGCGAAAATCCAGCACCATCCATACCAAAAGTGAAGCGCAAAGGTGCAAAGGCTGACTCATGATTCGGGTGAAATGTGGATACGTTCGAGGAACCAATCGAGCTAAAGAAAGACGTCTCGCCGATGTAGCTTGCTTGGCTTGGTGGTTTCTCCTCTTCTTCACCCTCGGCTTCCAATTCTACAGACTGCTCATTGGCGATGAGTTGATCAAAGTAAGAGGTAGCAGTGTTTTCGCGCTCACCAGGAAACGGTGATGGTATCGGGAGATTGGCCGAGTCCAGAGGTCGAAGAGTTGGGCTTCCAGGCTCCCTACCGATTGGGGTCAACAGAGCAGCAGACACAGCGTTCGGGGTGTCGGTTTGAATAATGGTTAATGTAGGAGGAGGCATCGCAATTTTTGGAGCGTTGATAAGTGATGCTGGTGATGTCTCCGCATTTTGTTCGTCTGACTCAGGGACGGACGTGGATGTTGTGGCTTGGTTTGGTTCAACAACCTGTACACGATCCTCATGTGTGTCGTTCTCTAACTGCGCTTCTGCAACCGCAGCTTCATCGCTGCCTTTAGCTTCACGCTGTACTTGATGAACCTCATCAGTGCTTGGCTCCTTTGTGACTGTGCTGCCCCCCTCGGTCTCCTCTTGGGCAGGATATTCTTCCTCTGTGTTGACTTCAGTATCTACCTCGGTATCGCCACCAAAAGCGTACTGGGCATCTGATGACAGATGTTCATCTGGAGCCGAGTAGAGCACACTGTAGTCAGACTCGCGAATGACGCTCTCATCTGCATTTTCCTCATCCGATTGCAAGATGGCCTCCTCTGCTGAAACGGGCGCCTCTGTTGGCTTAGCACCTTGAGCACGCAGCGGTTTGGCTGATTTGGATACTGTGGCGGATTTTGAGGGAGAGGTAGGTGTTTGAGGGAGCTGTTCTGGGCGGCTGGGCGATGCCTCAAGCCACTCCATTTCGTCTTCCATGGGAGCATCCTCCTTCTCTGGCGAGGGCGTCCTCGCACTATATGTCCATGCCTTCCAATCTCGATACGATTTCCTCCGCCGCTTTTTGTCGTGGCCTTCGCCTGTCTCGTCGGCCAGGGGATCGTAAGGCGGTTCGAAGAAGGGCCCATCAGATAGGCGCACGCGCTTCAAGAAGGCAGGAGACGAATATTGTAACGCTGGGCTTGGAGCAGCTCGATATTGTCGGCGGAGTGGTGATGCAGGGGCTGGAGTGGGCGGCGCATCAACGAGCTCGATATTGGCGGTTTCTTCGCCGTTTCGGTAGATGCGAATGACGACTGTTTGAACATATTCCAGCTCCCAATCGATACTCTTTCCGGGCGTGCTGATGGCGCCCTCGGTGACGAATTGCGCGCCTCGCAGGCTCAAGACGACCTCATCGCCGATTCCTACACCTGTTGTCGCAATGGCCTTTGCACTTGCGCCCGAAAAGCGAGCCCTGACCTGACCGTTCCTTCGCCTAAGCCGGAGATCTGGCTCCGCGAGCAGGAGGGCCAGTTGGCATGCAGACGACGAGTACGGCCATATCAGAGTGACGGTGGCCCGGAAATGCTGCGATTCCACCGAGGGCAGTTCGGGGCTGAGTTGCGCAATCGGTGTCTGCTCCATGACGCAGGTGAAGAGGCGCAGGTTGTTGTTATGAAAAAGACATTACGTTACAGGGGCGCAGGTGTAACAGCGAGCAGACCAAAGAATAAAGTATGCGCTGAGTGCTGTTGTCGGTGGATTGACGTCTGAGCAACAAACGGCTACTACCGGCGCGTCGTTCCGAAGACGCGACCTCATCCAGCACCGTTCGCTTTCGATCAACCGAGCACCGCCTGTGTAAAGCAAAAATAGAACAGGAGAGTTGAACACTTTGCAAGATAACCTTACGCAAAAATTTGTTTCTCCTTGATTTTGAGAATAACAATTTGTCTTTTGACGACAGCAGACTCGATATTCCCGGGTACTCAGTGGAAAATATGCCGTGGAGCATCACGTGACTATCGGCTCCACTATCCAAATGGGCAACAGATGGTTCCGATGTGTTACACAAGAACTGCAAGTACAGAACTCAAGTTACTAAGTAGGAATAACAACAGCCCCAGCTATGGCTCTGTAAAGCCGATTCAAGTCTGTAAAACGTGTGCCCAATCTCGATCTCCCAAGAACCTAAGCCGAAGATCAAAACTCGCAAAACTGTTTGCAGATCAAATGATTCGTGTCTCCAGAAACACATAGGCTCAACAGCACAAGGATTCACACTCACTCACCGTATCATGGAAGCTCAAGTGCATCCTTCAACACCGCCAACGCGCCAAACAAGTCACTATCATGATACCTCCTCGCATTAACCTGCAGCGTAATCGGCGCCCCCTCAAAATTCGACTGCTCCCAAAGTTCCTTGACATGCTTGCACTCCTCACTCAACGGCTTATAATCCGGGGCATATTCCTCCTTTGCCTCAGCCTTTATCGGCGTCGGCACAACAACACCTGGATAATCCACAAAATTGTAGAGACTAGTATACGTCCAGTAGAAGGCCGAGTCGTGCGCACAAGCTGGGCCTACAAACGCAGGTCCGATAACGATATCGACTTCCTGTTTGTTCCAGCTGTCGGCAAATGCGTAGCGGAACTTGTCACGCTCGGCGCGAAGATCGGTGACTTGAGAGGCATCGAGCATGCCATGTGGTTTGGCGTCCTTCCAGCCCCATTCTGTTAACTCGAGAATAGGTTCGCCTGATGCTTCGTAGGCCTCTGTTTCTTTTATTCCAGCTCCAGGCCAGTACATGCGTCGGATCATTTTCCATGCTTCTACTGCGTTGTAAGGTTTGAAGTCTTTGATGTCAAAGATACCAGAGTGTTTTGGATCGGACAGTCGTGATCTAGCCCATGCTATAGCGCGCTTGACAGGAGGCTGGGGCTCGATGAAGCCGTCGTTCTCGATGATACCTATTCGTAATGGCTTTCTGGTTGGAGTTTGCAAGCCCGTCCATGGCAAAGGAACTAGCTTTTGATCTTGAAGCCACGGCTTCTGGCCAATGACGGTGTTCATGAACAGGTCTATGTCCCGTAGGCTTCGACTGAACGGGCCAGTGCTGGCTAGGATGTTGAGTTCGGCGGAGAATGGTAACGCAACATAATCCTTTGCTGGAAGTACATACGACGTAGTCTTGTATCCATAGACACCGCAGAACGCCGCAGGGCCTCTGATGCTACCGCCAATGTCTGTGCCCACACCAAGAACTGATCCTTTCATGGCCACTAGTGCTGCCTCACCACCTGATGAACCTCCAGCGCTGAGATCAGTGTTGAATGGATTTATAGTACGACCGTAATGTGATGTAGTTTCTAAATGCATGATTCCCTGTGGCTGGTTTGTCTTGCAGTAAAATACCGCGCCCATACTTCGCAATATGGATACCATGACGCAATCCTGTTCATTGAACTGCGTGCTTGCCATTGATCCACTGGAGGAGTAAGTCGCAGCAATGGGTATATGCTCCTTGATGCTAATTGGTACCCCATGTAAAGGTCCAACTGTCCTTCCGTGCTTCTCCAGATAATCGTCGAGCTCCTGAGCTCTCTTAATTGCGTCGTCCATGAACCATTGTGTCAAGCAGCACGTTAATTGATGCGCAATTATGGCTCGTTTAGAGTAGGCAGTGGCTACTTGAACAGCTGTCAAATTACGGGCAGCGATAGCTTCCGCAAGGCCTACCGCATCGTACTTTTCCGTGATATCGATCTCGGCAGGAGTCAAGATACCACACTTTGCAGGTACACCAGAAACATCCCTTGGCGGGTTTGAGAAGAAATCTGATGATAGCCGCAGTTCTGGAGGCACTTTTTCCGCGAAGGCCTCAAGAAGGGCGGTACGCTTCTTCTCGTATTCCGGTGTACCCTGAAGCAGGGGTTTAGGTTGAAGTATTGCGAGGCGGGAAGGATGACCAGGCATTCTGACGGACAAATAACAGCAAAAAAATAAATACAAAGAGTTCACACTTTCCGTACACGCGATGGGGGATCACAAGCCCCTTATGTGCAATTCGTTAGTCATCTCCGGTGTTAAGCGGAAGCAAGCCGTGCATTCGTTTTATGGTACATCAATCATGCGGATCCAGCACTGGGCAACGTGGCGGTCCAATTCTCCAACTGCCGGCACGATACCATGATAGAGAAATCGGGGTCAAGAGCGGAACCATCCCGGTGGCCAGCTATTCCGTGACAGATAGTCGTAGCCCCGCTTAACCCCCCGCTCCCCCGCATGAATCGATACCTTCATCCTTACCACTTTACAAAACGTCTATGTATCATGCCAATCACGAATCAAAATCGTATCAAAGAAACCGGGTAATCTAGCACATAGTTGGATTAACCTGCAGAATGACCTGCTTGCTATCATCAGACTTGCCATTTTCGCGTTGACTTGCTACTTTCGTGTGGACTTACTGTTTTCTCAACTACACCCCGGCTCGCACGATAGCTACTCAACCGCGTCCTCCGTCATCTGCCTATCACAGCACATTGCTATCTCTCAATCCTGAAAATCAACTTTCAGGACAAAATCATGGAGGTTGGAGATCATACAGAATCTTATCAAAAGCAAGTTGACGCAATTGGGTAACCTGTCGCACCCTGCACAACCAATGCTCGGATAACCCCACCCGTATACCCCAACATCCTTATAATGTTTCCCATCTTCTCCCAATGCCCTAAACGTCTCTTCCCATTTGATTGAGCGATATTGTATTCTTCAAGATGGCAGGCGAATTTAATGATCTTGACGTGAGACCTGTTCCAGGTACCGTTCATCTAGTGGACCTGGACCACAGCATGCGCGCTCGCCATGCTGAAGATGGAGATATTGTTCTGGACCCTGCACCCTCGAGCGACCCGAATGACCCGCTCAATTGGTCTCCACGCCGTAAAGTCATGTCCACTATATGTATCAACCTGTGCGTGCCCACCTGACCAGCTTCTGTAGTCAATTGCTAATGCTTTTCGTGAAGATATACGTGGATGACTGGTATCGCGGTATCAACAGTATATTCTGTATTAGTGCCGCTTTCAAAGGCCTCTGGAGTCTCCGTGTCAACCCTAAATGAAGGCACAGGTTATATGTTTCTGTTTCTTGGGTGGGGACTCCTCTTCTGGCAGCCGTTTGCTTTGCGATATGGAAAACGACTCACTTTTCTGATATCTGTTTTGGGAGCTATTGGTACCAGCATCTGGAGGTATGAAAACCATAATGTATGCTTCTTTGAACTCACTGACTGTTCCAGCGCCCACGTCAAGAGCAATGGCGAATGGATCGCTCGATGCATCGTAACAGGCTTCTTCGTCGCCCCCGTAGAAGCCCTCCCTGAGATCTCAGTAACTGACGTATACTTCACCCACCAACGCGGGCTCTACATGGGCTACTACGCCCTCTCACTCGCGGGCAGCAACTACTTCGCTCCAATCATCAGCGGATTTATCTCTGAAGGCCAAGGCTGGCAATGGGTCTTCTACTGGCCCGCCATTTTCCTCGGCTGCACCCTCATATTCCTCTTCTTCTGCCTGGAAGAATCAAACTACGTCCGTAAAGTCGACGGGGTACCCATCCAAATACCTAGCTCACAACCACCTCAAAAAGGTGTACCCGACGAAGAAAAAGTCGAAGCAGCAACCAGACAAACGACGGGAAGCGACGAAATCGGAACCTCTTCAAAGACATATATCCAGAAACTCTCCCTCTGGCAGCCGTCCCCAGGCACTAACGTCTTCGAGCGCGCAAAACGCAGCCTACTATACCTCACCTGGCCCCTGATTTTCTACTCCGGATTCAGCTACGGCTCCTACCTCATCTGGTTCAACGTCCTCAACGCCACGACCTCCATCATCCTCGGAGGCCCAGGCTACAACTTCAAGCCCTCAATGGTCGGTCTCAGCTACGTTTCGTGCTGCATCGGGGTGATCGTTGGCGTCTTTTTCTCCGGCCGATTCAGCGATTGGCTGACTATCAAACTCGCGCGGAAGAATAACGGTATCATGGAAGCGGAGCACAGGCTCTGGCCTTTTGTGCTCTGTCTGGTCATGGTACCTGCTTCCCTGATCCTGTGGGGCGTCGGCGCTGCACATGGGGTGCACTGGTCTGGACTCATGGTCGCAATGGCATGTCTGGCTTTCTCGTCGACGATTGGAGTCACGCTCAGTGTTAACTACATGGTCGATAGTTATCATGATATCAGCGGGGATGCTATTGTTTCGGTTATTCTCGTCCGAAATACCATGTCGTTTGCGATTAGTTATGGGTAAGTCTTTTTTCCTCGTTCATGTCCTGGAAAGTCTGAGAGACGGCGCTGACGAATAGTAGTATCACACCGTGGTTGAGAACCCTCGGATACCAGAACTGCTTCATCTCTGCTGCTTTCATCGGAATGGCTGCTTCGTCAATATTCCTGGTCGCGATAAAATATGGCAAGGCCATGCGAACCAAGAGTAGCAGTAAATACTACAGCATTGTTAATGCTGAGAAGGCTTCGTTCTGAAAGCTGTATTGTCACAGCAACACAACAATATTTATAGTAGTTATCTGAAAGTAGAGAATTCAAAGAGGTCAAAAATAAATTGGAATACAATCTCATCAAGGCATAACTAGAAATATACAGAACTTAGCTTATCTTACAAGACCAACAGAGCAAACAGTGCTAAGCCACCAAGCTGGGCCGCCGTCCTCACTGGAACGCTAGCCTTGCCAGCTGCGCCTTCAAACGGCACTAGCGTACTCGAAGGTGCAGCTCCCGCACCGGTACCACTCGGTGACACACCGGTCGCTGCTGCTGGAGCTCCGCTCACCGAAGCTGAAGATCCAGTTGCTGATGCTGCACCTGCTCGTCCATCCACGTGAAAATAATTCGCCGCAAGAGGAGCGTCCACACCGTTTTCCGACATGAAAGCCTCAATATCGAAGTTGATGCGATTTTGCACATTGGCATAAGTAGATTCAGAAACACTGAGGTTGGAAGGTTGCTTGAACAAGAGCTCGACGTAGCGATGGGGGACTGTGTCGACTGGTGGCGGGTTTGGAGGAAGATATGCTGCTGGGCCTGTTTGGGATGAGGCGAGAAGTCTGGCGGCGCCGCTGAGTTGCTGCCTTGTTGCTCGGAAGCCCGTGTTCATGCAGTGCAAGAGTACGCGGCGTTCTGTGGTGCCGTTTGCTGGTGGGACATCCAGGTCTAGCATGATGAACATGTACTGTTCATTCATGTTGATCAAGGCGCTGGATAAAGCAAGTCTGGGCTGGGTTGCGGCGGCTAGATACATGTCAGACGCTGTTTCTAGGGAACATGGTAAGTAGCACCGAATACTTACCGGCTCTTGGTATCAGTTGGCCTGGGGTATCGATCATTGTGGAGTTGAAAATGACCTCGAGTTTGTTTGCAGCCTCAGGTGTGAAACCAGGCGGTGCCTGCGCCTGTACAAGGCCAGCAATGGCAATGGCCAATATTGATGTGGAGAAAAACATGATGTTTGTGATGCTCGTGATAAATGTGCAAAATCGGAAAACAGTCGTTTGAGCAGATGAATGGGAATGGTATCTCAGTATGAATGTGGCCCTGCAAGCCTAATGGGAGAATATCTACCTTAATATACAAAACAGGCATACGCGGCCCCAAGGCAAGAATGCAAGAGCTGTGCCACAAGCTGTCGCACCGTGATCAATGCATAGGGCAGATGTTGTGCTCACGAAGGCTGGTTCGCGTATCCTTGAAACGGGTACTGCACGAGGGCCCAGGTGTCGCGTCTTGGCAAAAACCACATTGCATTCCCGAAGTGTATCAAAGAAGCAATAAGCTGTTACCTAATTGGGTAATCTGTTGCTTCTCCTGGTGAGGCGTTCAAGGTAAGAGTCCAAGGCAAATCTTGGCGGTCAGTGCAAAGGCTGGGTCATCGGGGATGCGATAGGATTTACGCCCCGTCATGATCTATGTCAGCTTATCCAAGATTCCGGACCAAGGCCTTGTCCTGAATGGTTGCGCAAGGCTTTGAACCAATATGTGAAGGAGAGACAAGTATCAACATGGCTGGTTGAAAGTTTCTTGGTTCGTTCGGGTCTCCATGAGGCGTCCCGGGACTTGCCTTGGTCAGCTCTTCGGCACATTGATGTACAGCAATCGGATGCAACATCGACACCCGATGCGGAAAAAAACAGGCTAATTTCAGGAAACGGACTGCGTAATCGAGGGCTTTGCCCAAAGATGTGGACACCATGACAATGGGGCTGTGCGATTGGTTTTTTAATGCGGTCATGATCAATTGGAATGCGGCATTCTTGAGCTGAAAATAAAAGACGTTATCCGGAACCGTACTAGGGACGTTCCTAGAGGAGAAGCCAAGGAGTTTGATGATGAAGCTCGCAATGGCATTGTGACTGCAGGTGATAACATCGTACTCCAGGTAATAGTGAGGACAAGGTCAAACGCGCTAGCCAGCACTCACGTGACAGCGCGTACAATGACAGTCTGTGCTTCCTAGCGCCGATGGCGGCCCTGCACCCCTCATGATCACGCAGCCTCCCCATGCTTTCTACGACGATCCACCGCAGCAGGCGGAGCTCACCGAGTCTGCTTTGGAGTTGTAGTAGACGGCGTCTGATGGCCGCTACCGCCTCCACTAAAGCTGAAGCCGCTTCCACTATCAAGTCAACAACTTCACAATGGCCACTTTCCTTCTCCTTGCAATTGCCCAAAGCACAACCCACCACGCTGCGATCATATGGCTTTTCTTCAGATCAACCTGCGCCGCCCTTATGGTGGAGCCACCGCTTTTACCGGGGGCCGGAGGGCAAGGAGATTGAAATCATGTATAGCAAAACGAAAGCAGACTCGGAAGCCATTGCCCAGCGATTTCTCGAGGAGCCTATCATTGGATTCGACATGGAATGGCCTTGGGGGTATTGGGTCGAAGACACTCTGCAAAATAAAATTGGTCTAATTCAGATTGCTTCTGAAGACAAAATCGGGCTGATCCACATCGGACTGCATCCAGGAAAGACAAGTAGCGACATCATTGCGCCTTCATTGAAGAAGATCATTGAGGATCCAAATATTGGAAAGGTGGGGGTCAACATATTGAGAGCTGATTTCTCAAGATTGAGCCGATACTTTGGACTCCAGCCGAAAGGCGCCATTGAATTGAGTCATCTAAACCGGCTTGTGAAGTTCGGGCCTCGCACACCAGAGTATGTAACTGTCAAACTGGTGAGCTTGGCACAACAAGTGGAAGAACAGCTTGGTTTGCCACTGTACAAAGGTGATGTGAGGACAAGCAACTGGAGCAAACCGTTGTCAGAAGAGCAGATCGAATATGCAGCCGGAGATGCTTACGCCGGTTTCATGCTTTACAAATGCATGAATGCAAAGAGACTCACAATGAAGCCGACGCCACCTCCCCCAATATATGCGGAAAGGTACCCAAGCGGGAGAGCTTCAAGGGACGATCCAATCATTTTAGATGTTGGAGATGGAACAACTATCACAACAGCAGATTTTTTTGGTGTCAAGCCTGTAAAGAGCAGTGTAACATCGACAACCTCTAAAGTACTGGCTACAAAAAAGAGCTTAGAGCCTCTTGACGAGACCTCGCAGGCTCTTTATGAAATGCTGCTTGTGCGTCGAGCGCTTCTTGCAGACAAGGGAAAAGTCTCGCCAACGCGTGTAGTTTCGGATGTTTTGCTCAGGGCCATTGCACTGGCACGACCTCTGGATACATCTGCTTTGCTTGCGATCAGAGGTGTGGGGAAGGTTCAACAGCAGAATTACGGAAATGAATGGCTTCAGGCCATTTCGGAATTCCTAACAAAAAACAGTATCGAGAAGCCAGCCAGCACCGACAAACGTTCACCGTCAAAGGAAGAGGATGCTCAAGTTCTCTGCACACCACGCCGCATCCAGGTGGCTCGTCAGGTCTCATCAGACTCGTCTTCGTCCCTTGCTTTCGACGACTCAGCACCAAGGGCGCCTCAACTACATACCGGTTTATCTTTCACTCTAGCTGAGTCCAAGCTTAACACAGATGGCGCCGCCCTGAAAGACGACGAGTCAGATTACGGCTCCGATGATACACTCCTATCTCTAGACTTTGGCAGTCCGAGCAAGCGGCGAGAAAGCTCTGGCACAAAGCGCAAGTGGGCCGAGAGTCCAACAAAGCAGAATCACGTACACCACCATGTTCATGAACCCCATGAGACACCACCGCGCTTTAAATCCTTGCACGACTCAAAATCCGCTTCCCTCCTTACTGGCCTTACCCCTCGTGCAAGACAAGAGAGGAACTTTTCCCAAGAACCATCCATATCCCATGCACTTTCCCTTGCAGCAAGCAGAGCAACACCCTCAAAATCGGGGCCTACCATCCGAAAGAGCCCATCCCATACCTCTCCAAGGCAAGCACCATTGATATCGGATTCCGGCCTCAGCCCTTCCTCCCGCATTGCAAAATCCAAACTTCTAGCATTCAGCAAACTCGTCACGAGCAAACTCCCAGAACGCCGGCCACCTACCGCTCCGCCCATCGTCTCGCCACACACGCTCGATTTAATTGTGCGTGCGCGGCCACAGACGCAGGAGGATTTGGAGCGGATACCGGGTGTGGATAGCTTGCTGTTGGCGTGTGAGACGACAGGCATGGATCTGTTGAGGAATGTGATTAAGTTTGTAGGGGCGGAGAAGTTTGGGTAGTACATATGATTCAGTTAGATTCAATCAGTATTCTGGTATATACATGGTAAATAGGTTTTTAGAAAGAGGGGTTTTTATTCGTCTGTACCCGTATGTTTCTGGCCAAGACTTCTTGGTGACTACTGCCTGGCACTAGATATATCACGACCTTTTGTATGCTGTTTCCTGTTGGTTTCGTCGTTTTGCTTTTCGATTAATCCCCATTGTGGATACAAATTTCGCCCACTACGGCGCGTCTTGTAGTAAGACATCCATCTGTACCTCACAGGAGTACCTCCATATACGGTCGTAGCTCCCAAACTACCTAATCATCCTAAGCACATCGCTACCGGTCTTCTGGGACGTCGGTTATACAATCCTCGGAGGTTTGACCGACGCTACTGCAAATAAGACCAAGAGAATAAAGCACTTACCAGGCCCTGAACTTCGTACTGCTCACGTCAGCCAAACCAAAGAAGAATGGAATGAATTTACTCGTACCAGACGGGCAGATGTTGCGTTTGTAGTGCAGAACTTGGGAATATAGCTGTTATGCCCAGATGGCTCTCATCTCTCGTTCCGCACATCCAGTGGGCAGTGTGCTGCGGCTGCTAATACTTAGTAGGGCGATTCAATTTTGACTTGCTCACCAAGAGGTTCATCGCAATTGATGATTTGGCGGCTACAGCGGAGGACCTCCGACGGTATGAAATGGTCGGCGATCGTGCACAGATCAATGAGGAAAGGTTGTCAGTGACATGCAGCGCAGCGTTGTTTCATCTGGCAATGCTGCTGGGGTCTACCCAGCCCCGTTGGCCGGCCGCTACTCATATATATAAGTATACTGTAGACTGTGCCACCGGACCCATGAATTCAGACGTTCCATCACTGATCCACCATCAGAGACACTCAACATGGGAGCGGAGGGATTGGGGCTGTACGGCCTATTGACGCTTCCGCACATTGTCGTTGCCATCGTCACGTACTGGATCACCGCTACAGTCTACTACTTTCTCACCGCACCGAAATTACCTGCAGACGTACCATGTATGGGCTACGGGACAGGGTGGATAGGTGGGATTCGCAACTTCTTCGCTATTACAAAGAGTAAAGAATGGGTGGTTACTGGATACTACCAATACAACCGCAATGACCAGGCTTTTGTGTTGCCCCCCACGCTGGGCATGCCGCCTGAGATTGTCATACCGAAAAGCCAAATGGCATGGATGTTTGACCTATCTGATGAGGTTGCCAGTGCGAGTGAGCCTCACTACGATATGTTTAACGGCGACTGGGTGCTTCTCGACCCCATCATTCTCAAAGACCCCTATCACGAACACGTCATCCACAAGAACATGATCCGCAATCTAAAAACACTTATTCCAGGCCTCAATGACCAGATACCGGGGGCTATTATGGATGTCTTCGGTACTGACACGGAGAGTTGGATGAAGCTGGACGTCATGGGCTCGTTCTCCAAGATAGTCCCCCGTCTATCCAGCTTCCTAACTGTCGGACCCCCTCTATGCCACAATCCCGAGTTTAACAAGGCCGCTCAGGCTTTGACCATGGACATTACACTCATGCAAATCATGGTAGTCCTCACACCCAAAGCAATCCAGCCACTTGCTGGTGCCCTCCTAAGTCTACGCAACAGATACCACTTCGGGCAAGCATCCCGCTTCGCCCTACCCATAATCAAACAGCGCATCGCCGACATCCAAAAGAAGGACGCTGGCCACCCCGACTACACCTCCTGGACCGAACCCCAAGACTTCTTCACATGGTCCTACCGCACCGCGCAATCCGAAAACCGCCCGGAAGAAATGCAGCCACACCGACTCGCCCTCCGCACAATGGGCGTCCTCTTCGCCAGTCAGACAACAGTACTGACTATGTACGACTCAATCATCAACATCCTGCACGCCGGACAGCAAACTATCCGCGCCCTTCGCGAGGAATCGCACCGCATCCTCCACGAAGAAGGCGGCCACTACACCCCCCAAGGCCTCTCCCGCATGCACCGCCTCGACTCTGCCATCCGCGAAGCCCAACGCAAATCTCCCATAGGCCTCACTCTCTCCACCCGCAAAATCGTAGCTCGCAACGGCGTCACAGCGCCAAATGGCACGCATTTTCCCTACGGCACCCTGCTGTCGTGTCCCTGGATGCCGATTGCGGGCGACGAAACGATTTACGATAACCCAGGTGAATACGATGCGTTTCGGTATTCGCGGCCGATGGAAGAATATGCAAAGTTGAGTGAGGAGGAAAGGAAAGATGTCGATGTGTTGAGTATTAAGCAAAAGGCACTTGTTACAACGAGTTTTGAGCATTTGCAGTTTGGACATGGGAGACATGCTTGGTACGTTTTATCCCCCCCCCCCTTCCCTTACCACGTACGCCAGAGCGGTTGGTCTCTTTTTTTTTGGCCGGAAACTTTGGAGAGATGGAGAGAAGGCTAATGCAAGAGTACAGTCCAGGTCGCTTCCTCGCTGCGCACGAACTCAAAATCATCATCTCGTATTTACTGCTGCATTATGACTTCAAGCCTCTGGCTGAAGGACCGAAGATTCTGTGGGTTATTAGGTATCATGTTCCGCTTTCGGTGCAGATTGAGACGAGGAGGCGCAAGGCGGTGTGGACGCTGGAGGATGAGTGAGAAGAGGGCAAGGAAGCCAGTTGGTGTGGGTGATGTAAAGATGCTCTGAGGGGGTTCGTTGTTGCAAGTGGGAATGAAGATGTCCATTTCGACCTCTGGAAATCGTTTAGATGTAAGAAACTTACAGCGTGTGGGAAGATGTGTTAGCCCCCAAAAAATCATACGACAATAAAACCATCTATTCGAAATTTCAAGTCTCGATTCGAAGGAGATTATCTGGGTATCTACTTCATGTCGTATCTCCATTAGCCTTCTTCTCCGCACTCACTTCTACTTTCTCTTCTTTCCCCTCTTGTTTTGTTTCTGCTTCTTTGGATTCAGGTTTTGGCTCAGCTTTTGGCTCCGCTACCGTCTTACTGACTACCAGGCCAATGAGATGGGAACCGACGTTACCCGCGCCGTCAATTGGACCAAGTTTTGCATCAAAGAGTTTTGCTTCACGTAGTAAACTGTGGTAGTTTGTTAGTAAACATGTACATTCGCAGTTGACGAAGCAGTCTGATTTACTTACCGTGCTTTCCCTGCTGCCGTCTTAACAGGCGCTTCCTTGATGACTTTACCAACCTGCTCCCTGTAGCTTTCAAATACCGGGCCCATGATCATGCGGACCTGGATCTCGCTCAGGTATTTGTTGATAACCTTGTGCATAGTGACTGTGTCTTTGGTCAAACTCTCCATGCTGGGACTAACATCTTTGTTGGCCTCAGCCTCGCTGTCCCAATCAACCTTTTTGAGACTACGCATGTGCACCGTAGCACGGCCGGAGAGAATATCTGTCAGCTTCTCGTGGATTTGATTCTGCTGGTCGTGCAGCAAGCGCTTGACGTTGTCGAATTCGCCAAGAGATGACTTGTTGCTGGCAGAGGCGATGCGGCGCCGGAAACACTCGCGGATGTAGGGAAGGATAGCGATTATAAAAGACAGGGTTTGAGACGCAATGGTAAGGTGCTTGGTATTGATATTCTTGAGACCAGCCGAATGCATGGCTCCAGCACCAAGAATAAGTTGGCATAGGCGTGAGTTGAAGAGCTTGATGTATTCACACAGCGAGGCAGCGACTTCAGAGGTCATACTTGGCATGACGGAGACGAGGATCTCGAAGCGCTCGATTCCCCTTATAACGACAGAAGAAGACGAAGATATTGTGTACTTTTCCTCGTCCACAATGGCGGGCACAGTAGTCTTGTTCTTCTCCTTGGGTTTGTCTTCAGAGCCGCCATTAGTTTTAGCGGATGTGCCATTTGTAGTCGGTTCTTGAATCTCCCGCAGGATATTGCCAGTTTCTGCCCAGTTTGGAGGGTCACTCTCCATACCCTTCAATAACCGCGCAAGAACCTCTGTGTCTTCAGCGTCAAAGTCTTTTGGTTCCCAACGATCTGAGTCCATGGCTCTGGCAAGCTCCTGTTTTTCAAAGTCTCCAAACTTGGACACGAAGTCGGTGATGTGTGTGTTCACCACGCCCTTCAACGCAGCACCGGATCTTCCAGAAACTGCCTCGCACTCGTCGGCAAACAGCCTGCACATGGTGAAATACCTAAGGAATCTATCGAGTGGGAGGCTTGCAGTCGCCTCCGAGCGAACTCTCAGCAACTTAGTGATCTGCGTCTGGGCAGCATCGACTGCCTGGCCAAGGAGGCTTGACATATCCAAAGCTTGCATAATCTCCATCTGCAAGTCGGTGGAAGAGGGTGGCGGTACGCCGTTGCCCAGGTAATCATCAATGTTGTTGAGGTAGGAATTCCTAGGGGATAGTAGACCGCCTGCAGAGACAGGGGGTGTGGTGACACCACTGGTTACGTCGAGCAACACTTTAACCAAAGTACTGAGTCGACGCAGTGCCTCGCCAATATCGGTAAAAATGTTGGCGAAGAAGTCTTCTGCATCGCCAGGGTCCATCGCTCGCAAATTTCGTGCAAGAATCGAGTTCTTGTCCGCCTGGCTTTGTCCGCGACCACCTCTTGTTGATACAGAGGCCATTGATCCGGTATCGTCATCTGAAGAGCTTGGTAGATGTTTCCTGATGATAATTTTCATCTCCTTTAGGACCGCTTCCCTGAACGTTGTACTCGCCTGGTTCGTGAACTGTGCTCCACTAAGGCCGTATAAGCTAGCTCGGAGGTCCGCTCGGAGCTCGTTCTCGGTCGACATGTAAGCAGGAAGAGTTGTTTTAAGCTTCTGATTGCTACCCCGTCCTTTCTGAGAGGCGGCGACCCATCTTTCCAATGTCTCCTGGTTCGGGACACGCTTGACGTGCTCACGCAGATCCGTAAGTAAGGTGTCTACAAAACGTGCCTCGAACCCTCTTCCGATCCGAAACTTGATCTCAGTCATACTTTCAAATACGTCATCCAGGGCTCTTAAAGGTCGTAAATCAATTAGTTTTGGGGGCAGCCGCGTTTTCAGCCACGAGGTCCCCTGTGTGTCGGTGATATCCAATGCACCAGTAACGAGGCGTTCTATCATTTCGATCCGAGTCATGGCAGTTTCCAGGTCGCCTTCAACGACGGCCTCGTCGCAATATGAAAGCCCTATAATTACGGCTTGGAGCTGGTCGACTGAGTCGGCCAGCCTTCTCAGGTTCTCTCTCCGCCTCTTCATTTCGACAACCTTCAAGCCCCCTATTGCCATCTGCTCATCCAATCTCTTCAGGTCTTCTCTCAGCCCTTTTATCCTGGCGACGGAGTCTGCAGCTTCGGTCTGCAGTTCGCGGAGTGATCCCAGGGCGGCGAAAAAGGACGTTGATGCTGTTGAAATCGCGGATATCAGATGCACCTCGACAGTGTCCATGTACCATGATAGCTTCTCCTGTAGTATCGCATTCGTTGCCAGGGCCTTCCTCCCTATCGGTTGTGGTACGTCCAGCGCGCCCGGATCATCACTACTTATGCTCCTCACCGGCCTCACCACCTCGGATCGCTCACTGACAACGTCAAAAGTTCGTGGGTTCTCAATGTGGAAGTTTTCGTCAAAGTAAATATTGGGTATCGTAGAAAGCGGCGTAATTGCCGGTAAGGGACGCTTTGACGCGCTCGTTCGGCGTTTCGGTTTGGGGGTGGTATCTGGGCCAAAGGGCGCTGCTGCTAGGTTTGGTGTGCCAGCTGGCGAGGGAGCCAGGCTGTCAGGACCATCGTCTTTTGTTGACGCCCTCCTCGGTTGTTGTGCAGACTCGCCAGCTTCTGCCTTTGCACGCTGAAAGGCATCATAGAGATTACCGACTTGGGTGAGATAGGGATTGAAAGCTGAGGGGTCGACGTGGGGGATATGGGCGAGGGTCACTGGAGGTATGTCCTTGGTAGAGGGCGGTCGGTGGCTGGAGGTAGCCGTAGCGGTTGTATGGGGGACCATGCCGGTCCGCATAATGGGAGGGGTCAGAAGCGTCGAGATAGCTGAGCGGGGGTTAGCTATCCGCGCATACACGGACATGTGTCAGGGTGTGTCTTCACCATTGTTGCTCTGCTCTCTCACGGCGCCCATGGTGGTCTTGAAGTTACTGTCGAGTGAACCGCCGATGGAGTGAATTGAAGATGCGGTTGAGCCACGTCGCGGCTTGTAACGCCCGCCCGTCGAATTGGGCCTGCTTGTCCAGTCATGTTGTGATGGGGGCGCAAACGAGCCCTGAGGAGGATTTGGCGATAGGAATTCGAAGCTTTCGGTCGACTTTCGCGAGGCATCGGGAGAGGACATGGTGGCGGCGCAGGTCGGGGGTGTTCAATCGGTAGCGGCATGGGGGAATAAAGGAGTTTTATCGCATCTTGATTGGTATATCGAGTACTGTTGGGCCTCTGCTTATCCAACATGCAGGGGCAAGGAAACGGTGCAGTCGAAGCAATATGACATCGAGTCTTGGTTCAACGTCGTCGTGACTGGCCAAAGTTCCCACGCGCTCGGTGGTGACGGAGTGCATGGGCCCTGCAACTCCAACAGAGATACCGCAGCCGAAACACGACCGGCCACTTCTCCACCCGCAGCCCTACCTACATCTTATCTAACATTACATAGTCGACCTGGGTGAGATTGAGACAACTCTGTAAGGAAAAGGCTTTTTCTCTGGACAAAGGCGGTATTGTGAACCTGTTTCTTGGCAGGTGAGAAGATAAAGTCCATGATCATAGTAGTCCAGGAATGCACGCAGATGACTACCAAGAGTGCCCTTTATCACCTTCTCGTATGTGACATTCTATAGCCGTCGAAACCAAATATTCTTGTAGCTCTACAACTTGCCCGGATCGGTGGATTCCGTCTTGCAGCTTTCCCCAATCTGGATGATGCCTCATTGATACTCTAGGAAAGTTTTGATCTACACTGAGCGGTCTCTCCTACATTTCTTCTCTAGAGATTTTATGTGTGTACAGATCCCATCCATGGCTTGTAAGAATTGGTCCGTCCTCCGATCTGACTGTATATACTACATGCCAAGCCACGGTCATGTGACTTGATCACTTCACCGAAACCATGAGCTCCTCTGATTCCAGTGATCAGCATTAACACCACAAGGCATACATCCAACAAGCGAAGAAAACGTTGTCAAGCATGAAACGATAGTCTGCTACTGGCGGGCGATACGATCGCACGGCTTAAGCGAGGCGGCAGCTGAGACGCGTAGCCATGCTCAGCCTTGCTTAGACTGATGCCAACACATGTTGCCTTTTTGCCTAATGGCCAGGATTGAATTTTGCAGGAACCCCTTACTTTCCCATCTCTTTCGCAACTTCCTCTTCACATCTCTCATTGATTCATTTTAGCGATAACATATCTTGATCTTTCAGATTCCTATGCCTACCCACTCGTACCTTCGTGGCTAACTAACATGACCAAACACTAGTCAGCCAGCCTTGTCTCCACTATACACACATCTCAAGCAACGGCACGCTTTCTTCTTATGCGATTTGTTGATGCCAATCATGTCTGCAGCTCTGGGGAAAGCGTCATTGTTGAAACCCGAGATACGCCTCGCTCAAGCAGTCTCCGAATTCGAGGCCGGCCTCTCGACCGAGCAAAAAGCCACATTCCGTACACTTAAGTCGCAATCACGTTCAAGCACACCTGACCCAAGCGATGTCATGCGACTAACAGCCGAGATGGACCGCTCTATATCGACTAAATACGGCAGTCGGTGTTTTAGGCCTCGCTTTACGAACTTCCTTCAAGCTGTCCAGCGGTTTGTTGTAGTTGGAGATGTTATGGTTGGAGGGTCGCAAAACTTGATAGCATGTGGTGTGTGGTCGCTGGTGCGCATGTCTTTACTGGTCAGTATCATCATCAGCTTGCATCACCAGCATACGCTAATGCATCACAGTCGATCATAAGCCTGTCATCATAGATTGACAAGCTATCCTCGATGTTCATGGCCATTGGTCGCGCTGCGCCGCGTTACCAAACAATGGCCTTGCTGTATCCTCGATCCAAGAAGCTCCAATCACACCTTGCAGAATACTTCATCTTGGTAGTCAAGCTGTGTCATTACCTATTCAGATATGGACAAAAGTCTTCTATCCGACAGTTCACGTCTTCACTGAACGATACACTCCTGAAAACACTCCAAACAGACCTTGACAAGTGGGCAAACTCTAGCAGGGAAGAGATGAATTTGATTGAAGCTCAAGAGAGTTCCAAATTCAGGGCCTTTACCATGGACATGTTCAAATCTGGCGCGCTCCAGCGGAGACAGGAAACTAAAATGCGAATACTTGACTTCTGCTCCAAATACGACCACGAGACAGCATGGAAACAGATCAGAAAACTTGGCTACTCATCTTTTCACACGCAAAACTCGGAGTATCAAGAATGGAAAACTAGCTTGCTTCCTAGAACACTGATGTACACAGGCAAGCTGGGCTCAGGTAAATCTGTACTACTAGCCAACATCGTAGACGACCTTAATCTCTCCACTGAAAAGGGACAGTCTACCGTAGCATATTTCTTCTGCAAATATGATGTCTCGGAAAGCTTGCAGGCACAGACAATTGTTGGCTCCCTGATACGACAGCTATTGTCTTCCATCTCGGACCTCGGAGCACTTGCGAACCGCTGCGAAGATACTCAGAACAAAGGAGGTGATATAGAAGAGCTGCTTGAATCTCTGTTCCAAGGTTTTACTTCTGAACAGAAAGTATACCTCGTCATTGATGGCCTGGACGAATGCAACGTGGCGCAAAAGGAGATACTGATACACGCGATCCGAAAGATTCAAGACACACTCAAAGTCCGTATATGTGCTTCTATCCGAGAAGAGGCAGATAATAGTCTACAATCAATCACCAGACAAATCCGCGCTGTACGCGTCGTCTCGTTACCAGATGATAATCCGGATATTGAGACTTTCATTGAAACTGAACTAGAGCACCGCCTTATCCAGGGAATAATGACGGTCGGGGATCCAACTTTGATACTGGAAATCCAGGACGCTCTCTTGAAAGGCTCTCAAGGAATGTTTCTTTGGGTCGCTCTTCAGATAGAGACTTTGTGCAGATTAAAGACCGACCACGCCATGCGGGAAGCACTAGCAAACTTACCTAGAGATCTTTCAGAGACATTCTCAAGGATCCTACACAATTCCGGACGTTCAGATCCATCACTTCAAGTAAAAGTCCTACAGCTCGTCCTTACAGCTCGTCGACCATTGACGACGATTGAACTGCGTGAGGCTTTGAGCGTCATTCCTGGAGATGCTACCTGGGATCCTTCTAAGGTCTTACATGATGTTTACTTAGCGCTGGCTTGCTGTGGATGTCTTCTCGCTGTTGATGAGGAAGAGTATACAGTCCGGGTCATTCATCATAGCGTTCAGCAGTACATTCTCAACGGACTCGACAGCACGACACACCAGAAACTTACGGTCAAAGACGCGAAACGAACTATGGCAGATATTACTATAACATATCTTAACTATGGTGTCTTCGGAACTGACCTATCGAGAACAAAGATTCTCCCAGTTATGGCTGAATCAGCGCCATCCAAGATCTTACAAGCCACCATGGACTCTTCTAGCAGTGCACGCCAACTAGCTATAAGATTTCTCCAATCAAGGCGACAACCTACATTTGATTTGAGCAAGATCATTACAGAAACGCTCAAGTCATCTCATTCCGAAGATGAAACCTCGTTCAAGTTTTACAAATATGCAAATAAATATTGGCTAGAGCATTTGAGCCATGTATCAGGAAACAATGCGGCCATGTTCAGACTTTCTTGGAAATTGATTCATAGTCGGGCATCCACGTTCAAAATCTCAAAAGATGATCAAAGGACAATGAGAGCCGATGCTCACAATCACGAGAACGATAAAATTCTGAGCCTATTACTGCAGCTTGGAAAGATTCACGCAGATCCAGAATCCAAAAAGGCTGTGACAATGCTGATGTGGGCGGCATCAGAAGGAAGTAATGAAACGGTCGAAGTGCTGCTCAGGGATGGCCATACCAATGTGAACGAGAAAGATTTCAATGGATCCACAGCGCTTATGTGGGCAGTGACATTTGGACAGATAACCAATGCTGAGATACTGATCAACACTGGAAAAGCTGATAGCAATACTAAAGATAATAGTGGAAACACGGCACTAATGTGGGCGGTCTTAGGGGGGCGCAATGATCTGGTTGAAACGCCGTACACTATTGACAACGCCAAAGTTGATACGAGAGACCTAATAGGATTCAAAAAGCCAAAACGGATGTCACCCAATGAACGCCGGGACATGGTCAACTTGCTGCTTACCACTGGTAAAGCTGATGTTAACGCCAGTAACTACAGAGCATCTACATTACTGATGAAAGCGGCATCAAAGGGGTACAAGGACTTAGTTGAAACGCTTCTCCAATTTGGAGCCGATCCGAATATGACAGGTCCTTCAAGGCGCACGGCTCTCATGTACGCGGCAGAATTTGGAATGAGAGATTCAGTCGAAGTGCTACTCGATGTTGGCAAAGCTCACGTCGATGAAAGAGACTACAATGGGTGTACAGCTCTCATGCTCGCAGCAAAAAATGTGAACATTGAGATAGTGGAAATTCTGGTTCGCATCGGCAAAGCTAGTGTGGATATACAAGACCGTAACGGAGATACAGCTCTCATGTTCGCGACAAAGGCGAAGAGCGTGGAAATGGTGAACTTTCTGCTCAACATCGGCAAAGCTAATGTGAACGCGAAAAGTTATGGGGGACGTACAGCTCTCATGTGCGCATTGGAACAGGAGAATATGGAGGTGGCGAAGTTTCTGCTTAGCATCGGCAACGTTGACGTAAATAAGAGAGATAACGAGAGGCGTACAGCTTTAACAGAAGCGGTAATAAAAGAGCACGAGGAGATAGTCAAGCTGCTGCTTGATACTGGGAAGGTTGACGTCCAAGCGGAGGACCAGTTTGAGAGAGCATTGGAACATGCGAAATCATGCGGGCTGACGACTATAGTCAACTTGTTACAGGCGTATAGTGCATCTGCTCAGTAGAATATATATTTCCGAGGCTTCGCTATTGGAGACGATCGTCAGAGAAAGACTTGTATCATTATGAGATGGCTCTGCTTCTCGGACTCTCCCATCCTCAACTATTGATCGAGAAAACCCTGTAAACAATCAATGGATCATATCTCTACTGTCGTGACAACTTACCATCTTGTAGTTGATTGTTTCAGTTGATATGTATTAGGCACAAATATTTAGTAGATATCATTTGTTTGATGCATCATTTCCATTTTACATAAGCATGATCGGTAACACCAATAATCAATGGATTTGTACAGTACTGGAGCCATTCCTTATATCTGTATATCTCGCATGCTGTATATACACCATGACGTCTACCGAAGACAAAAGCAGTAGCTCACAACACGATGCGGAAGCTGCAGTCCTTGTCGCTCATGCTTGCTGCTGACATGTTGCGGGGTATCTTCAAAGAATACACCATGTGTCCCACAATCACATCCTTGCAACCTCCAACCAACGTCTCGACTTCGTCTATCATATCCTTTGATTCACCAGCATGCTCAGCCATCAACCTCTTCTCTGCATCCAACAACCTCGCCCAGCTCTCTTCTACCATCTTCACGCACCGGTCAACAGCACTCTGTGCACTGCACCCCTCGTTCCACACCATGGCTGGGATCGCGGAATCGATGTCACCGTCGTCAATCTCTTTCCTGAGACTTACAATGTCGTTCCAGAGGAAATCGCTGATGGCAACCTCGCGCGTTATGGAAACCATGGCTTCGTGGTCCCAGACTGATTGAGGGAGAGTCAGACCATACGCCCACTGTATGACCGCCACACAAGGGTTCGTTCCGACCGTCCTCAACCGGCGTGCAGTGTAGTCTTCGAGTGTGGATATGCCTCGGGTCCACGTAGCTTGTGAGACACGAACACCCATGACAAAGTCATAGATCGCCGCTGCAAACCTGTCACGTGCCTCTTTCGCAAGCGTTAGCTCACCCTTGTTGACGGTTTATCAAACATCCTACCTTTGGATTGACCTTCCTGCATGGCTCGGCCCATGTTGACCCACGGCCCACAGTTGTGCAATCGACCCGGTGCTGGCACGTCGCCTTCAAGCTCCGGTTGCAGACAGTGCCTGATGAAGTTGAGTGTGTCGTCGCAATATGCCTCTGTCTTGTCACTATCATTGGTAAGCGTACCACAGTCAATCTCGTCATCCCAGAAGAAGAACTAAGCACCTAGTCAGCATTTACTATGAGATAAAGAAGGCCGAGTTCTTTACCCAGGCCACTAATTCCCCAAGGACGAGAAACTTGTCGCTCGAAACACGGGGCCAAAACTGCCCAGCACACAGTGCGGTGTCGACCTTTCTCTGCTTCTTTCTCACGCTTTCTGTACTGATGAACGTTTCGAAGTAACGTTCAAGGTGTTGTCTCGACAGCTTCACATCAGGATGCAAATGGGCCTGCCACTCAGAGTATATATAGTGAACATCTGGGACATGGATTTCTTGACCTCGCAGCCGGGCTATGATCTGTGCACGGTGATCTCCATGTTTTACTGAGCCCTCTTGTGCAGCAGATGGATCATGCTTTGGAACCTCTGTGCACTTTGGAGCGTAAAGAGACTTGACGAGCTAAAAACATAAGTTTGACAGAAGGTTCTGGGTCAACAACGCAACGTACCTGTCGAACATACGACTTGGAGACCAAAGTCCACGAACCAGATATACTAGTAATCGGCATACTGTCCAACAAGGAAATTTCAATGCTAACAAAATAGATTCTATAAGAAGCCACTGATGGAATTGCACCAGCAAAAAAGACCCGATCGAACCTCTATCTATACAACCTCCACCACTGCCTCTTTCACCGTTCATCTGACAGCTTATCTACCATTCGTTTGTCTAACCTTTCACCTACCTAGGCAGATGCTCAAACGCTCATGCAATGCAAGCTCTATGGTTCCCTTTTACACTGCACTGCCAGCACACCTGGCTCTCGCTCATGTGCGCCCCCATGGCCAGCACCGCTCCCGTTGGCCAAACTCGCTGCGTGTCCCGAGTCAGCCCAGCCTCGCATGCTTCACTCAAGCGTAAGCGAGGCGTTTGGGCGCAGCCCTCGTGAGCGATATGCAAGGGTTATGTGTGGTAGTACGAAATCCCCGTATGTCATTCTTACGCCCAAACGCCACCCTTTCTCTGCAGGCTGTGTCGTTGGGACATACGAGAGGTTAATTCCTCGCCTGCAACCCCGTTCTTGTCACCTACAAAGCCTGCGGCTCTGGTTCGTCGGAGATGAGCACCGTTGCTTTGCTTGCAGTGAGATAGGGCAGTTCGCCGATTTAAGAGCGCATAAGTGTGCTAGTTGCATGAGAGGTAGACATATCTGGGACTTTCAACCTAGTGGCTTGCATACTAATCCAACTAAATGTGTCAAATCACACTCTCGCCTTTTTTTTCAATATCACAAACCAATAGATATTTCACCTCGCCGAACACATTACAATGACAGGAAGGAATAAGCGGATCCATCTCATTCCGCATCCGTTCACTCCACTCCTTCTCCTCTCGGACTCCCACAGCCGCAATCAAGGCATTCATCCTGTCTCTCGCCCCCGCCGTATACAGATACTACCTCTAGGCAATGGGCCCACGATGTCACTCCATCCAAAATAGCACTCATCGACGGAAATAACACAAGCACACCTCAGCCGCACGCCATTGTACCACCATCAGGCCTGTCACCCGTGCAAAACTCCGCCCGTCTTACCTTTTTCCGCAAAATCCGTCCAAATAAACATTGCTTCCTATATACCAAGACATCTCCCGATTAAAATGTAGGTTATGGTGGCATCGCGCTACTACTCGGCACAACTATCCCGACTTATCCCATTGCTTCCGCCGCAGAGCTACGCCGCATGTATGCGTTTACACGCTTAGATTATGCAAGGGATGGGACTACTAGCGAGCGAAAGATGCGCAGAATAATGCTAGTAGTGCGGGATTAGGATAAGTAAGCGAGGAAGCATGGGAGAGTAGCTAGAATAGGTATGTATGATGTTGGGTTGGGGGACGCTAGGTCTAAGTTTTGGGGAGATTCTTGAAGTTGGTGTTTTGGAAGGGAAGAAGAAGGCAATGGAAGGGAAAGAGGAAACAGATTATTAGCTTCATTCTTTCGACCACTCTTGAAATTTCAAGCGTTGTCTGCAACATTGCGAAAAAGCCGGACTTTGTATCACGATATATCGACTCGACGCCATCAAATCACACATTCACGACGATATAACTGGCCGGCAAAAGTCTTCAGAGGCGTATATATTTTCTCGCAAACGAACGAATAAGCATGAGCCACGCCGACATACCAAAGATCCGATTCATCAATAAACCCAGGGAAAAGAAAACGCCACCCTTTTTTTGACGCAAAAGAAAAGACCCGGTGGAACGGGACACCCGACATCCCATTCCGCGGGTTCCCAAAATGCAGCCACTACCAGACCATGCTCTCGCCTACACCCTACTCTTTCTTCCTTCCCACTCCCCATCAACTAACATCCCTTACGACCTCTTCTTAGCATTAACGTCTCTCCCCGCCCCAACCCTAACCTTCCCACTCTTCTCCACCCTCTCCCCGGTCAATATTCCGGGTAGAAAATCCTCATCAAGCGCATCTCTCGCCTTCCTCCGTCTTCCCTCCTCCTTAACCTTCACAAATTCCTTCTGATCCTCCGCTAAGATCAAGTCTCTGCCCCAGCCTCCCTTTCCACCGCCCAAGCCTTCCTTCCACTTCGTGTTTGCGGTGCCGGCAATAGGTTTTGGGATGCTGTAGCGATCGCCGCGCTTGTTGTAGGTGTATGTTTTGGAGAGGTGGATGCGGAATTCGCCCTTGGCGTTTGTGCTGCAGGAGACACGTTGGAGGGTGGGTTGGCCGCAGCGGGGGCAGAATTGGCGTGTCATTTCTTTTGTAAGCAGGAAGCAGGCGTGGCAGCGGTTGATTTTTGAGGTTACGGTTTTGATGCGTTGGAGGGAGGGGGAGAGGAGCGTTAGGTTGAGTTGGAGGAGGACGTTCTGCATGGCGTGGTCGGTCGTCATGGTTGCGAGGTCGAGTTGAGCCGGTTTAGAGGCGGTTTGGAGGTGTGATTGTAGGTCTGAGTCGGCGGCTTGGTGCTTGGAGAGATTGGTGGGAGTGATCCAGTCGCCGTCCGAGTCGGAGTCAGCGGCTGAGTCGTCGGTGGTGGGTGGGGTGGGTTGTTGGGTTATGGAGAGTGAGGACATGTCATGCTCGAGAGAAGGCTCCTGCAAGGTAGTTTCGGGAGCAGCTTCTTGTGTTGGGTGCTCTGGGGTGACGGCCAACTCTGCATTTTGCTCAACATGAATGTTTGCGCTTGGTACTTCGACTGTTGCCGACTTCTCGATAAGTCCCTGCTCACCGAGTTGTTGTTGAAGCTGCCCTTGAACTTGTTCCTGGATCTGCTCTTCCACTTTCTCCTCAACCTTTTCCACGGTCTGGCTCTCGAGTTTCTCTTCGCCCTTTTCCGCAAGCTGCTCGTGGATCTGTTCTTGGACCTGCTCATGGACCTGCTCATGAACTTGATCCTGGACTTGCGCTGCGACCTGCTCTTGAATCTGCTCCTTTACTTCCTCTTGGGTGATGGCAATCCCTCCATCCTCTTGATCGTCGTCGGCCGGAACATCTTCATCCTTCTTTTGTTCCTGAGCAGCCTCACTCTCAACCCTCTCTTCCGCAGGCTTGAAGTTAAACTTTGTCGACTTGGGCGCCCTAGCCTTAGCTGCACGCTTTCCAGTCGGCTGCTCCCAGCCCTCCTCATCTTCTACCTCACCACTCCCCAGTACCTCTTGCTCCTCCGCTGCCACCTCTTCCGCACCCTCTGCAGCCGCATTCCTCGCCTTCTCCGCCCTACGCCTTCGCTTAGCCGCGGATTTTGACAGCACACCGCTCTCCCCCGCCTCCTTGGCCAACCTCTCCCTCTCAGCCTTCTCAGCCTTCTCCCTCTCAATATCTTCAGGTCTCATCTTCACCTCACCCTTCGGTACTTCTCTAAGTCCCCAAGTCCCCCCATTCTTCTCACAATGCACTTCGTACGCCAGCGCCAAAATACCCAAATCCTGTTTGCTCAGCACGGCATGATCTCCAGTCTTCTTACTGAATTCGACAACGGCATCGTAGCTGGCTGGGTTGGGAGTTCTGATTTTCAAAAAGGGAACGAGAGTGGTTTGCACACGTGATCGGGTTGCTTCGTCCCGGACTTCACGTAGGATGTCTGGGGTTGTGTAAAGTTCTTCGGCGGAGTTAATGAGGGTGGAGATAGACACGATATTTTTGATCAGAGGACCCGTGTCAAGAATGAGTGAGTGAATGGGTTTTTGCTGGATGGAAGGCGTGGATTCCATGATGTGCGCTCTGAATTTCAACCCTTCTCTTTCTGGTTTGTATTCCGTATTTCGCTCTTTGGTGTGATGCGCACTCCCGGTTACTGGTCGGGCGCAAGATTTTGGGTATGAAAGAGTATATGACTAGGTCAAAAACGTTGTGTTGCTTGTGGGAAAGATTTCGGTCATTGTGGCGGGAAAATTAGTGGGGCGCACCTTTTTTTGGAGGGGTGTGTGAAAAAGCTCGTGGGACACGATTGGTTGGAGCCAATGACTACAGCATGACTACCAAGGTTGTTATGTTCTGACAAGGACTGATGAGTTTTTTTTTTCAGGGGTTGTAACATATGCAATTAAATGTGCTTTGTAACCAAAAGTCAGTACGAGGATGATTTTTGGTTGCATTATAATTATCCACTTGGTAGATGTGTAAATGTAACATTTCAAACATTCAACTACGTTGTCGTATTATATCATCTACTGCCAGAATATAACGCAGCATATCTGAGTCTATATTGGTCCTGACATGAATTCGCGATATCACCAAACGCCGCCCAATGCTAAAGTTGCGAGTCGTACCCCAGTTCTAACCGATAGTGGTATACAGTAATCGTACATCGTGGCCCTCAAACTCCCTGTGTTTTTGTTACCTCGCTCGAATTTTTTTCCATCAATATCCCTTGCGTTTCTTATGCGATAGGCCTGCTCTTCTCATCCTCTGGCATACGCATGTAGGCATCAATTGCGGCCGAGAAGACGGCAAAGCCTGCACATCCCACGGCCACAGCCTGCGGCCCAGCGTTTCTTGCCAGGATGCCTCCTGTTAGACATCCTCCTGCAACACCATTGTATAGGTCGTTCTTTGCACGGAGACCCTCGATTGCGCACTCGGTACCCGAAAATATGGCGCCGACCTTCGCGAAGTTCTTACCAGAAGAGATGGAAGAACGATACATGTCGCGTAGACCAGCGCGGAGTTGTTGCTTCAGAGGGAGGTCGGTGATTGGAATGGTCCCTGCTGCAGTGGGGTTGGGTAGGGTGGCAGCGGCGGAGGATGAGGATGCATTTGAAGCGACTGTCGAGGGTTTTACACCTGCTGCAGTTGAAGTGCTGGGTGCTGGGGTTGTTGGTGTGTTAATTGGAAGTGGTTGTGACATGGGTGTATCATATCGCATCTGATCTATGTCAGACTACATCCTCTCACACCTGGACGAAGATTGGATATACATACCGACGACATGAACAGCCCAAACATGGCACCCAGGCCTCCTCCCATGACACCAGCCATGACCGTCTTGCCTAGACAAGACTCCATACCCATTTGCATCTACAATTTGTGAGCTGAATGTCCGTGCTACATTCCTAGGCCGTCCATACCGCTTTCACCATTTGTTGTTCCTGCTCTGACATACCGGCGGTTGGGTTCATGGATGCTGGCATCGCGCCCGGACCTCCTGGAAACGCCATGGCTTGTAATCGAAAAAGAAAGAAAAAGGATGAGCAAGAAGGTGTGGAGGAAAAGGACGAGGTGACAGTTGCTTGTTGCGATGCGATTGCGATGCGCCGCCACTACGCAGGAACATTTTGCGGAGTTCAGAGCGGAGGACGGAAAATGCCGGAGTGTGGGGCTTGGCAATCCTCCCAACAGTCCAACTCTTCCAGAAAGGCGGTGGATGAGCGCACACCACTTCTCACATGAAACAAACAAATAAGTTAAAAAAAAAACTCTTGTGTTATCAATTTGTTCAAATTTGTTCATTATGCTTCTATCGACAATACATGTCAGCCCGAAGCTAGGTCTCAACGCTTTATTTACAATTGCGCCAACGCCATGCTTTTCAAACGCTACTTGCAAAAACCGCCTACTACATGTGGTCAATATTGAATAATACACTGACGTGTGGTGGCGTGGCTTCATAATGCTGGATATCACTAGTGGGAATGCTACAAAACCCTTCGTTAATTCATGTAGTCGCCATGGGCGTAGTCTTGGTTCCTCGACTCTGGGGGAGGCGTCAGCTGCTTCTCCCACTCCTTCATCAGATGCGAAGCCGTACGCTTCAAGTTGCTAGGCGAGACTTTTGTCATGTCGGGCCAGGTGATGGAAGAACGCTTTTGTTCGCGAGGTACAAAGTCGTCTTGGTTGATTGAGGTGAGCGACGAGGCTTTAGAATCATGGCGTTTGGCATGATACCTGGCGCTGCTGCTGGTGTTGGAGTTGTCCAGGCCGGAGATGGACGAATTGTGGGTGTCAGAGTCGTCCGAACTGTCCTTGGGATCTGTGACGTCTACCAGGAGCGAGTCATTGGGGGTGTCCCAATTGTCCCAATCTTCCTCGGAAGCCACTTTGCGTATTTGCTTTTGTGGAGTACTTGTGCTCTTGATTGCCTGCGTCTTCTTGTTCGTGGCCGTAGCCTTGGGGTCACTGAGACCCATTTCTTTCCAAAAGTCATCGCCAAAGGAGCCAGTCTGTTGTGTCGACTTCTTGGAGCTAGCAGAACGACTAAGTGGGGGGCGAGTTTCAGACGATTTGCGGTTAGTCTTGGAACCCTTGGCGCTAGCGGAACCAGAAGCAGAGTCGGTGGTGTGAACTGCCTCGTCGCCAACGGTAGCCTGACGGATGTCTTCGATAAAAGTAAACAATCCCTTCTTGAAGTCGGTAGCCATTTGTGTGCCGGCACGGATGAGCTGCTCGCGCTGGATGGTTGGCATGCCACCCATGTCATAACGGTCATGCTCTGCGGGGGAGACTAGTGGGCGCGTGATTTCTGACGAAGTGGACGTTCGCGCGGAATGCAGAGGCCGCATGCTGGGGGATTGGTTGTCCAAAAGGTCGGCAGTGTGGGGAAAGGAGGGCGAGTCGACGCGGTCTGGGGAGAGGAGCGACAGGGTGCGCAAATGGCGCGAGCCACTGAAGACCTTACGTTGTGCGGGCTTGGAGTGGCTGAGGAGGTTCTTCCTGCGCTCCATTTCCTTTTGCATTGACAGACCCGAGGCATCGTCATCGAACAGGGTGGGCGGGGAGTTTGCAAGCGAAGTATCCAGAGGTTGCAGCGGAGCCACTCTGCGCACCTGGTTGTGGCGCTTACTGGCTTCATGGCGGGCCCAATGCGACTTGAGCATGTTCAAGTCGGCTTCCGCCTTGCTCAGTTCCTCCTTGAGCTCCAGCACATAGCGCTCCTGGGCAGCGAGGACGGCGAGAATGTTGGTCTCGTGAGGCATCTCCTGGGGTTCCGGCGAGGGGGTGGGTGAGATGCCATTCATCCATGACTGAGGGCGCGTGCGTGTGGCAGAAGCGGGAGTGGCTGCGGATGCAGTGGGTTGGATAGGGAACTGCAGCGAGAGGCGCTTGCCCTGGCCGACAATGTCCACCGTCTTTGAACGGGAGTGCGCCGACATGGCTTTTGCAGGAGGTTGGGAGGGAGAGGCGGGCATGGAGGCGGCGTGGGCAGATGATATTTCGGCGTGGGATGACGGGTCTGCCCCTTTGTGGTGCAGGGTTTGTGTCTGTGCTCGATCCATGGCAGGTGGTGGACCACGATCTGACAGAGGATTCGGCCTGCGTTGCGTGGTTGCGAGTGCACAGAAGAGGGTTGGGAGATGAAAGCGGCGAGCGAGTCGGTGAAGAATAAGCGAGGCGGCGGCTGGGGAGCTGCCGTAGACTTCGAGGTAGAGGGCCAGAAGGGCTGTGGGTGGGCCGACCAATCGGAGCAGCAGCGAGCCTCGAAACCAAGAGAACCACGATCTCAAGAGCGCTGGACCGGCGGTGGAGCGAGAACCCATACCGGAGACATTGAGGAGGGCATTTGTGGCGGGCGTGAGAGATGTCAAGAGCAGACAGCGAGCATTCATCTCCTTTGCACTGCAGCCGGAGCCGTAGTCTTTGAACCCGTGTCTCTCATGCGCTCACGAGCTCAGGCCACAAACAAGCCGGATTGGGAACCATTTCCTGGCGATGAGGTTCCTGGGAGTTACCTGGTTGCGTGCCCTTGTCCATGTGTCGTAGAAGGAAGTGCATCGTGGCTCAACGGCGCGCTGGACGCTGGAGACTACATCTTTTGTAGTTGGCAGCAGAGTAGGGGAGTAGCCACGGCCGCCATGCTGTGTCGTGGCAGCGCCTTGTGCACGACACGTCGAAAAAGCACCTGTTTGCATGCGCCGTGCCTGGTATGCACATCCCCCGTGTCTGATAATACCGTCGACGCATCTATGGACGGATTGGACTGGATTGGATTGGCATCTTCGGAAATGAGGGGCCAGGCCACGTAATTCGACCATTGAGAGAGAAAAAGAAGCCCCTGGATGCAGCAACGGCAGCGCTACTATCAACGTGCCTGTGTGTCTCTGTCTGTATCCTGTCCGTCGTGTTGTTGCGGTGAACGGGTGCATGTCATGAGCGTATGTGTAGACCAAGCATTCATACACATGATGCCTGTCGGGTGAGGCTATTCGCGCCTCGTGAGACCAGCACAACCATGGTTGCCAGCCGCAGGCGCACAACCACTGCCCGCCCTGCCCTGAAACACGCTGTCTGCCCAAGGTGCTCTGGACCGCCATCCCATGTGACGAGATGTCATGGTTGATGCGCTGCCGCTCGCGCTGCCCAGTGAGGCGTCTTTTTGTCCTGGCAACCGCGTCGCCATGCTCTCTCCTCCACGCCAACCCAAAAAGCATCCCGCCTCGGCACTCCCAATGCGGCCCGCCCAAGGCGTCCCATCCGCCCGTACATGCAACTGGTAACCAAGAGGCCCAACATGGGGGCTCAACGTTGATGCCACCACCTCCGCTGCCACTACCCGCTGGCTGTGGAGCTTATGCAGGGCGGATAGTCAGCCATCGAGATGGTGTACCCGCCGCCTTCATAGCCAGGAACCCGCTGCTCTTCCTCCTCTGCTAGCCTGGCGCGAAGTCGCCTTCCGACATTGGCTCTGCTCATTGAATCGCATTGCAACGCCGTCATTCAATTTGGTTTTGTGGCGGCTCAGCTTGGGTGCCCTGCGGCTCCGTGTTCGTGGCAATACCAAACCAACGTCATGGTGGGGGGTTGTGCGTTTGTTGATGGAGGCGAGCTCGTTGCCTCGGCGATGGCAGGGCTGAGGACCCTGCGCTCCGGTGGATATACACCACCACCAACCGTCGCCGCGGACATGTAGTACCATCCCATCCCACACCCTATTACTATCTGCCATTTCCTCCTGGATCCGCTCGCCGTGCGCGCCCTGTCCTCGTCTCGCGACTTGTCTTACCGCCACTTCACCTCGCAGCTCACGACCACCCAAAATGTCGCCTACCATGGCCGAGGGCTACCAGGTCATGGAGGAGCTGGGCAGTGCGTATTATCCCCTGCACTATCCACAATCGCTGACCAAGCTACAGGCGGGAGTTTCGGCAAGGTCTTCAAGGCAATCGACAAGACCACCGGCGAGACTGTGGCCATCAAACACGTATGCATCCACATCTACCCCGGGCGATCCCCCATACTCATCCCCTATAGATCGACCTCGAAGACAGCACCGAAGAGTTGGCCGATATCCAGGCAGAGATCTCGCTCCTGAGCACTTGTCACAGCCCCTACGTCACCGAGTACAAGACCAGCTTCGTCAAAGGCGTCAAGCTATGGATCGTCATGGAGTACCTGGGCGGAGGGTCGGCTGCCGACTTGGTATGCTCAACCACAAACCCTCCATCGATTTCTTGACTGATTTGAGTAGTTGGCACCCGGAACTTTCAGCGAAGCACACATTGCCATTACATGTCGAGAACTTCTCCTCGGACTCGACTACCTCCACTCGTCCGGCAAGATCCATCGTGATATTAAAGCCGCCAATGTGCTCCTCACCGACCAAGGCAAGGTCAAGCTGGCCGACTTTGGTGTTGCCGCTCAACTCACTAACATGAAATCTCAACGTATGACGTTTGTCGGCACCCCGTTTTGGATGGCTCCGGAAGTGATCCAAGAGGCTGGCTATGACTTTAGAGCCGACATCTGGTCCTTGGGAATTACCGCCATGGAGTTGGCAGAGGGTGCACCTCCGCACGCAGGATCCCACCCCATGAAGGTCCTCTTCACAATTCCCAAAAATCCGGCACCCAGGCTAGAGGGCGACCACTGGAGCAAGGATTTCAAAGACTTTATTGCTCAGTGTCTGGTCAAAGATCCCGATCGACGTGCATCGGCCAAGGAACTGTTGAAGCATCGCTTCATTCAGCGAGCGGGCAAGGTTGAAGCTCTCCGCGAGTTGGTTGAGCGCAAGCAGATGTGGGACGCCCAGAGGGAGCAGCAGGCGGCGTCTCAGCGCAAGTACTATGAAGAGACAATGTTAGTGTATACTCAAGTTTTCTCAAGAAGATGCTAACAACTTTGCAGGGTTGACTTCTCTGCCAAGGCCGAAGATGACGATGCATGGGACTTCGACACAGTCAAGCGCGGAACGGTGGCCCCACGACCAGCCGTGAAGCAACTACAACGGAAGTCCACTCGGATACCCACCGCCGTGGATGAGGCACAGAGTGGGATGCAGCGCATGGACCTCAACGCAGCACCATTGGGTGACGTCACAGAGTCACCAGCGTCAACTCGTCGTCGAACACCCCCTCGACCACAGTCTCAAGTCACGGCGTTGAGAGTTCCTTCTGGTAACACACCAACTGCCCGCCGAGTTAGCAACATCGGCCAGCCTAGCAATCTTAGCAACGTGACCAATGCCAGCACCGCCAGCAAGCAGCCACTGGGTGTTGACCTTACATTTGGCAACTCCCCATCGACTGTGCGACACTTTAAACGCGTTTCGTCAGATGAGCGTCGAGCTCCAGCACGCTCGAACAACACAAATGAGCAAACCAGCCAGGGCAATCAGTCATTCCATCCAAATCCCGAAGCCCGCACTTTCCGGCCGTCTCCACCAAACTCTAACCATCCGCTCGATTTCAACAACGAGAATGAGCCACCCAGCCCCGACAATGCGCATATGCCTATCACCAAGGATGCACTGTACGGTCGACGGGCCTACAGCAAAGTCTTGGATTCGGTGTTCCAAGAAGCACACGCAGACACTGCATCACCTCGGCAGCGGGATGCGATCGGTCGCGTCGCTCAGGCGTGGCAGCATCTCGATGAAGTCGACCCACATGGCGAGTTCATGCTTCTCAAGAACATCGTCGATCGTCTGAAGAACGATGCGAAGCTTGCCTCTGCACTCGGTATTCAAGTCTCGTCATCACAATCACCATACCGGCACAACACCAAGACCAGCGAAATCAGCCTGGGAGGTACTACTGTGCACGGATCAGGAACCAGTCGAATCCGCCCCAGCACTTCGAATACGTCCATCTCAACAACAGCCAGTAAAAGTTCAGAAGACTACGAACGCGCTCCCTCTACTCCAGCAACACCCATGAGCGGCGGTTCTCCAACCAAAGCACTGAAACCCGCAAAGAAGTCTCCACAACTCAAATCCCACAAACGTCCCCAGAGCGCACTTCTGGTGGGCGAAAAGGGCTTCGGTGCTGAGGCTCTTGGAGCCTTTGATGAAAAGAAGCTACCAGGCTATGTTGAGCCTGGCATGGAACAACAAGCACTGCTTGCTGACATTCTCTACGGCCAATGGACTCAGGGCTTGCGTGCCCGCTGGCCCGTTGCTTAGACGTTTTTCTTCTATGTGTCACAAGTAAACGCTAGACTTTGTAGATGACTGCTTGGACCGACAAGACAAAGTCGGTTTTCTTTTTTCTTTTTTCGTATTTCCCTGGTATCATTTTCATACGACATCAAATTGCGAGAAAAAGCGGCGCAATCTTCTGGTTCCTTTTGGCGTAGTACGACGGGAACTCGTTAACGACTGATGAAAGCGGCTCATGACTCTGGGTTATGAGATTTTAACGAGGAGTAACCGTTGGACTGCCCTGGTCAAGGCATTGGTATAGGTGTTCCTTTGGGGATTTTCTTTTCGGTTCACGAATGAGGCATTCGAATCGGGGCAAGGGCATGATTTCAGCTGTTTCTTTTATTTGTATAAACCAGACTTTTAGCTCGGCTCTAATTAAAATGCCGCCGTTGTGGTTTTTTTCATCCTGTCTACGACTCGTTTCGATCTGCGGTGGCTGGGGTAAGTTCAATGCTTAGCTCGAATCGATACGGTGGGTTTTGCCCCGCCCCCGGATGGCACTTTCCACTTTACTCCGCTTCTCCATATCTTGTCTGGAAACAAAAAGTTTTTTTCCCTCTCATAGCTATACCAAGAATAAATGAAAGAAAACTAGAACATCACCCAAACCTCACTCCAAACATGCTCTTTCCCAATCTCTAATCCCCGGGGAACCGCGACATACCAATGACAAAATCAACTCATTATGTAGCTTCTCTCTAACAAGTACCGCGGAGCAAAAAAAAGTCCTTAAACCACGCAATCTCAACCCTTCCTTCCCGCACCCGCTCTCCTCCTTCTCCAACCACACCCGTGCTTTACTCCAACGCTTTCCCGTAGACGTCAGTGGCTTCCTCACCCCTGCTTCCACGCCCATCCGGACAAAACCATGTGATTCTATCCTTCCTGCTGATTGGCCGTGAGCAACAACGAGGCGGAAACAGTCTTAGCAAGCACAAGTCCGTTCCTGTCAAACAAACTCAATGCCCGTGTTGGGTATAAATAGTGGCTGGGGGGCTAGTACAAGCATGCAAGTCAAGCTTTTTTTTCTTCTTAAATTAAACGCTGAGGGCAGAAGCGACTCGGCGGGAAAAGCTTGGTGTTGCTTGTTATTCCTCTTTTGCGTCTTTTGAAGTATTATTAACCGCAAATTTTTTTGGACGTGCGAAGAGATAAGGGAGGATTTGAGGACTGGTTAAGGAGGTAAACAGAGAAAAGATGAAGATGCAGATGAGATGGGGTGGAGTTGTTGCGCTGGTTGTTGGGGGGGTTGGTGCGGCGCCGCCTTCGACGCTGACGACGACGGTTTCGGCGGCGGAGGATGTGGGGAGGAGTACGATGGATGTTTATCCGCCTTCTGGAAGTAAGCTTTCGTCTTCATTTTGACGGAGAGGGAGAGATGCTAATGGTGTGTGTTTTTTTTTAGCTCAGGCTGATCCTTCGCTTTTTCCGCCCGAGGAGGTGGTTGGGTTTCCTGGACGTGAGTAGAGTTGAGGAGATGGTAAGATAGGTAAAACGCTGACATGATGTGTAGCGACACCGACTGGAGTTGAGCCCAATGCTATCGAGACTGCGCCGTCCTATCCGTATAATGACCAGGCTGCGTTTTCTTGGCCGCTGATCAAGCCCCAGCCGCATGGAAGCGGGTCTCAATCTCCTGACTTTGATATTTCAAAGTATTGGGGTAATCTCAGCCCGTGGTACTCTGTTCGCAGCGCCGATTATGGTTTGCCAGATGCTAGTCCTTTGATTCCGGAAGGATGCGATATCACGCAAATGCATCTGCTATACCGCCATGGAGCCAGGTATCCCACCAGCGATGCCGCACCAGCAAAATTTGCTTCGAAGCTTTCCAATGCCACCAAAACCGGACTTTCGTTCTCTGGAGAACTCGCCTTCTTAAGCAACTGGAGGTATAAGCTGGGTGCTGAGCTTCTTACACCATCCGGTCGTAGCCAAAACTTCATGCTGGGAATCGAGTACCGCCAGCTCTACGGCCATCTCCTCAACAACTTCACTCAATCCGGAAAGATACCAGTATTCAGAACCCAGAGTGAAGACCGCATGGTACACACAGCCGAAAATTTCGCCGCCGGCTTCTTCGGTGTTCCCGAATATCTCAACCAAGTCAACATCGAAATCCTCGTCGAAACCCGCGGCCTCAACAACTCAGGCGCCCCCTACGAAGTCTGCAACAACTCCAACATCGCCTCTCGCGGCAGCATCGGTAGTACTGTCGCCTCTCAATTCGCTGTCGATGCCTTCAACGCTACACTCGCGCGCCTCCAGTCCCAAGCCCACGGCATAACCCTAACCCCCTCCGACGCAATCTCCATGCTCCAACTCTGCTCCTACGAAACCCACGCCCTGGGCTTCTCCCCCTTCTGCGCCTTGTTCAGCGAACAAGACTTTATAAACTACGAATACTATTTCGACCTCTCTTTCTACTACAACAACGGGCCCGGATCCCCCGTCTCCGCTGCACAGGGGAAAGGATATCTCGACGAATACATTGCGCGTTTTACTCATACGTTTCCTGCGCCGAACTCCGCGCTGAACGAGACGTTTGATAATACTTCGACGTACTTCCCGCTTGACCAGAGTATCTATGCAGATGCGACGCACGAGGTTGTGGTGCTGGATGCGCTTGTGGCGTTTAACCTTACTGCGTTGTTTAAGGGTGAGCCGTTGAGTGCGAGGGGAGATGAGGGACGGAATACGTTTGTCGCGAGTAAGCTTGTGCCGTTCGCAACGCATTTTACCACCCAGGTGCTGGAGTGTAGGGAGAGGGTGCCGAGCAAGCAGGTTAGGTTTATTGTGTATGCCCCTGCCCCCCTTCTTTTCCACCTCTGTCCAAGCGGTTATTGTTTGGGCAAACGGACGGATTTGCTAATGTGTGCGTATAGGAACGACGCTGTAGTCCCAATCCACGAATCCCACCCCGGATGTCCCGAGGACGCAGATGGACTTTGCGCCTTCGACAATGTGGTCGAGGTACTCAAGAAGAGGAGTGCCGAGATCGATTTCAACTACGATTGTTTCGCAAATTATACGGCTGTGCCTGGTGTGAACTACAACGGGCGAGCACCAAGATAGTCGAGTTCTCATAAGCTAAATACCTAGACTTCTCTAACTACCCTTATTCATCACACTGGAAAAGTACACAGGACTCTGTACATATCTGCACACGCCTAATATCATACATGTATATTTTTACTTTTAAATATCTTATCTGATCTATTACCCCCTCCTCCCATCCCCCTGATCGATCCAGCCGACCCTTATACCCTATCCGCCTGTATCTTATCCAAGTCCTCTTTCCTGCTCCTCCCCCTCCCACTCCCATCAAACCTCTCACTAATCTCAACCCGAAAGTCCTTTTGCACATTAACCTGCAACCCATCCAAGCTCGCCTTCTTCACAATCCTCTTCTGACTCCCATCATCCCTCGCATCCAAACTCTCCTCACTCCCATAATCCTCTAAATCCCCATATATCTTCGTCTCAACCCCCGTCCCTTTACTCTTCCCATTGAGATAATTCCGCGTGCGACTTGACTCCGGACGCTGCTGTTGCTGCTGGTCGTCGAGTTCAAGCCACTTGTTTTTGGAATCGATGGCGTTGCTGGCGGAGGGGCCACCCGGGTGTGGCTTTTTAGAGCCGAAGATGCCGGAGGCGTAGGAGCGCGAGTTACTGCCGGACCAGGTGGAGAAGCGCGCGATGGCGTGTTTGAGGAGGGGATGGCAGGCGGGTAGGTTGGCGACGAACATGCCGACGTTCATTTCGGCGGTGGCCCAGGCGAGGATTGCGCCCAGGTTCTGGAGGAGGCGCGAGGCGTCGTTGAGCCCGATGAGGTATTTTAGGCGGACGATAGGGGCGATAGAGGCGCTGGGGTTGTGTTAGTTTGGGGGGGTTTGTGAGTGTTGAAGGGTTGGACTCACAAGATTCCGAGACCCAACATGGCCATTACACCACCCTTTACGCGCCAGTCGAGTTGAACGTCCCAGAGGAGGAAGATGGGGAGTGTGGCGAAGATCCAGTCTGTGGAGATGGATACTACGGCTACGGCGTAGGAGAGGATGGTCTGCGTGCTGCGCTCGCGGCAGTAGCCTTCGACTTTTGTGTCCCAGTTCTTCCTGGATTGTGTGTTAGTACTTGATGTTCCCCTTTGAGTGATTCAGGATTACTTACTGTACTGGCATGCACTGGAAGAACAGGTATATGCCTGTTCCACCCATAACGATGAAGCACAAAAGCATGCTAATGTAGATGACATATTCGATCCATTTCTTGCCGCTTGCAATTCGAATCAGAGCAAATCCGATACTGCACTTGATTGTGACGAGGGTAAAACACCATGGTTCCTGGAAGACGTAGAACCACTGCTTACTGATTACTATGTTGCTGACTGAGCGAATAGGGGAGGGGGGGAAAGCATACCCGCAGAGAGTTCATATATTGAGACTCTGTAAGGGTGGCATCATATTGTCCAATACCACTCCATGCCATGCCTATGGTGGCAATTGTGCTTACACTCCAAAAGGGCTGTATCAGTGTCAGTCAAGTTGTACACAGGACTGTGGATCCAGAGGCCTTACAATGTTGATCAACATGGCCCAGTCATCGGGACCCCACGCCTTCCTCTTTGTCCGTATCCAGAAGCGCAGGATAGTAGAAATTATGTCAAAGGGAAGCGGGACTAAGACGGCCAAGGCCATGGGATAGGATGTCGGCGCCATGGTGACTATGTCTGTCTACAGTCCTCACAGGTGAATAGAAATGTCAGATGGGCCAGCCAACTGTTATGAACCGCGACGATTGAATGGACTAGACTTATGGACCTGCAGGTCGTGGGGTCTGTGGAGAAAATAAAGGGATACAAGGGAATGTGCACAAGGGCAGTGCCTGAGGCATCACGTACGATATCCGTGTGCTCAGAGTCCATTGATGCATTCTGCTATGAGCCGCACTTGGAACGGGCAGCCCGTTTACATCTCGGTTCCGTCGCCTTGGTACCCCAACGCTGTATCGCCTTAGTCACAGCAGTCACTCTGTTGTGCCGATCGTTAGAACCGGAATTGTGCCGTCGAGAATCAAGACTTGAGGATGGCCAACGGGGGGTGCCGGCGTGGGATGTGCGCTAGTTTGAGCCACTACCGTTCCGATAGTGCCGGCATTACGCGCGGCGGCATACATTCCCCGACCCACTTCACTGTGGACATTCCATATGAAACGAGCCTCACGACGGGAAGATTTTTCCTATGCCATTCACGAACAACATTTCCAAGCCAATAGGAGTTGCCTCCGTCTTCGTCTCAAGCTAGCAGCATCTATGGAAGGTATGCCTCTTGTCTCGACGTCGCGACCATCTTGCCTATGAATCATAGCACCGTGGGCCCAAAGACCTCGCCAGATTTCTTATCACAATTCTCAACGCTTAGTATGCTGATAGCAGGTGTATGCTTGCCTGTCAACATCTCTGAGCAGGGTGCTTGGATGTAAGTATTGTGGCCGAACGAGGTAAGTAGTTCGCGCGCTTTTCCTAAACACCATCAACCCACTCGTCTCGAGGGTTACGTCTGCTTGCATATCTTCGCACCAGCACACGTGCACGCGCAAGGCTGTGTTTGAGCATGCAAGGCAGGATACCCAGGCCCCATCCCGCATGCTAAGACTGATTGACAGCTCCCTTGCAAAGGGATGCCCTTGCCAAGGGATTGATGTGTTGTATCGGCACGTTTTAGCACCTTCGCCAAAAATATCCAATTCTCAGTCTTGCATTCTATTCGCGAGCAACTTCCGTCCACAACCCAGCTAGCCGTTGCTTGCAACATAATTCGACATAATCCTTCCCGAAGGATTTCGGCCAACAGTTGCGTTATCATCCTTGTCTTGCAAAGTAACTCACCACGTATTTTCTCATACGATATTAGGCGTTTCCTCGGCCAATCCTCCCTATGGCAGCCCCGTTGGAGTGAAATGAAGATCTTCACCGCCCCGATCGAGGCGAGACCGGACGTCCGACTCCACATCGGGGTTATACTAATCCGATCCTAGTCCTTACTCGAACGGTTTTATCAAGTCAAGGGTTCCCCGCTACAGTTGCTAGTCGAGGCTGTCAAGCGGAGGTTGATACTGTCAGTTGCTACCGCTGAAAGATAGGTCCGATACTACATAACGTCGTGTTTCGTGCAGCTTTTTTCCTCTTTCCATTCCCCAAGTACATATCCAACCTTGTTAGATTCTGAGACTAAATCCATCTGATCCTTACAAAACTTCTACGAAAAACCCGACAGTATGGCACCAGCAAGGACTAATGAAGCAACGGCACCCGCAAGGGTATTCGAAGGCAAACTTGCCATTGTCACTGGATCGTCAAGGAGTAAGTGCTACTTGACTGCAAAGTCACCAATGTCGTCTTTCTCGTGACGACATGTGTCGTGAGATCGAACACTGACAAACTTTCCCTCGCTTTAGGTTTCGGCGCAGCAGTTGCAAAACATCTTGCCGAACGTGGTGCAAACGTGGTTATCAACTACGCCACTTCAGCTTCTGATCAGACTGCTGCTGATCTCGCAGCTCATCTATCCAAAACATACGGCGTGAAGGCGGTCCCTGTGCGTGCTGACTTGCTCGATCCCACGGCCCCTGCAGCCCTTGTCGAGGCCGCAAAGAAGCACTTCTCCGACCCCTCTGCAACCCCCAGCTTCCAGATCGACATCATCATCAACAATGCGGCACTTGTGAATTCTCAGCCCATCCAAGAGCTTGACGTTGAGCTATGGGACCAGACATTCAACCTCAACTGCAAAGCACCCGCGCTACTCATCAAAGCAGCGTTCCCCTACCTTCCCCATGATCGATCGGGCAGAATCGTTAACATCTCGTCTGCAACCACGACATGGGGTCTTATCCAGCAGACTTCCTATGCTGGAACCAAGGGCGCCATCGAAGCTATGACCCGTGTTTGGGCACGTGAGCTCGCTGAGCGCTGCACCGTCAACAGCGTCTCTCCTGGCCCTATGGACACTGGCCTACTCAATGGACTTCCTGAAGCCCCAAGGCAAGCACTGAGAGCGTACAATGCTCTAATTCCTCTGGCCAAGGAACGACCCGGTGTGGACTCTGAGGATATGCTCAGGCTAGCGGGCGAGATTGGCGGCCGACCAGGTACCTTGGAGGAAGTAGCTGGCATCGTCGGAATCGCCTGTCTACCCGAGAGTGGATGGATGACAGGCAACCAACTCGGTGCCAGCGGCGGTGGTGCGTTTGTAAGATGATGTGCCTAAACTAATTTTGAAAAAATGTAAAACAACTTTCCCTTCCTTTTCCGTTCTTCGAAGTGATCTACTCTTACTAAGAACTTTATGTTCAACGGAGAATTATTCAGTTCTACCATCTGTCTCACCACCTTGCCGTCCAAGATCCGATCTACATAACTCTCTTCCTATTGTTGATGTCAGCCCCGTCTGGCCATCCCCTTGTCCCGGGCCACCGTGCGGTTCCGCCAACGTGGGTATGTGTGTCCCATACGTACTTCTTTTGCAAGGGTGACGTGACCTTAACACACATATGCACCTGTCATATACCGTTGTCGTCTCTTGATTCGGTCCATGCGAAACAGCCTAGTATACTTCTCACCTAAGTACGTTGCATCCTGCGCAGTCTCGAATTACCTTTTTGAGACATCCCCCCCCCTTCCACATACCGACTTTACCACTCCGCCCCGCCTTCGCAACTCATTATGAATAAAAAGCTTGTTGGCTATGCTAGTCTTTTGCTACGGAGGTACTGTTCCAAGAACCCCCCACGTCGGCAATTTAAAATTAAAATAATGGGGCGGGACGCTTTTCTTTTTTGGCTGACACATTGACATTTTGGCAGCCCAGCAAATGTCCAACGACAACGGGCGCGGCGGCGGCTAAACGAGGAACATAATAGTTCGCATCACCCCTGCTTATAACACCCCCGTTTTTTATCTTGGCTCCGCGGCGAATCATCGTCTTGGACATCCAGCATCCTGAAGGACTTTAGTTTTTTTCTTCCCGCCCTGGTGGGTAATGTACTTTTACTTACCCAGTGTGGGTAAAAGGTTCTTGGGCATATATGTGCAGATCCTGTCGTCTATACTTGTGCATGTTTTTTTGATGCTTCTCGGTGGCAGAGGTTGGTCATATCGCGCAATGCGACGGGGGCGGCACGGCGGGTTGCGATGTTGCGTCGCGTGGAGTTACGTATCATCGGGGCTGGTGGCGCGTGCGTTGGAGAGGGGATGTTACTGTCTTGCCTCGAGTTGCAAGCATGGTGTTTCGGGGAGTTTGATGAGAAAGGAGGTGTAGGATATGAATTCGCCTTTTCTTGCCCCTCGAGAAATTGGTGATGCGCGAGGATCTGCGCTGCGAGTTTGGCTCTGTTGTTGTTTATCACTAGTAGTGATCTGACTTGCATGTAGCATGTGATACTTCCAAACAATTGCTGCTTACGTGGGAAGTTCGTTTCATTGTATGTCTCAGAGTCATGGTGGATCGAGATCTGGCATGAATAGTAATGCCGCTCCTTGATTGAGCTCCTTATTCTGGACACCATGGCAATCATGCATTGAAGACATGTGGATCTGGAAAATGAGTAAGTAAATGCACATGGTCTGTAATGGAGACAGACAACCGAGATAGCCGTGGGTCTAAACATAGTATGTTCGGATGTCTACACCGACCATTGTACAGTTGGGCATATTGTTGAGTGACGTGATCGAGGATTAGGACGAGTCGTCTTGAACAGCCCATCGACTGATATCTCTACTGACAAACAAAGCTAGTTTCGCGAAAACATCCGTGCACATTCTACGAAGCATCAACAGATACGTGTTGTTGGAAAAGGACCAGGATCGGCTTTACTACAGGTATTATTGGTCTTGGTCGCTAGGTTATGGTCTTCGGCAGATCTCGGAGAGCTAACATTCTAGAAGAACATGCTCTAGTGACGAGTAGCCCATCTGAAAGTTCACTATAGTTGTCGATACCGAGATTGTATAGCTGACAAGCCATATACAACAAGCATTATAGACAACAGAGGCAACTCTGTGAGCAAGTGCGTGGAGGTATTACTAATAACGGTTAGACTGAACTTAGATTATCATCTACACTATGGCGTTCGCCCTCCCACTGCCCTAATGCCCCGTCGACACTCAATGGATATAGAGATGCCCCTATTCACTTCATGTCTGTAAACGACAGAGCTAAGCTTGGACGTCGTATAGCTCTCGGCATTATCATTGAAACCATGGTCAACATCGCCCCTTCTACGGAGACGGTGGTACTTGTAAATACTGGCAGAACCGTTTCTGTAGACAGTTCCGTAATCTTTCGAAGAAGATTAAACTTACAAGCGTATGCCTGCTTTCTTATATACAATGCTGGTGAGTATATGACGAACGTGCTCTTGATATAAGCGCCTTCTCAACTCCGTTGAGCATAAGAATGACTCATATGATCAAAAGTTTCAAGGATTTAGCGATATTCTGTTAACATCATTACAGTTGCCAATTTATGTGGAAAACATACAAGGCCCTCTGCCGTTAAGACCGTCCAGTTGTTAGTCAGCATGTTACTGGACTACTAAATCTTCGCTCGCGTGAACTGTTTCTCATACCGAGTTTGAACTGCTCATGATTCATTCCCCAGTACCTGTTTGCCCAACTCATTTGATTCGATATGGCGAGAACCGTCAATCGAATCTCTTCAGACTCCCGACTATCCCTATCCCTTGTTGGATTTCTGAGCGCCGGATTTCGGAGGCGTGCTAATGGTGTCTGGTACCACTGCACCCACTCTTCTGGCGAGTTGTTCCATCCATTTGAGCATCAATCCCAACAGAACATACAGACAGATTTGTTTCTGTAAGGATGTGTAGTGTACGAGCTTATGACAGGATTCTGGCCGGGAGAACGCATGGGTAAACTGGGACAGGAGACTGCGATGATGATTCCGCGGAAAGACTGGCCACCACTTGAGATAGAGTGTATGGGTGAGATTGTGCGGAAGTGCTGGGAGGGGAATTTTGTGGATGCAGAGCAGCTGAAGATGGAGGATTGAGGGGAATGATGATTTGAAAGGGTTTGATGTTGCGAACCTATCCTTGAATTAACAGGAAAGCAGAAATCCACGGGGCAAAATCATTCCATCTGCGAATACTGGTATGTGTCTATTGAAGCTTAATAATCACCCTCATTATCCTTAGCTATTGTAGATGGTTCCAAAAACTAAAACCCTAATATAAGTGTATATTGTAGAGATTTGATAATACGATCCATGACCATATAAATTTAATTATCTGCATATATCTAGAGAATAGCAAAGACACCGAAAGCCATACTAAGTCACCGACAGGTCATAATTTCTTTCTCGAAGCCCTTGGTATGAACGATCCAATTAAGTTCTGTGTTCTTGGTACTGCGTTGTCATACTAGCCGTTGCTGTTCTAATTGCAACCTATAGATTTTATGATCAGGAACCCATGCCTTGTGTCCAACGGCGGCTGGTAGACAATCTGAACTGACTAAGGAACATAGATGTAATATATAAGGTCCGATACTTGTCGGACATGTGAAGCTATGTTCGAGTATCATCGGATTGGTACTGTGCATTCTGGCCGGCGTATTCTAGACCATATCCGACAGCTGCAGGATAAATGAAATCGTATCCAGTAGCTGTCGGTTGAGGAGAGAATGATGAAACAATTTCGCTGTCGAGACATACACACCTTCTATTCGAGGTTACCGAGATAACTGCTGAAACTTATTTGCGCGCTCTTAGACAACGTGCTTGTTTCTCAAAGCGCGGAATATTCTGCAGGGTTGGTGTTTCTTGGGACAGCATCCACACACTTTTGACATAGATATCGTCTAGAAATTGCGATATTGGTCAGAAATCTTTTACATGTATTCAGCTTGCTAGTTTTCATTTTTTCATATCCTGTTTAGTGATGAATGATCACAAGGAATGGCCATATCGGAGAAGTCTTTCTGTAAGGTAGAATTTGACATAGAACAGATCAATAGTCCTTGGTGTGATGTCTAATTGATGCATATCAAAATCGATTTATTGTGTAAATCCGTAGAGAGTGGTTATTTTTCTAGGTGAAGTTTTGCATGTGAGCATATTTTGTGCAGGTAGATTTCATAAAACCCCAGTTTTTATGATTCTGGTCATGTAGTCGCAACCTAGATGGATCACTGCTTTCAGATAACGAAAAAGGATAGCTAGCTTGTACGAGGACATATAATAATGGCCTCAATACAGGGGCTACCCGCAAAGCTGTTTTTTGACGGATTTTTCTATGTTGCTGACGTGAGAAGGATCGTGTGTCGTTGTGCGGACCAGAATCAGGCAAACGTTGTGCGTGGCATGTGCGACTCGTGATTGGCCAGAAGGCTAAGGCGTCCGGATTTGCCTTGAGGAAAGAACCGTCACCTGGCCCTTCCAGTCTTAGCTCCCGCATGCCAAACTCGACCTCATTCATCTCTTTTCCTCCATGTTCCGCGTGTTATCAACCTCCTTGGACAAGCCTCAAGTCAAATCTGGGCGCGCTCAGTGCTGAGCCACAGTATATTCACTTGTCACCGTTTGCAACGCCCCAAACCCCCTCTGCCGCTTAGCGCCAGGCCTCCAGGTTCTCCCAGCCTTTCGACTACGCCTCGTACGCTCATTCGCCCCTGGGTCCGTGTCCCCACATAGGCTCCCGAGATGTCGTCGGCACGGCCGATACCCGCGTTCCGACAGTCGCTTGCCAGGCCCTGAGCCATTCGATTGACCTTTGGATGCGAGATGGCAGTGACAAAGGGGCGGGCTGGGATCTGGAACGCTCGCGGGATTGCCAATTGTGATGGTGTCACAATTCCTATTTCTCGTGATCAGCTTGAATGTTGGTGGACTGCTGGGAAACTTCTCGATTGGTATTAATCATCTCCGTGACGGGCACTTGAGGCCCATATTTGCCCGTCAAGTCTTTCTTTACTTGTCAAGTCGAGAATTGCACGAACAGACGCATGTGCGCACTAACCTTGTCGTATTGTCAGTGTCCACTTGACAGGTCGTCCTATTCAGCACGCTGGCCTTCCTACCAGAGTACTAGGAGCATTATTACTGCTTCTGAATTATTGACGTCGTGCTTGTTTAGTTGTGATTCTCCTCTACTCGCTTCATAGCGTTTTCAACTGACGAATCCCCTCGTTGCTGGCCCACGGTTGAAATTACCAGCCGGCAATCCCGGAGGCGTTCTCGATATTGTCATCCTAAGGCCCATCGTAGCCGACTCTCCAGAAGCTTACTCAGTATTTGAGAGCAGTTGTAAGTACAAATTAAGCATCTTGTAAATTTCAAGAGGGTGCTGTAAGGATCACCAAAGGGGCCATCGAGAGCCAACGCTATAGGAGCTCACTTGGCATCGGAAAGCTGCAGCCTTTTTCTATTGTTCCACCACACGTCCCCATGACAAAATCATGCTTGCAAGGTTTGCCGGGTGCCAAACGCTGTTAGGTTCTCGCTCGAGCCTTTTCTGGGTTACAATTGTGTCGGAAGCAACGCATGCGGGGTCGTAGTCTGGGTGTGCCTGATCTGGCTGGACTCTGGATTCGAGAGCAGCGCGGATACGGCACAGACTGTGGCATACCTTGATTCCAGTGCGGATGCTGACGGGCACCGCATCTTTCGATTGGGCCTTCAGCAGTGGCGGTGGGCGCATGACCCTGATTGTGACGAGCGTTTCCTGTAGCGTAAGGGCGTGACCGGTGAGTTTTTACTCGCCTCTTCTGCCGAGACTCGTCGCCTCGAGGGTGGTTGTTCAGCTGCAAGGTTCGAAATCCGGTGAAAGATTTGTGCACGATCCTGCATGTCGCAGAAACACCTGCCTCGATCAGCAATCTGCTGGCGCTACCAAGGGGAAGCACATCCGCTGCTTCCATTAGCGGCTTTAAACAAACTCGCCAATGAAACCGTACAGAATAAAGAGACATGAAGTCAAGAAGGCAAACCATGCAGGGTGAGGTCCTCCAGCGGCCTTAGCACCGTCAGCTCAATCCTGCGAGCGTCTACTTAATTCCCGTACGCCCCTCGGTCCTTCGAACTAGAAGCAACTTCAATTCGTATCAAAAAGACCAAAGCAAAGACAACTTACTGGAAACGCGTCGCATTACCGCTGGGTACACGGAGGCCATCAGACATGAGTGCCGCTCGACACAATAAGCGCCCGCATGAATGTTGGCTAGTAGTGCCTCTACGCCGGCTTATAACCCCTCATCAGGCAGAGCCGCATCTCTCATTCGTTCCTTGCCACGCTCAAGCACGTGCAAATCTCGATCACGATAATCGTTCGATCGTACAACGGGAGCAGGCAAAGTCAATTGATTTACTACCAATCTCCTATTATACATGGAAAGACTCAAAATATTGCGTTTAGACGCTCGTTGTTTCCTCGGAGTGTGTTAGTCAGGTGGGAAACACAACGTATGGGACGGAACCAGTTCACTTCCCTGCTTGCTTCTTCTCGGAGCCGGATCATCCTTCGCATCCCCGGCGCTGTAACAAATGACCCGACGTCGAGCATCTTTCTAGCTGAATTCTCAACGGATCAGCTCTCTCCGGTATCTCACGCCAACTGCCGTGCTGGACAGCAAACATGGATCGCTCTGCATGGAGGGATCCACCTTCGGCTCACTTGGGCACGCGCTGTGGCTTTCCAGCCGCTGGTTAGCCGGCGGCCAGAATCGGGTACTGCTCATGCAGGCTATGGGACTTGATTGAGCGCGATGCCCAGCCGGCTAGCTGACACCAGTGCTTTTTGCTAAGTTGCAGCTGACAAGCTGTACAGCTACGAGAACCCGATTACCACGAAAACGCTACCAAGCCCACATCCACGTCTTGTATGCTCTCAAAATTCTACTAATATTGAAGAGGACCTCTTGGGCACTACTTGCACAGTATTCGTTGGCGTACTAGTCTCCCAGCGAGATGGAACAACCATATGATGACTTGCTACAGCCGCCCGTGGTAATGATGGCATACAGCGGGGTAGGAGAAATCCAGCTGGCTTCCTATCGCATGCAGCCTATGTAGGATCCTGCGCCATGCATATTTGGCAACACTTCTAGCTTATCAGAGGCTTCGTACAGATTCCTGTCCCGCGTCATCGTCATGTAGGAGCTTGTCGTCTGACCCTTTGACTGGAATGGCTTTCCTCAAAGCCGAAAGATCGCAGAGCCGCATCGTGGAGACGAAGGATAAAGCGGTCCGGTAATGAAGGGGAATCATAGTACAGAGCAGGACAAGCGCATTCACGGCACAACCACACGCACCTTATTGTGGGTCTCGAGCATATGCAAAACCGCGGATCTACAAATTTCCATCATGGTCAGTCACTCACATTCTTTTTGTCCTTTAGGTTCGGGACTTACGAGATAAAAGCCAAGATACTTTTTCAGAATCGATGAAATAGGCAAAACTCCAAACGCTTCACATACGTACGACAGCAGTGGGCATCATGGGATGCCCGCCTTTGAAGCAGGGGCCGTCAGGTCAATAGGGGGAGGCGCGAGCGGTCAGTGGTGGCAATGTGACGGAACCCAAATTTACGGAATTCCACAACCTCCACCAGGCGCTCAGCCATATAGCACATACTCAGTCTTCTACATCGGGGGTTTTGGGTTTTGGGTTCTGAAAGGTGACGCAATCAACTCCAACACCTACAGACACTCCAACACCTGGCAGCCTCTGTACTTTCAGCACCACGCTCAAAAGGAATACTCATACCTCTGTAATGCGGAACAATACCGCACAGTCTACAGTCGAAGAAGCGATCAGAATTGGCTGAGGATGCTGCTACCCGATATATATTATGAGAGTGCACCGGTGATAGACCGCTCACGTTACGGAGGCCTCAAAGGAGAGCTGGGCATATTTCTTGCTCTCATCGCTTTTGCTATACACCCACAGGAGTTGCGCGCCAGACTACCCCAAATGTTCACGAACGGGAATTGGCAAACACCCGGCACATTCAATCATGGGAGTAAGTCAAGCCAGATTTTTTTGGTATTGCACGGTGTCTGGCTAACCTTTTTGCCGACAGGACAATCAGAAAGGGGTGTGGTAGTGTATGTGTGGACCTGTCCGTCAATCACGGCTGACGAACTTCATGTTTATGAGCGAGGATCCCATACCAGGTATTATTACTAGTTGTCAATTCTTAATCGCCCCCAAACACCCGCCAAGTCTAGTTCTGGCTTTGAAGCGAGGGTCATGTCAGTTTTACTGACTTTTTTTCTCCTTGTTCCTCCAATTTCATTATACAGGACGTCTCTTATCGCACACTTTGTTGACTTTTTCTTAACCTCAGACTGCTTACTTTCTATACGTTTTCATAGCGGTTGCTCAGCAGGAGACAGGATCTCAACAACTGTTGGCATTACGAAGTCACGACTTATGCGCATCTTTTGCTGCAGTGTTGGCAGCTTTCTTTTCCTTTCTTTTTTTATACGTCTCCTTGACCAGATTGCATAAGTATCACATTAGCTTCAGGATAAAGAATGGCTCATATACGTTTGGTCTCTTTTACAGAAATACACAAATCTCTTGCCGCTTTCGACAAATACATGAAGCGAATAAAAGTTCTCTAAACGTGGTGTGTGACTGCTAATAGCATGGTTTGCAATCACCATCGTTTCATGTTGGTTGACAACTGCGCCCTTGACGATCTTCACCACGACTGATTAGCACGGCCACGTAACGACCCTACATCGCAGTCCAGAGACCGACACGTACATGGAAGCTAGTAACTATGCATACGAGGGAGGCTGTCTAAACAAGGGTATCATGAAAATCCAAACAGCGCATACACGATACATGCGATGCCTAACTTGGCATACCCCATACAATGACATTGCCGTCGCCACCCCCGCTACACCATTCAGGTCTCGTTTGGCAAAACGCCACAGCAGACACGAGATCCTTTTTGCCCTTTCCAAGCGGAGTTTGTGGTAATCCTTTGACTTCTGTCATATTCGAGTGTTTAAACTTGTGCAGACAAGTTCCATGTAGCATATCCCATGCAAACACAAAGCCATTATCGCTACCGCTAACAACGACGCTATCGTTCAAGCCGAGTGTACTTCTGACTCTCAACTCCGTATTCACAAAAGCGTCGTGCTTGTATGTTTTCAGGAGTCCACCATTGATACGATCCATGAGCCTGATCGAGGAATCAAGCGAACTAACAAGGACTTCTGTACCCTTCTTACTCACAGTCAAGCTCGTGCAAGATGGTCCTATAACATCGACTTGACACATGCCAGTTCTCAAATCATAGCTTCTAATGCGCCCGTCTACACTAGCCGCCACGATCTCCGCGTCGTGGATCGCAACGTCGGAAACGCTATCCTTGGCATCCGACAGCATCATAATGGGCTTGTAGGCATTGGATCGCACATCCCAGATGCGGACTGTACCGTCGAAACTCGCGCTGACAACGACGCTATCGCCCTCGCCGCCAAAGACGCCGCGGTTCACGCGTCCGGAGTGTCCTGTCCAGCGTCGCACCGTCTGTGCGGTTTGCACGTCCCAAAGAAACACGGTCTTGTCACCGCCTGTGCTGACAAATTTGTCATTGGCGTGGTTTACGTCGAGGGAAAGGACTTCGTAGCCGTGCGCTGTGTATTTATTTACGAGGCCTGGGGGGCGCTGTGCAGATTGAGTAGGCGCAACGGAGGTGGGCGGTGCGTGCTTGGGGTTGTAAAGGCGGATGGTGCGGTCAGAGGAGCCGGTTAGGATGTAGGATTGGGTGCCGGAGGAGTAGGCGACGGCGTGGACGATGCCGTTGTGGCCGGTTAATTTGGCGGTGGGGGTTGCGGGGAAGGCCATGGTGTAGTAGTAGTGAAGGTGGGAGATGCGTTGCGAGGTACTGGGACGGCTGCGATTTAATAGCACCGCTCATCGAGGTACGTGCTCAAGGCATTGTGGAATGGAGATGTATCCGGATAAAAGGGAGATGATCGAATCTTGGTGAATGTCTTTCCGGATGTGTTTCTGCTATGCGACAAAGTTGCGCATCTTGCGACGCGTAGGAGGAGCAGAGTCGGAGGAGAAGACGCAAATGCATTTGGTACCTGCCAAGGCCGAGGTGGGGCAATGACGCTCAGCTAGCTCCCGCGACTTTTTGGCCTCTCTACGCGTAAACAGCTTACGAACATTTTATACGCAGATATCTTCTTTTCATCTTTGGTTCTGGATTTACGAAAGTAACAGAAACTTTACCACCTCTCATAATGTCACTCCAACACCTCGACAGCCCGCCCAAGGCCGACGACTTCACCCCGCTCTCGGAACACCAGCAGCAGACGCCAGCTTCTTTCTTTGGCGCAAAGCCCGTTCTTCACGCCCACTATGAAGCCATGACTCTATCTGTTGCTGCCGATCAGCTTCAGCAAGACCCTGCATTCAGCAAATTCAGTTCAAGACGCGAGGGAGAAGAGGACTTGGTAGACGGGGTTGACGTTTGGGTCTCTTCAGAGCATGTCTCTTTCTTCGCTACAAATAATGGTTTGTGCTAACCAACGCCGCAGAAACCTCATCCTATTCCAGAATACACCCTCGCCCGTCGGCATATCTATCCCGTATCCGTCTCTCGCTCTCCACGCAACAATGAAGTACAAGTCAACCATCGAAGCACTGTATATGAACATCTCACTCAACGACGCCGAAACTGTCAACGAAGACGATGACATTCGTATGCTTGAAATCACTGTTCTGCCTCCATCTTATGCGACGAAACCTACCGACACGTGTATCTCCGAGTTCTTCGCTGCGCTAAATACTTGTGCGGATCTTCATCCTGACCCAGACGCTAGTGACGATGAGGGCGATGATATGCTGGATGACACAGCGCCTGGTGCATCGGGCTGGATTACAGCGGACAACATGGACGAATATCTCGATGAAGATGGTAACTTTAAGGGCATGGTGATTGGAGAAGAGCTGGGTCCAGGTGCTGGCACAGTAAGGACAAGGGAGGAGGCAGACGATGGATCAAATGGTGTCAATGGAGCTGATGGACACGAAGAAAAGTACCACCGTACTGGCTAGGTGCTGGGCCAAACAGCAAAAAATGTAATGAACATGATTAGTTGAATTTCTATATGATACCCCATGACGAGATACCCGGTCACGGGTCGGATAGCATAGCTTTATGGACATTTGTACCAATGAAAGTTCATGCGTACTGACAGTCTCGAGAAGTTTCCTCCACCCTATTAAAGAAGAAAAGATACAGAATAAGAAAATCTACAACATTATACATCGTCTCCATCATCTCACCGCCACTGTCGTCCTCTTCGATACTCCAATGAGATCTTCCTCTTATGACCTAATTCATTTGTGTCATCTCATTCAATCATTCGAACCTCTTCTCCCTTCCTTCGTGGCTATGTGACTTTCGTCACATATGTGCCACAGCTGCTCTCGGTGGAGTATGCGGACGAACACACCAATAACAGTGCTAATAAACATAGCAGTGCATGTTCAATCCCCTCTTCCTTCCAGTTAAGACAAGGATACGCGGCGTACAATCTGCATATAGCAGCTTTCAAGCCATATCAATTTAGAAAAAACCTGTATCCCCAAACTCGGCTACCGCGTAGGCGACGAAGGCAGTGCCGGATATGGCGCCCGGTTCGTTCCAGGCACATTCGCAACAGGGTCGGGCTGTGTTACTGTTGTCGACTCCGCATTTCGTGCATCCGTGTACGTTGGCGGCCACCCAGCAGGCGCCGTCCCTTCCGCATGCATCCTGCGTTCAATATCCATTCTCTCTAGATTCGAAACGACCTTGTGGTAGGCAGGTGGCGGCATATCATCTGCGTCCCCCTGTACCGGCGCCGGCGCGGCAGTAGTAGTTCGACTCGCGCGCGCGGCAACAACAGCTTGACGACGGGCATCGGCAGTAGGATTCGTATTCACAGGCGGTGCAGATGCCGCTGTTGCTTTTTGCTCCTTAGCGCGTGCTCGCTTGCCGAAACAAGCGATGATGCCTATGATAAGGGCGACGGGGACTAGGACGCCAATTATCACGCCCGCGGAAGGAGCATTGCCTTTGCTGTTGGGTGTGAAGGCTGCGGGATTGTAGGATGGGTTGCTGTCGCTTGTGGGGGTGTACCAGTCCCAGAAGTCGGTAGTTGATGTGGGTGTTGGGGTTGGGTAGGGTGGATAAGATGATGGGGAGGGAGTTGCTTGTTGGGATTGAGCGTCGTCAAGGACGCCCCAAGGGAAGGTGTTATTGTAACGGTATCGTGCTCCTGAGTCGGATTCCCTCATGCTACGGGATACGATGAATGGCTTGGTTATGATGTTGCCTAAAACCGGCGCAGTTGAACTGACTTGAAACCATTCTGGGTCTACCTGTTGTTCAATTACACACGCCATGACACTGTCGGCACCTGGGACGGTTGAGATGGGGACTTCCAAATCTGGCTCCTTTAACGTGGAAGAGAAATATCTCAAGGGCTCCATACTGAGGATGCTTTGACCACAAAAGGGGTATCCGGTCATTGGGTCTCTCTCTGGTTCCTCCGGGTTAACGGTTGAGGGACACCTGAAGCACCACATTTCCCATCCCCTTACCCAGTTGTATTCTGTGCCGTAGACGTTCTTTGCCGGAGCTTTGGATTCGGGTACTATGACGTCGCCCATATGGATATTACTTTCATTCCAGCTGAAGTATCCGCTCAGGTAGTTTTCCTCGTTCTGAAGTATATTGGACATGTACCAATGTAAGTCTTCTACATATTCGATGGTACCATCCAAGCGTGGGTCATCCTCGGGTGGTTTGGACACAAGGGTAGACCCCGGCAATGGAGGCAGAGCCGGTCCAGGTGGTGGAAACCAAAACGAAGGCAAATCGGTAGACATGGCGAACACGCGGGAGGCGGAAAATGTGCGAGTTTGTTGGGTCTCCACATGTTGGTGAGTTGCAGGGATCGCGCTTCTTTTATGTTTCTAGGGGCCGAGTTGCGAAGTTCCCGAGGAGGCCTGTTTGGGATACCAAGACTGGTGTTGTTATTGCCTGAAGCGCCACTACGTAAGTAAAGCTTGGGCTGCATCCTTTCAGGCCGTTAGACGAGCCGCCGCGATAACAAGATTGGCGGAGCACCATGCGAGTGGGCTCATTGTCTAGTCGCGTGATCTTTGGCCTGTCTTCACCGAGGCGTGTGGTGTGCCTGAACAGCCTCGTAAGGCTACCCACGTGCCGTATAGCCGGAGAGTACTGTGGCTGGGCGGTGGCGACTTACACCAGAAGATATGGCTGTGGTTTTGACCTAAGTCTAGGCTCAAGATCCATATATTAAGCTACCGTTCATCCACTATGTATGTAGGCTGTGCCTATTCTGGGCGCACTGTGCAAGTTCATCTCGGCGTCTGCTCGGAAAACTGTTGGGTGGTGAATTCACTCGTCCATGGCGGTTGGTGTCGTTGTCATTGTCGGACTGGCTTTGTCGCGCACAGAAGGGACGTTCTGATTGCAGCGTCTGATGTCTTCAGAGACGGTTGTGAGTTTGAAAGTACTATTCAGGTTCGTTCTCACCTATGGAGCGTGCGTTCCCCATTTAGGCCATAAGTGGTTTAGCGCCTTTCCTCATACGTCACGGAGATGATTGCTGCATTCCCAAATGGAGTCGTGATAGTTTTCACATTTTCTGGAGTCGGTACATGTACGGACCGATACTCTGGAGCCGTTTTATCGATACCAAGCATCTTTGTACCAGGACCTAGGCATGCTTGTTCCCTCCACCGACCACGGAATGTAACTCGGCGACGTCATACTTCGGGCTAATGTACGGTTCTCTGCTCCACATCAAGTCCGTCCCCATCATCTCGCACAAAAGAACTCCGCGTGCAACATATGATGCCAATCGGACCACACGGCTCCTAGTCAGTACATCATGGATCAAGGATAGTCATGCCTACCCCGCGGTCCCCCGCGCTCGGCAGTACTCCAACGTGGTATCCTACCGCAATACCAACCGCGAAGAGTCAGGTGGTTACCATTTTCGGAAATGACATACAGGCTGCATACAGGGAAAAATTGAGGTACTCCGTCGGGGTAGGTAGTATGGCTATGGAGTATCGTGCAACTGCCAAGTCATGTGCAACGAAGGGAAGCTATAAAGTATGTGAAGAAGCGCGGGCGGTACATTTGCGGAGCCAGTCCAGTGGGCGCCTCACTCCTGGCTTTTTGAATTTTTTGTTGTGGTTTGGTCAAAAATGATTGATCTCTTTTCACTCAAACATGCCTCAGCGGCATTACTGTGCTTTCTCGCAACATCCACTAAAACACAGCAAAATTCACCAGCACAAGTGAGCTCGGGAGTCCAATACGTCAATCCGTTAATTGGAACAATCAATGGAGGTTAGTAGGTTGCAAGTTCCCGGGGTGGGAAAACTAATCATAATCAGGTCATGTTTTTCCTGGAGCAACACTGCCATTTGGTATGTATCTCACTATCAAGGAATATAAATGGCGACATGCTGACTCTGCTAGGAATGGCCAAGGCCGGGCCTGACGTGATAGGAGAAAACCAAGGAGGATTCTCATCAAATGACTCTGAACCCATTTATGGATTTTCCCACATGCACGACTCCGGTACCGGTGGATCGCCATCACTCGGGAACTTTCCGATATTTCCACAAGCCGGGTGCCCAAACGATGATATCAATGAATGTAAATACCCAAAGCGTCAGCGAGCTACCAATCGTACAGTGGGCAGTGTGCATGCTAAACCTGGATACTTTGACATTACTTTGGACAATAACATCAGGACTGAGACCACGGTAACGAATCGCACGGCTTTGTACCGCATAACATTCCCGGAAATACCCACGACGCCAAACACAACACTAAGCCCGCATATTCTGGTCGAGCTCACAGATCTACCAAATACGCGCAGCGAAGCCAATATGACGGTAGATGAAAAGACTGGACGCATGACTGGCCGTGGACGTTTTGAACCGTCATTCGGTGTCAGCACGTACCAGTCGTTCTTCTGTATCGATTTCGATGGCGCCGCAGTTAGACGCGCGGGTGTTTGGTCCAATACCCGAGCAACTACAAGAAAATTGGATCTATATGTCAAACCATACGATAGCCGACAAACGACAGGACAGCGGCCGTCAGGTGGCTGGGTACAATTTGAGAAGCCCACTCAGAACAACCAGATGTTGGTCAGGGTGGGCGTGAGCTTGGCCAGCGAAGATCAGGCTTGTGCGAACGCGGAGCGCGAGATACCTTCATTCGACTTTGATGGGGTAGTCGAGGCCGCTGACGCTGCCTGGCGCTCTAAACTCGATGTTATCACGATTGAGAGTGGAGGTGTGGACGAAAGCTTCCTCACATCATTCTGGAGCGGCGTGTACCGAGCAATGATCAGCCCACAAGACTACACGGGCGAGAACCCCTTCTGGAAGTCCGATGAGCCCTACTATGACTCCTACTATTGTATTTGGGACAGTTTTAGGTCAATTCATCCTCTACTCACAATACTGGATCCGCATAGTCAGACATTGATGATCAGGAGCTTACTCGACATCTACCGTAATGAAGGGTGGCTGCCAGATTGCCGAATGAGCTTGTGTAAGGGATTTACCCAGGGAGGCTCGAATGCAGATATTGTGATCACAGATGCTTACCTGAAGAACATATCTGCCGGAGTTGATTGGAACTTGGCCTACGAAGCTGTTGTTAAGGACGCAGAAGTTGAGCCCATCAACTGGGATGTCGAAGGTACATTTTGCACTTGTAATCCTCTCTCTAAATTATTGCTAACATGATGTGTTTAGGCAGAGGCGGTCTCGTATCCTGGAAGAAACTCGGTTATATCCCCACCCAAAACACCGATGTAGAAGGCATAGGCACAGAAACTCGCTCCATTTCGCGCACAGTCGAATATGCCTACAACGACTTCACCATTGCCCTACTGGCCCGTGAACTCGGCCACACAGCAGACTATCAAAAGTACCTGTCGCGCTCTGCAAACTGGAAGAACATGTTCAAAGCCGACCAACCCAGCATCTTCAATGGTACGGACACTGGCTTCGTAGGCTTCCTGCAGCCGCGCTACGAAAACGGCACATGGGGACTTCAAGACCCTATTTTCTGCTCTCCACTGTTGAATTTCACGTCGTGCTACCTCAATCCCCAAGGCGGCGAAACTTACGAAGGCCCAGTCTGGCTATACACATTCTTCGCACCCGGCGACATGGCCACACTGATCACAACACTAGGTGGGCTCGAACGCTTCACCGCACGTCTAGACTGGCTCCACGAATCTGGCATCTTGTACGTAGGCGATGAACAGGCGTTCCTTACCATCTTCCTATACCACTACGCAGGTCGCCCGGCACTCTCGGCCGAGCGTGCACACCAGTACATCCCATCGCTCTTCAACGACACCGTCGTCGGCATACCCGGTAACGACGACAGCGGCGCAATGGGCTCCTTCCAAGCCCTCGTCATGCTGGGCTTCTTCCCCAACGCAGGCCAAGACGTATATTTCATCATCCCTCCCTTCTTCGAATCCGTCTCTATTAAAAACGGCCAGACGGGTAAGACGGCCACGATTCGCAACATCAATTTCGACCCAGAGTATAAGAATATCTATATTCAGTCTGCGACGTTGAATGGTGAGCCGTATACGCGGAACTGGATTCAGCATAGCTTTTTTCTGGAGGGAGGGGTCTTGGAACTTACGCTTGGCCCAAAGGAGAGCGCGTGGGGGACGGGCGTGGAGGATGTGCCGCCAAGTTTGGGGCCGGCTGGGAATATGACGGGGGTAGGGGTGGGAGAGCAGCGGCGCTGGGAGATGCAGGATATGTGGGGTTGAGTGGGGGGATGTAGTATACTTTTTGTAGCTTGCTTGAGTGAAATGTATGCTACAAGTACACATACTGCATAACACAACATGTTTGTGAAGTTCCTGAGGATGGCAAGAGAATACTCTGTAATTGCCCATCAGTCTCTATCTCCCCATATGTCTCATACTACGGTAATTGCTAAGTCCTTCACCACATTCCATACCGCATTGTCTTGCACACAATGAATCACGTGCACAGAGTGAATCGCACACAGCAAACCTACCCAACAACATAAGCTGTACAACGACAACATCCAGCCTTAAGCTTCTCTCTACACTGTTCAATAACAACAACTTCCTTCAAGCCGCTCGTATATATTTCATACCAAAAGAATCCCTCAAAATGTTTTCTATACTTGCATACCAAAAGTCCAACAAACACATCCAACAACCAGCACCCAGCAACTCAGAACCAATAAACGAAAAAACAAAAAGACGACAGGTAAAAACTTACTTGTACTTTGAGAAAGTATGCCTCACAACCCTCCCAACCCCCCAACCGCCCACACAGAACCAAGCTCAGAATCAGGGGCAGAAACAACCTCAAGCTCAGACTTCGACTACATCCCGCCAGCCTCCGGCTACGGTTTCGCCTACGACTCTGAGGTCGAAGCGCGGCACGCCGCGGGCCGCGCTTTACGCGAGAGCCGGGCTGAGCGGGAGAGTACTACTGGAAGCTCAGTTCAGTTGAGGGAGCAAGGAAGTGAGACGTCTGGGGAAACGGGTAGTAGTGGGGTTGAGTCGAACGGGTGGAATGGTGAGGAAGACGGGGGTAACGTTGCTGATGAGTCTAGTAACTCTGACGAGTCTAGCAGCGCTGAGGACGGGAGTGATGTTGGAGGGGGAGCAGAGGAGCAGGTAAGTGTGCAGCAGCAGCAGGTAGGTGGACAGCAGCAACAGCTAATTCAGCAATGGGACGAGCGATACAACCCAGATCTAGAAGAAGTACCATTGCTTCGTCCTCCACCTGCTGATCGTAATAGCATTAGCTACATCACTCCCACGCCGGCTGGCCGCATTTTGTACACGACGTCGATTACAGCCACGCTGTCTGGTCCGAGCGGCGTATTGGCATTTACGCGAACGCAGCATGTAGCGCACGGCGAGGAGTGGATGATGCACCCGGGCCTGGTGCGTCGGACGTACGCGGACTGGGCCGAGGGTCGGAACCATGAGTTTCGAGGGCGGAATCGGGATCAGGGGTTTGAGGGGAGGGCGTATGCTGGGGAGAGTGGGGGGGAGGATGCATCTGCGGGGGCTCAGCAAGGTGGAGGGGATGGGGATGTGGAGGGGGATGAGGGAGAGGCGATGGGAGGACATGCGCATCACGTGCCGTATGTGCATCGTAGGATCTTCGGGGAGCGTCGCGGTGGGAATGCGTATGGTGGGGACTATTCCGATGACCACGATGCGGATGATGAGATGAGCTCGGAACCCGCTGTGCAGCAGGTTAATGCTCAACGAAACATTCCTAATGCGGTTTTGTACGGTGATCCGCTTGTGAGTGCGATGGTTGCGAATACCTTCATGGATCGGTATACGCAGGCTCCGTCTCCGGTCGTTGCGGATGCGCCGCCGAACACAGAGTGTCCGATCTGCCTAGAGCCGCAGTCAGAGACACATGAGTGCGTACAGATTCGCGGTGTACCGGGATGTACGCATCTTATTGGGCGGTCGTGTCTGAGGCAGTGGTTCATCAATCGGCCAGACGACAAGAAAGACTGCCCGTTCTGTCGTACGCAGTGGGTGTCGCAGCAGGGGATTTGGGATATCGAGGATGAGCTGGTTGCAGCGCTGAGAAGGCAATGGGAGGAACAGTCCTAAGGAGGGAATTGATGGATAGGTACTAGCTTCGTCGGCATCACGATGCTGTGCGGGGATTCCGGTGGGTAGAGCTGGGCTGAGTTGGGGAAATCCCTCTTGCGTCGGAGTTGATCATGCTCCGCTCGCAGGCGTATGACATCTCGTGAGAGCGGCATTTCTTCTAGTGGCCATTTGTCCGACAGCTCTCGTTGCAGCCATCAGTGCGTATGAGGACATCCACTTGTGTATTATGGGAAGGTGTGTTTACACAGCTACAAGCGTAACAGTCACGGCAGATGATTAGATTGACTGCGAGAATTTTCCCATGTTAAATCGCTCAGGGCGTTTGGTAGCATTATAGACAGAATAGAAATGGCGTGCGTGTTTTTAGATTTGAGGCTGTGCTGCGTGGTGTGTTCCCTGTTTCATCATTCTCGGTATTTACTGTTGTAGGCGTAGATCGCAAGACTTAGTCTTCTGGAAAATGCCTCGCGCGATACTGGTTGGAGCACTGCGGGGGGGGGGGGGGGGCAGACGAGATGTGTCATAGTAAAGTCCTTAGTAGAAGAAATTCACAAACAAGAATATCTTCTCAATCCCGCAGTTTGTTGATCTGCACAAGACAAGACGTCAAGCTAGGGCGGGGCTATTTGCAGAGGGCGGCAGATTAGCAGGAGCCATACCTTGCTCGTTTTCAGGTACACTTGCATGTCCATGTAATTTCAACAATTCAGAAAAGACCAATGTGCGGGCCCAAGCTACTGCATGACCAAGAGATAAAGTTGCGATAAAGCGGTGAGGGATAAATGATATAGCAGTCCACATGTCGCGAACCACAAATGTCGTATCCATGGTGCGCAAAAGGGTCAGTAAGTGACGTTGCTTTAGAGTAGACTGGACCGGATCGACAGGCTCCACATAGCCTAGGTGGTGAATGTGGATGCTGTTTGAGAAAGTGCTGCGATGCAACAGCGAAGCTCACCGGACGCATTGGGTGGGATTCCGGTGCTGAGGATGATAGGTCGAGGTGCGCGTCAGGGATGCAATCAAGGCTGGAGGGAGAGGTCTCGATGAATGGCCAGACTGCTGATAACGCGATGCATGCGGGATGCATGCCAATGTTGGTGTCGACATGCTATGACGGGTTTCAGCCGAGCCATCCGATTTCACCAATCGGCCCCGCACTGTTTGGTCTCGCTTAGCGTCCAGCCCCTCCACTCGGCCATCGATCGTCGCGGTCCTCATGACATGAGGCGTAATGCGCACGGAACGTGTTTGGAATTCGCTGGCAAACAGACATCGTGACGTTTCTTTGCCGGGCTAGACTGGGTTGTCGTACGTCAGACGGGGCTTCTGGACTGCCATAGTTTGCGGAAATGGCATCATAGCACGCGACAGCAAGGGGCTGGATCTTGCATCTTGCCCATGGTACACGGTAGAGCAGAGTAAAAGTAACAAGATAGACGCAGCACAAACAGCTTTGCGGCAAAACTCACCTTGGCTGCGGCTTCTTGCGGTTCAGCCGTCAAAGCCGGACGTTCTAGCTGCAGATTATGGTAAGTCTAGAAAAGGTCTCCCCGTTCTTCTTGCATAAGGCCCCATAGTAGTACGCGCGAGTCGTCGATGCGCACCTAGACGCCTCAAAGGGCCTTTTCCAGCAACGTGGTTGTTGACGGAGAGTTTAGCTGGTGCCTGAGCCCGCCAGCAAAGATTGCAGCTGTAGCATGAGCTGGCTTGAGCAACCACTACGATGCTCGAGGGCGGATGCGTGATCACCGAGGGCTCACTGGTGGCGTAGGTAACCCGTGTCTTACACGATGCACGGACGGTCCACTATAAACAAGGGTAGTTGGTCCATTGTTCATTTTGAGCGCAAATGGCGAATGACGAGTAGCGGATGTTGGCGTGTGTGTCATCTGGGAACTTTTCAACAGCCGTCTTGCCTGTCTTTGCGGAACGTGGCGAGTGCTCCGCAGCTGGCGTATGCAATACCACCGGCTTAGCTCGTCATGGGATGCCACTATGCGTGCCTGGATCAAACCATGTGCGTCACGAACTCCTCTTGTGCTCCTCGGCGTAGCGCACATAGCTGCTCAAAAGGCAAGGCTGGCGGGCGAGAGGTATCTGCTGCAAGCAAGGGGACATGTATGACACGGATGCATGGCGCCCAAAATAGCCTGGCCCTCATGCCCGACCACACCGCTCGAACGGACAAGTAGAAAGTGTGAAGGAAAAAAAAACCTGGGGAAGCGCTACGGCTATCCGATGGGCCAGGGGTAACATGGTAAAAAATGGCGCATGGCTGGCTGGCCTATCCGGCTTGTACCACGTTTCTGTACTAGGAAACAATCTGCTCCCCCTCGAGGGGCATTGCATTGGCCCGGGGCTGGTGGTGGTGCATGCATCGGTGCATCTCATGTGTGGAACTTGTCGTGACGGTGCCGGCTGTCTTGTTTCTGATTGTGCGGTGAGTGTGCCCGATCGTGATGGGCCCCAAGGTCATTCGATCCTCCTTCGGCCAAAGCTGACGTGCGCAGCGTATAAAGCCCCCATGCGCTGCCCTCCCTCTCTCGAAGCAGCAAAACATCAGCAAGCCTAGCACCAATCCAGAGTTTACTCTAAACTCCTTGCAAGACGGGATCGACGCCAGAGAACTATCCTCATACAAACCTCCAACTCGCCTCGACTATACTTGCCAAACCAGCCGCTACTGCATACAACAAGCACTTGGCATCCACCATCCACACAATCATCATCATCATCGTCTATCAAATTTAGCACCGCACATCATATTATTTATAATCATCATCATCATGCCTGCTCTTCCATTCAACTCGTCCGCTTCTTCATCCGCTTCATCATCACCTACCTTGTCACCTACAACGACGCCCTCAATAGTTCTCCATCCCGCATCGGGTATATTTGATCAATCGTACTAAAGCCTCAGTCTAATCTGTCCAGCAGGTATATCATTAGAGAAGAAGGAGCTGCACAAGCCCCGACAAGATCCAGCACAGGCATACCGCATGCGTTATGCGCAGTACCTGGCCGCGACCTTTGGCTTCTCAATGCAGGCCGCGCTCGCCGAGGCCGACTGCCAGCTTGCACCAAGGCGTTCGTCGAGTTCGAGCATGTCAGAGGCCGAGTCGTTACGAACGATTTGAGGGGGCGCGAGGCTGAGCATCTTTTTCTTTTTTACAAAGGGCGTTATAAGTGAATATTTGGCGTGCTGCACACGGATGGGTGCACACGATGGGCAGTATGTGGTGGGCTTGTTTTGGCGTGCTCTCTGATACTTGTGCTGCAATTAAAAGCGATTGGTTTTTTTCTCTTTGCATTTACATGACCGTGTTGTCGATGCCGTCCGAAGGAGTGCGATGGATGACAGTGGAGGTTGGAGCCCACAAGTGTGTTTAAGAATGTGCGGGGAGATGGGAGGCAGAGCGACAACGGCGACCCCCACCCGCCAGCTGTTGGACTGTTGGATCCGCACAGGGCCTCGAGCGCCGCATCCCCACGCACGTGATCCGGGGCCATGGTGTAGCCCTATCCCTCAGCGGCTCCAAGCTCCCAAGCCTTGCAACAACGTTCCGACCTTCGCAGAGCCGCAAGACGTTTTCCGGCCGATCAGAGCCCCCAGCGTCTTCACCTTCCTGTCTCGATGCTGCCAATGCTGTTTCTTGGCTCAACATCTGAGCATGACACCACTCTCCCCGCATCCATCGGCCATTTGCCCGCGACAGCCCTCTCCACGTATCCGGCCGCGCGATGAGTTCCCCAGCGGTTGCAGTTGCATTCCCCCGCGGCTGTGCACTATCACCATGAGAAGGGAGAATACGCTGCGGGTCTATTTCTGGCTGCGACGGCTTGTCACACGCTTGATTCGCCATCCCCCCGCCTTAGCCAACTGACAAGCCTGTTGGTGTGTGGCGAGCGTGTGTGGCAGTCAGCAGCTAACACTGTGTAGTGTACAAGAGTAGTGTACACCGATTATGGATATATTGCTTGCTTATCCTCGCATCGTGTAGGCGTACAAGCTGCTCGCAGCGTCGACAGACGGCGGCATGGACGGGGTGCTTGTACAACGTCATTGCAGCACTCAACCGGTTCGCATGCACATGTAGGGCTCTCAACGACAATGGACGGGGTCGGTATCTTCGCGCGAACAAGCAGCACGCTGCAGGCCAGCTTGTTTGGTGCCCGCCCACGGATGTTTCGATGCCAACAGCCTAAAAGTCTGGGCATCGTGGCATCGCCGCTGACAGCCACCCATGTGCCCAGTTGCATCCGGAAATCGGCGACGGAATTTCTTGGACTCCGCTAGCCAAGCCTCTTATCGTTTGCCATGGAGCAATCACGGCTGGTCCGCCTCGTTGCGAAGTGCCACTTGTAACATGCACAGCCAAATCAGTGGCTTCGTTTGCCTTGCCGACGCATCACCTGACTGCTCTTGTCGCTGTAATCATGCCCGCTAACGCACCACCTGCTGGGGGCGCATCCCCATGCATCGAATAATGAGGCGCCCGTCAATGAGCTCGTCCAAGACATCCCCACGCTTGGAGGGGCCCACGCTGCCCGCCTAGCGTGCTCAACCCCGCCATCGCCTGGGGAGCAAGCAGCCAGGGCAAAGCCGCCTATAACTACGCCCCCGCCATGGCTCTCCAGATTCCCCCCCTCTACCACCAACACGCTACCAGTGTTACCAAATATACTTGAATGGGTGAAACTGTGCTGCCTAACGTCGAGGAGACTTCTCCCAACGTCGATGAACCCCCTATATGTGGTTTAAAGAAACCGCATGCTGCACCAACCCAACGGCCTCACCAGCCACACCCTAGCGATGGCGATACTGCGCCCGCACTCCACGCTCCGCACACCCTCTCCTCCGAAGAGGTTGCCGAGCAACTGCGAGTGGACGTCCAGTATGCCTCTCACTTTTGTTGTTGTTGTTGTCTTCTCTGTCAAAGAGTGCTGCTAACCACGACCCTAGCCATGGACTCTCTCACACTGAAGCGGAATCTCGCCTCCAGCTCCATGGCCCTAACAAGGTTAAGGGAGCTGAAGGGCTTTCCATGTGGAAAATTCTGCTAAGGCAAATCTCAAACAGTCTTACCTTCGTTCTCATCATTGTCATGGCCATAAGCTTTGGCATTAACGACTACATCGAAGGTGGCGTCATCACTGCAGTCATCCTCCTCAACATTGTTGTCGGCTTCTGGCAGGACTACCGAGCTGAGAAGACCATCGAGTCCCTCAAGAAGCTCACTGCCCCAGAAGCCACCGTCACCCGCAACGGCACTGCCGACATCAAAGTCAAGGCAGTGGACCTTGTCCCTGGTGACATTGTGCAACTGTCCGTCGGTAGCATTGTCCCCGCCGATATCCGCCTCATCGACGGTGTCAACGCATACACCAACGAAGCATTCCTCACTGGAGAATCCGCGCCTGTTGAAAAGACTCCACTTAAAGTCTTCGACGATGATGACCTCGCCACTGGTGACCGAACCAACCTCGCCTTCTCGGGCAGTGAGGTTACCTCTGGACGCTGTCATGGTATCGTCGTCGCTACCGGCATGAACACTGAGGTTGGAAAGATTGCCACCATGCTTCGCCAGAAGAAGGATGCCGCCCCTGAGTCGTCCAGCCTCATGGTCCGCATCCTCAGGCGATTCATCAACGGTGGCAAGACAATCCTCGGTCTTGTTGGAACCCCCCTCCAGATCACGCTGAGCAAGTTTGCTCTTCTACTATTCGGCCTCGCCATCCTTCTTGCCATCATTGTCTTCTCTGCAAGCAAGTGGGATGTTAATAGTGAGGTCCTCATCTATGGTATCTGTGTTGCCGTCGCCGTCATCCCAGAATCGCTCATTGCTGTCCTTACCATCACCATCGCTGTCGGTGGCAAGGCCATGGCAAAGGCCAACGTCATCACTCGAGTCCAGTCTGCCATTGAAGCTGTCGGAGGTGTTACCAACATTTGCTCCGACAAGACTGGTACTCTTACCCAAGGTCGCATGGTCGCCAAGACAGCGCTTGTCCGTGGTTCCGGAACATTCACTGTTGATGCAATCACTGATCCCCACAACCCTACTAGCGGTAACGTCGCTCTGAACAACCAGGCCATCAACATTGATGACTTCAGGCCAGACGCCCACCTCAACCGCTTCTTGCGCACCATCGCCCTGTGCAACAACTCAAAGGTTATCCCACCGTCCGAGATACGCATCGAGCCTTCAAGCGACAAGAAGGTAGCTGCTTTCGACCATGCCACGAGTGGAGATGAACGCGACACCGACGCATCTACCATTGATACCATCTCCCGTCCACCTACTGCCATCATGCAGGGTGTGTCGGAGGGCATCTGGGCAGCGCATGGTGAGCCCACTGAAGTGGCTCTCCACATCCTTGCTTCCCGCTTCAACATGGGCAAAGAACAAGTCCTCGCCACCTCCAACATCCATCTTGCTACCGAGTTCTCCTTTGACTCCAAGGTTAAGAAGATGAGTGTCATCTACAAGGATAACCACACTGGCCATATGGACGTCTACACCAAGGGTGCGACTGAATTCATGATGCCAGCCCTTGATGTTACCGAGCAAGAAAAGGCCGACATCCTCGAAGCCGCTGAGAACATGGCTAACCAAGGTCTGCGTGTTCTCTGCATTGCCCACAAGCCTCTCCAACCTAATGCTGACATTTCTGAACGTGACGTTATCGAATCAAAGCTCAACTACCTCGGTCTCGTCGCCATCTACGACCCCCCTCGCCTTGAGACCAGGGGTGCTGTTCGCGAATGCAAGATTGCCGGTATCACTGTTCACATGCTTACTGGTGACCACCCTGGTACTGCCAAAGCCATTGCCAAGGATGTGGAAATCATCGACGAGTATACGCCCGACTCAGCCATCATGGTCGCCAAGGACTTTGATAGGATGACTGATGCGGAGGTCGATGCCATGGAGACTCTTCCTCTTGTCATTGCCAGATGTAGCCCAACGACCAAGGTCAAGATGGTTCAGGCCCTCCACCGTAGGGGTCGCTTCTGTGTCATGACTGGTGACGGTGTCAACGATTCGCCAGCCCTCAAGCAAGCCAACGTCGGCATGGCTATGGGTACTGGTTCTGACGTCGCCAAGGATGCCGCGGAGATGGTGCTCACCGACGACAACTTCGCCTCCATTGTCAAGGCTGTTGAAGAAGGTCGACGTCTATTCGACAACATCCAGAAGTTCCTTATGCATCTTCTCATCTCCAACATTGCCCAGGTCATCCTTCTCCTGATCGGTCTCGCGTTCAAGGATCGAGAAAACAACTCCGTCTTCCCGTTGTCTCCCATTGAGATTCTTTGGGTCAACCTCATCACCTCGTCCTTCCTCGCCATCGGTCTTGGTCTTGAAGAGTCTCAGGAAGACAGCATGTTCCGCCCACCCCATGACAACAAGAAGGGTGTCTTCTCCGCCGAGCTCATCACCGACAAGTTCATCTACGGTTTCTTCATGGGTGCCCTCTGTCTCTTCTCCTTCGCTATTGTCGCCTATGTCGGTCCCGGCGGTGGCGACCTCGGCCACGGTTGCAACGAAGGCTACAACGACACCTGCGACGTCGCATTCCGCGCTCGCGCAACCACTTACGCAACCATCACCTTGCTTCTGCTCGTCACCGCATGGGAAGTCAAGCATTTCTCTCGCTCCCTCTTCAACATGTACCCCAACTCCTCGCACGGCGCTCCAAAGGGTCTCTCCGTCTTCCCCACCCTCTGGCGTAACCGCTTCCTCTTCTTCGCCGTCATGGCCGGCCTTGTCGTCGTCTTCCCTATCGTCTACCTCCCCGTCATCAACAAGAAGGTCTTCAAGCACTCCTCCATCACCTGGGAGTGGGGCGTCTCGTTTGGCTGCGTCGTTATTTACATTACGGCTATTGAGTCCTGGAAAGCTGTCAAGCGCCGCCTTGGTATCTGGTCTGGTGCTCATCGCGTCATCAGTCGTGAGGATGCCGAGGCTAGGGCTGGGCTTGGTGGTGCTGCTCCCGTCATGAGGGAGAAGTAAAGAGGAAAGAGTTGGTTAGTTTTGGTACTAAATTGTTGCCTGTGTTGTTGTGCATCTTTTTCGTTAGATCGACCTTGGTCTCTCCCTCTCATAGTGCTTTAGGTACTATTGAATGAATCATGATATGTGGCTGTGATGGGCCTTGTGCTCAGCCAAATCCAATCAAATCGTGTTTGATGCTATCTTGACTGCAGTTGTTCGTGGCATGTGTGTGGTTCGTCTTGTGGATTGAGCTTGTCCCAACCTTATATGGATGAGATGTACAAGTCCCAGCAGCTATCCACGTTGGTCAACACCCGATACCTCATAGCAAGGTATGACAATAACTCAACCACAAGCATAAGTGATAATCTCTCAACTCCAGCATATACATCATGATCCTCAAGCCCTCCTGCTTCCTTTTCCTCTATAATCCCCCGCCAGATCCATCACCTTCAACTATTCAAACCCCCCCCAAGAGGATAACTTGTTCCACAAACTCAGCCATTCCTCAAATTCGATAACCTACCCCCCGCCAAACTCGGACTCCCAGCCCTCGACCGTATCTTGGGCTGGGGCGTCGCACTCGTGCCTCTCGTCCCCACACCGGGCCTCCCCATACTTTTGAGTCTCGTAATCTCCTCATCTTTGTTCTGCAGCGCCTTCATGACGATGCCCAACTCTGCTTTCAACGTCTTGATATTGCGATCTTGGGCCTCGTAGTTGCGGTCGAGATGCATAGTCTTTAGTTTGGCTGCCTGGCCCGAAGCAGCGTGAGTGAGTTTAGCGACTTGAGCTTCGAGGTCTGCGATGCGCGCGTTTGCTGTTGCGGCTGCTTTTTGCGCGTCTTGGTATGCGGTGCGCGTGTATTCGAGCATGTTGTCGGTTGTAGCCGCGTTTTTGATTGCCTTTTCTTTCTCCTGGTGGGCCGTAGCGAGGTCTTTGCGAAGTTTGGTTATTTCGACCATTTGGGCGTCTGGGGAGAGGAGGTGTGTTGCGCGCTGTTCTTTGAGTTGTTTCTCGAGCTCGCGCAACTCAGAGGTGCGGGTGGTAAGACGTTCGGTGAGCGTAGTGTTGCTACTTTGCAGGGTTTCAAGCTTCTTCTCTGCTGCTTGTTGCTTGCCTAGCAAAAGGCGATATTCGCGCGCCAGGTTCTCATGGACTGTCTGTTGCTTGTCCCATACTTCCTCATGTTCGCGGAAGCGTTTCTCTTCTGCTCTACGCGCTTCACGCTCCGTATGGTACATTTCCTCCAGTTGAGCTAGACGTTTCTGCAGGTTTGATTCATACGCTGCAGTGCTAGGCATGGAATCGCTGATACGTGTGGTCTCATTGTTCTGATCTGAACCAGAGCTTTGAAGTGGTTGAGGCTGAGGAGTGAACCGCATCCGCTTCGAAGGATCGAGCTCTTCTTTGTCCTATACACATATTAATGATGCTGGTCTGATCATTTCTGGTAACAATACTTACCAGCAAAGGCCGCTTGAGACGCTCAGGCACCGGAGAGTTTGCCAAAGGCTGTGATAGTTGCGTCTGGTACTCGATGACATCCTTGATACTGCCAATAGATGGTATCGGCCAGCTTTGCTCTGCGCCCTCTGTCGTGTCCATGAGCCATTCAGCAACCAAGGATGCACAAACAATGTCCCGTGGTGTGTCTTCGTCAATAGCCTTGCCAATGTCTGGGCGAACGTGCGCTAGACTTGCCAGGATAGTATGCATACGCTCTACTGGACCCAGACTCGGCGCGATGTAGCGCTCAATGTGCCCAACAGTCCTAGGAATGACGAGATGGATTACTGGTACAACCTCGCGTTCGGGAGACCTGGCCCAATTCTTCTTACGGATCTGTCTTGCATCTTGGAAGCCATCGAGACAGATGATGAGGTCGGCAGGGCGCATCACGGGAGCTGCATTGCTCGGGATGATGGTGACTTGCAACTCTCCCTCCACCTCTGTCGGATCCGTCCGGTGACCTCTGGTGGGCATATTGTAATTGATGTTCTTCGCCTCGCAAAAGATCTCAAGAATGTTGAAGAGTGCATCGTCGTCCTTCTCAGTGACCAACACGACGTGCTTTTGCATGTCAGAATCCCGTAAATGATGGAATAGCTTATGCAAGAACCTGAACTTTGTCGAGTTTTCCATCCCGAATTGGGCGGCATGTGTAGCTTGTGTCATTGACATTTCATCGTTCAAGAGCCCAGACCCAGCCTCGGCAAATACCAAGTCGACGTGTGTTTCTATTGCACGGAGATATGTCAGAATCTCTTCCACTTGCGAGATTGGCTCTACGCTGTGGGGGTCCTCGAGGAATTTCTCCAGAATTTCCTTCTTGAGCGCAATATGCTGAGAATACATGTCACTTTGTCGTCCTTGGATAAACAAGGGGACAATGAACTCTTGCTCTGCAAGCTGCAGATCGTCGTTCAAGAGGCTCTCACTGTCTTCATCGTCTGCATCGCTGACGTCCATGTCTTCGGAGCCAGCAGACGGCTGTACATCTGGTGCTGCGGACTCGGTGGCTGCTGCAGCTTCGGCATCAGCATCAGCGGTTTCTGAATGAGCACCCGATGTTGAGGCCATGGTCTCATCCTGCGGGGACGCTGCTTGGGGTACACTAGGAGCATATGCAACCGTCCTTAGCGAGGTGGGTACCTGCATGGCTGGCGAGCGGTCTGGCACAGCCGAGGGAGATCGTGTGCCATCCTGTTCGGCTGTCCTTAGCAATCTGCTCGCCTTAGGCGGAGTGCTTGAAACTTCAGCTGCTGAGACAGATGCCCCAGTAGATGGCCTGTTGGCTCGTTTCCTTGGGACGAAAGGATTCTCGGTCAATTGCTTAGCCAAGGCTTCTTCCAACTGTCGCTTGACAATGTCCGCAGTGCTTTCACCCGCCATGCTGGATGAAGATGATGTTGGAACAGGGGTGTAGGGCCGTGGTGGAGCTTGTGCCTCTTGAGTTCTCAAAGAGTAGCTTGGCGGATATGGAACTGGAGATGAACTGTTATCCAAGGGCTGAGATGGTCGTTCTGGTGATTCTTGGGAAGAGTCGTGGCGTGATTCCGAATTCGCCCTATCCCCGGCGTAATCCTTCTCAATCGTGATTCGGATATCGTCAGCCGTGTCCTCTTGTGTACTTAGGACAGCTTCTAAAGACACGACTTGCGCGTTCTGCTCGCGCTCCTCTAAACAATAACTTGGTCCTGGGTCTGCTTCCGATGCAGGCGACAGGCTGCGGACAGGCTTCGATGTCACCGGTTGTTTGGACAAATTGTTGTCGCAGACCTGACTGTTTAATGGCAATGCTACTAGTTCGTGTGGCGGGTTGTAAGACGGATCTGAGGTGGTCTTGTTTGGAGCACCTGGTCCAGTGAGCAGCGCTTGGCTGTTTTGGGCTTCTAGCGTCGCACTAACACCTGCAGGTTGATGCGAACTACACCCGGCAATGCGATAATCTGGCTCGGAAGCTAACTTTGGTGAATGTGCTTGTTGCGCGAAATCAGAGATTGGATATTGGGAGTAGAATGGAGACTGATCGTCGTTTGCAACTGGATGCTCGGCTAGGCTTGGCTGGCTACTAGTAGTATCGCGACCACGGAGTTGTTGGACTACGTCAGGTTGCGTAACTTCACCAGAGGGACCAGCAGCAATTGGTAGAGGATCGCTGTCTGGCTCGCGTCGGCCAGTCTGAGGCGTCTGGCTGTCACTGAGAAATGCAGTCGAGTTCCTTGGTGATACAGGAATCTCTTCTATATTGACAAATTCCAGTGGACCCTTCTCTGCAGCCTCCGTTGTTGTCTGTGTCTGAGAAACGTGTTCCTGGAGTTGCTGCCGTAAACCAGTACTTGATTTGTTCTGTTCAGTAGGAGGCGAAGCACGTGCATAGGTCTCTTGGACACTTTCAGATTCCCCCTGGTCTTGAGTTGTCACTTGTCCAGCCTGTGATAGGCTTTTCACAAGTTCAAGCGAACCCGGAGCTGCAATTCCTTGATGCTGACTCTGTGAATCTACAACGGTTGTGTCTGCTATAGTTTCTGGAATTGACCTCGTAGGTGAGATAACCTGCAACCCCGCTCCTTGGACGATTTCAAGAAGCCCCTGTGTATATCCGTTAGCAAAGTAAAACAAGTCACTTTTTGCATGTGACATTGCGAACGTACCGAATTGTCTGCAAGATCTTCTTCTTCCTCCAGCACCTTGCTAGAACCAGTACTCTGCTGGTTGGTGCCTTCTATTTGTTGTGTGATGGGTATAAAACTGGCTTCACCAGCAGAGCTCTGCGAGTCAGGGACGATGCCGGACGAATATGGTTCTGGCCTTGCAGAAATGGGCTGTGAGCTGTCCAGATCGGTTTCCTGACTGTGGATTTGTGTAGGTCCTTGTGTAGAAGGAGATTGTGATAAAGGTATTTGAGAGACGCGCTCGAATTCGTCTCGCTCTAGACTCTGTCCACTTCGACGTATACGTATGCGAGGTGAAACCCGCAAGACTAGTCCAGGGGCTGCTGCAATACCAACAGGCGAACTTGTGGCACTAGATGGATCCCCCAAGGCGGCTCTATTATAGGGAGGCGTGGAGGGCTCCGAAGTGGACGAGGAGCGGGTGGTGGACTCTGGACTACTATCAATGACCCGCGAGTTGCGAATGCGCCTTGATGCCTGTGTCTGTGCCCTTGCCTCTGCATCTGCTTCTGTTCGTTGTTCTGAGCGACCTCTGCTACCACCCAATTCCTGCGTTTTCCGCTGCGCTTTCCGCTGCAGCCAATCTGCCACCAGTTCGTCGTTCGCGTTCTCTTCGGGCTCCCAAGTAGTTGGCCACGCTCGTCCAGTGCTCGGGTCGGTGCCTTTCCATTTAATATGGTATTTCTTGACTCCTTTGACAATGCGCTCTGCAAGAATACACTCTGCCTCCCAGAGCTTGGAATCGTCGTCGTTGGAATCAACGTATTTGGGTCGTTTGCTCGGCTTCGTTCTAGTCTGAGTGCGTTTTCTCTTAGTAGATTGCGCCATTGCTATACGCAACGTCGTCGTCCGCTGGTGGTGAGTTCGGAGCAGTCTGTGGCCATGGTGAGTGGTAATATTTATTGGAAACAATGGGTGATATTCAATGAGTAGCCATGGTGGTAAAGGCGGGACTATCCGGGCGTTGGTTGGTTGGCCCTGGTCGCGAATCACGCGAACGCGTTGGCGCGTGATTGTGCGCCGGTGCGTACTTATTGTTGGCCCTCACCAGTGACATCACCTCACCGCTAAGAAAGAGTTCACTCACTTATTTCACTATATAAGATTGAATAATGCGCAAATCATAAAATGAATAAAACATTAGGATGACGAGTGATATAGGTCGACTGGGTAATATAGAAACCTTAAATTAACTAATTCTAAGATCTTTGGAAGCAATCGCTCAGAGGAGTTTGCTTCAATTCGCCGTTACACGCAGGGTCTCATTCAAAAGTACCCAAATAGAGCCGACAGGGATACAATTACAGTAAAGGCAGTCAAGTCTCAGTATCGCCCACCACGTCCAGTACCCCTCCAATTACCCCTGTTGCTATTGTAGCCTCCCCGCTGCGGGCTACCATAACCACGTCCCCCCTGATAGCCACCCTGATTTTGATTATAGGATCCATTGTTGTTGTTCCCATACTGACTACTATGTTGTGAACTATTTTGTGGTACACTCATATTTGGAGGCGGAGGAGGCCACGGGCCTGTGTAGTTTGGTGGGGGAGGGGGCGGGACGAAAGCACCAGCTCCCTGGAACTGTGGTGGAGGTGGTGGTGGAATCCCAAAGGGCGGCATTAGTATCGGAAACTGACCCGGTTGTGGCGGGAAGGGAGGCGCATTGAATGATGACTGAGGCGGTTGAGAGTACAGCTGTCCGAAGTTTTGGGGTGGCATTACTGAAGCTTGGTATGGCTGATTACTTGGACTACCATGAGCGCTTCTGTTCTGGCCCCCCGGTCCACTCCACTGTGGTTCACGCTGGCCTTCGTCTCGATCTTGTGACCTTGGTGGCTGTCGGGATTGGTCATAGCCTTTGTGTGTCGGTTTTGGGGAGGATTTGCGGTGTTCTTGCATTCTAGCGCTGGATCTTGACCGTCGAGGTGATCGACGGCTATCATAAGACGACTCCGAGCCATGGCGGCTACGGCTACGGCTCTGACTGTAATGTCGCCGTCCTCGCTTGTAATCTGAATCCGATGAAGGCGACCGGTGACTGCGTCGCGCGTCACGAGCCGTGGGCCTGGTGGGCGCAAACTGTGCACCACTCTCCATGCGCTCGATATCCTCCCGTGCGATCTTTATGTTCTCTGGAACACCGTGCTTCTGCATATCCTGACAAAACTTCATCGACCACCCGTAGCCGTTCGCTACCGTTGTCGTCTCACCAGTTTCCTTGTCCTGTTTGACCAGCTGCCCCATAGGGTCCAAAGACAGTTTGTATTTTGCAGTCTCGCCAGTTGGGTTGTCGCCAGTCGGCCTGTATTTGAGATCAATCTTCTCGAAGAAATTGTCGAGCAAGTTGCGGACGTGCGGGGAGACGGGCTTTTTGTCTAGCTTCTGGATTTTGATTTGCGAAGGGTCGATCGGGCGGTTCGGGTGCTTGATCATGGGCTCGAGCATATAAGAGGCGGGAAGATCGTACCATGGGGCCGTTCTATCGCCATGATACTCGGGCAAAAGGTAGTTACGCTTTCGGACCGGCGTACCACCATGCGCTATAGAAAGTGCCTCGTCTGCTCTGTCTCTACATAGTTTTAGGCAATCTGCGCTGACAAGCTGGTTGACAGCCCAGTAGTTGATAATAGCTTTCAGCTTCTTCTCGAGCTGCGAGTCCTTTTCAGTCATACACGCGGCGGCTTGCTCGATCAGCTCAGCGACAAAACTGCCACACACGTCGCCAAACATGCCCTGCTTCACGGCACTCCGACGATGAAACTTGTCAGTATGGAGAACATCGTTGACAATCAGTAACAGGTCCATCCGGCTCCGGACTGCCTTCTTTGCCACTACGGGGTTGTTCAGGTCTAGGACAATGGACTTTGAGACAGAAATCAGATAGTCTCCGAGAAGAGCGATGCGGGCCTTGGAGGGAGCTATGTGCTTCACAATCCATTCTGTGCATTTCTACGGTGGGCGAATTAGTCTGCTCCCGGATACATGTGGTCGATGGCTTCATAGTAGGATACCTGGACGTTCACGCGCGTGTTCTGCTGAAGAACAGCATCTATGCCGCTGAAGAGTTGCGAGCTGACTTCCACTGACACAGGTGGCAGTCGGTCTTCATTGTCTGTTTTCTTGATGGCCTGCTTGAACTTCAACTGTGCAATCGTCAGTATAGTTGTCGCGCGCTTGGCATCATCGCTGGGTGCCATGATAGGCGACATGAACAGCAATGCGACAGAGGTTCGACTGAGAGGCGAGTGTGGACGAGAAAGGGAGTCGAACGCGACAGTCAAGTTTCCACCAAGACGATTGTTGCGCGCACAAGACGCTAAGCCTAGCGCGCCTGCCGATCTTGTCCACCCCCACCAATTTGGTTGCAGCCACCACAACCATGTCCACCAACGACGCCATCCAAGACGAGGTCACCTCCCTCAACGCCATCTTCGACGAAGGCACTCTGTCGCCCATTGATGAGCATGTGAGACTGTACAGTTTGCGCCTGCCGTCTCTGCCTTCAATTACTCTGCGCATAGAGTTTCCCGCAGACTATCCAGATGCCCCTCCATCAGTGCTAGGCACTCAGTCTGTCGGCCAGGATGTACCCAAGGGTATGGGCAGCCGGGCAGTCGACGTAGTACGGGATGTTCTTGCACGAGTATACCGACCAGGAGAAGCATGCATTTACGATTTGCTAGAAGAGGCAAGAGAAGCTTTGGAGCAAGCCGAAGAGCAGGGAGATCTTCAATTGCATGACCAGCATGAAAATGCAAACGTAGAAGACGACCACGATGTCCATGGTCTCCCTGACCCAACAGTCGATCTTGGACCGGAGCCGCCGTGGATCATTGCACCTGCTCTTACCGAGAAGAAGTCGGTATTCTTAGCCCGTGTAGCACCAGTATCGTCTCCGGCCCAGGCCAGACAATATGTTGCACATCTTCTTGCGACCGACAAGAAGGCTGCTCGCGCGACTCATAATATGACTGCGTGGCGCATCAAGGGTCCCAACGATACGAGCTATCAGGACTGCGATGACGATGGCGAGACCGCTGCTGGCTCACGCATGCTGCACTTGATGCAACTCATGGATGTATGGAACGTAATGGTTGTTGTGACTCGATGGTACGGTGGAATCTTGCTCGGCCCAGATCGATTTCGTATCATCAACACTGCGGCAAGAGAGGCTCTGGTATTGGGTGGCTTCTCAAAGGATAGTAAAGAAGGAGATACGAAGAAGAAAAGCAAGAAGTAAATATCATGGACGCCCTGAAATTGAGTATATAGTTCCATGTTGTTCGAAATATCTACTTGCTCAATGCCCAAGCTCGGAGTATACATCCCGTTTACCCTCCCTTTTCCAGAGAACCATTCCTAGGCCATGACTTGGTAAGTGTAGACTTGGTTCACTATCTCTAACCATACCCCTGTAGATCAACACGAACTCGGGCATCCCGAACCATTCTGCCACGTCTCCAGGCCTTGTATTCAACAAATCAAAGCAGAACCTATCATCCAAGCTCCTCAATTTGATGAATCATCCTAGTTGCAGAAATAACTCTGAGCACCATGGACATGGTGCTTATCGTCATAACCGCGATGCGTTCGTGTACCATTCCAGCGAATAGCGCCTTGACAAGCAGTACCTGTATCATCTACATTAGCCAACCGTCTCACCTTTCAAAGCTTGGCTTTTCATAGAGTAAGACTTACCGTCGAAGACAATACACAAGTCGCAGTACCAGTTGAAAAAATCTTCCATATGCTCAAACCCCGCCGTGTCCTTACAGACCTCGCTAGTGTACGTGAGTGTACCAGAGTTATCCCCCATCCTAGTGTAGGCGCCGCACTCTTTCACAGGAGCAGCAGCAATGGTGGTGTCCATAGCGGTGACTGGAGCGGGGTGAGAACGAGCATAAGCCACCACAGCTGCGATATCAGCTTCGTAGGTGGTTGAGTTGGGGCTGGGAATGGCGAGCGAGGAGAGCTGGGGGTGGACAGGTGCGGCCATGATGTTGGCGATGAAGAAGCCGCTGGGGACGATAACAGGGGAAATGAAATGCATGGCTGTATGTGTTTCTTTGAGTTGAGTGACTTGATAATGCATCGAGTGCAAAAGAAAAAGGGTTTATGGAGGGGAGGAAACTATATGCACATAAGGGATGAGGTATGCGGCGATTTTCATTCGTTTGTAAGGGACGGATGAGTGGGTCCAGAGGAATTTCTAATAGGCATGAAAATGGTACGGAACCAGGATCACATCTATGTTTCCACGAATTTCTCCTACCAAGACCAGTCTGGCGGGCCAATCAAACAAGCGCCCACCAACTTATGATAGGAGCGTGGCCGGGATGATATGAGAGAAATGAGATGGGAGAGATAGACTGTAGACGATATGGCGAATCTATAGGTATTAGCACGCTGCGAGTCTTATTTCGACCATAGTTCGTTGTACTGTCTTGTCGTAACCGTAGTTTAGTTGTCGTATCTAATAGAGGTGTGCCTAATATATACATATCCCTCTGAAGAAGTATTCTTATAGTATTACTAAACAGATGTTTAAGGTTTGTAGTAAGGTCTCGTAGACGCCTACCTGAACTTTTTACTTTCATTACAAAGTTGTTTTTTAATACCCGACTCCGGCAGGTTAGGGTGTGGCCTACTATTCTTTTCTAAGATTATTGATATAATACGCTACATAGCAACCAGATTAAAAAAAAGTCAAGTAACTATGATAGGATATGGTAGCAATTCAACATGGATAACGGTAACTAGGTCCTTCACTATCAATTTCTGATATTGCAGCAAGGTTTCGAGTCGAACGAGTCCTCGCAAATGAGTCTCCGCGCTAGCAATTCGCGTAATCTTACTCCAAAATTTCTTTCACTACCCTTTACAACTACATCACATTTCCCCAAACCGATCAACAAGTATTAGAAAAAAGGGGGGCGTCCCCAAAATCTCTAGAATTGTCCTAACGAGTGACTATGAAAAGATAGGAAAGTAAAACATCCATGGTAGAACTAACCGGAGTGTTGGACCCGGCTTTGCTACCATCAATCATCCAGTTCCCAACTTCTCTCGCTCTTTACGCTCTCATCCTTGCCTAGCTTCCTCTCTCTGCTCAAGCACTCAGCATCTATCAAAAGACGCGAGTCGCTTACAAAGTAATCCAAGAGCGAATAGCCAAGTTCTGGCATCCAGGCTGCTGGCCAGGCTTGATATCAACAAAGTTTCCACTCGTCGTAGAAGTAAGTTGGGAGCAAGAAAGGTTGAAGAATCGAACTGTAGATCTCAGTCAGCATTTCCAATTCTGCACCTCCCATCTTGCAGACGTATAACTCACCAGTCCTGCTAAAGTTGTTGGTATCAAAATAAGTGCTAACAAACGGCCCAACAGTCAGATCCTGGCATCCGGCCAGTCCGACCGTCTCAGATTGGATGAAGACGGTGTCTTCGACCCAGGGAGAAGGACCGCAGCCTCCGTCGTTGTAGAAGCGGGCGTAGACGCGGGGAACGCCGCCCTCCTGGCGCTTATTGACGTCTTGCTGGAGGGGGGTGGCGCTCACGGCGAGGGCGGTGGCGAGGAGGGCGGTGAGGGTTGTGAATTGCATTTTGAAAGTTGGGGTTTGGATGGTTGGTTGGATAGTAGATTGTTGAGATGAGATGAAGTGACTGGATAGCTGATGTTCTGTAGATGTGGGTGAGAGATGCTTGCTTTATATGGTTTTCTTGCTCACGATCTTCTTACATACTGCTCTGTTATGTGACTGTCATGAAAGAGGACTTCCACCGACGTTTGTGACGTTTCTTGACTTCCGCTTGCTAATAGTTGGTGGCGCAGCGGTTCTCGAGGCGATGTTGGCTGGATGGAGAGCAAATGATGTCGATGAAGTTTTCTAGTGCAGGCTGAGCTGATATCAGCAGTGGAAAACTGGGGTAGTCAAGTGATTCTGGGTGTTTTCATGACATGAGAAGAATTCCCGGGGTGGGCTAATGAGCAGTCAGATTCATGGCTAGAGAGCTGTGTTGTTAGTTGTCCTTCAGATCGGAGCACACTGCGAAGGAGATGTTGTTAATTCGTTCCACGTTCACTTACACCAACAGATTCCAGTTAAAGAAGAATTATTACTGAATCGAGAAACACATCTTGCCTTAGATTCCTTCTCATCTGCCCACCATTGACACCTGCAGCATCGACCCGAATACCAGGTCCAGCCCCGGCAGCGATCGCATGCACAGAAAATCCGCCCGAACCAACGCACACATTGACGTGGAGCCAAGGGCCAACCCACGCATCGCGGCACATCGACGCGCGGTTCTCCACGTGGGATCTTACATATGTTGCACGAACAGGCAAGTCGAGGTCATGATCTAGTCTTGGCTGTCAGACGCCACTGGTTGCCTTTTTGAGCTGTCATCATCCCTATGCCTCAACTAGGGAAAAGCTGCGACGTTGATATGTAGTGAGTGTCATATCATACTTTTGTTGTTTAGTAAACTCTTGGTGCTGTGTTGGTAGTGAGCCTCGGTCCAATATCCGTAGTAGTAGTAGTAGTATAGGAGACTGTTTGACCCTATAGCACATTGTTCACATTGTAGCAAGAAAACATTTACCCATTGTGTTACGTAAGTGGGAGGCCTAAATTTTCTCACCGCATTGCATACCACAATTGTTGGGGATCTCTAAACTCATTGGGGTAGTATGTCTTTGATTTGGTGGTGCATTTAGTGTCAAGGATATTTGAGGCTGTTGCGATAGGTGCAGATTGTATCGAACGATGCATTGGGTTATTGAGACTTCTCTTGATTGTCTTCGAGTTCATTATTGGGGTGGGTTGTGTGAAGCAGATCTCTTTCATTGACCTTTGTAGGCGCTCCATACTATATTACCTGACACTTTTACATCGCACAACCCGAAGAGAAAGCAAATTTAGCTACATCCCATCACTTTCCACTTACATCTGCCTATCTATCATACCGCTTTACAAAGACCAATACGATACACCTTACTATATTGGCATTAGCTCTAGCATGCTGCCTTGGAGCCCCTACGCCATACTTCTCAACACCACTGTTAGACATATGCCTTCAAACTCGAATACTTCGCACTCCCACTTTTTACAACCTTTGAGCCTATTCCTGGCATTCGACTTTGAGACTGACGCTGCAATGGCAGGTCCCTAAGCAGGTCGCCGATACAGGATTGGGTTTAGAGGATCTATCTCTCCGATTCTCCGATTCTCCAAGCCGTATTGAGTATAGAGGATCGGGGGACGGATTTCTCAAGCCTCATCTAGTAGGCAGTTCACACAGCACTTGCGAGACTTATAGCCCACCAGCCGAACTCGAGAATTCGCAGGAAAGATCCCATGAACCCAATACTATACAGTCAGTTCAGGTGGCACTGCGCGACTCATAGGTGTAGTCCAACCCCTCCGAAACTGAGCTCGAGGGTTGCGGGGACGGATTCTTTAAACCCAATCTGGTATCGTGGATCAGAAGAACTGATTCCCTAAGCTAAATCCAGTAGAACCGCTCACAGTCCAACTGGGCTTAAGGATCGGGAGTATAAATCCTCGACACCAGATTAGTTTGAAAAATCCGTCAACACGATCCTCGAGCTCAGTTGCAACAAATGGACGATGAACCAGATATGTGTTAATAGGTAGATAGTAGTAGCAGCAAGTTTGTACGTACTTGGGAGCTACAGACGCCTTTCACAACGCTCTTGATACCTCGGTGGGGCTCCCTGTGTGTGTGTCTGTCCAACACCGCACTCTTACAAACACAGGTGAATTCAGATAGTCAGCGTGGGGGTGGGGGGTCAGCATAACTAATTGCATTCTCAAAGGTTTCAAAACACGCTACTGGCTCAAGTAGGTAGGTCAGCGGCCGCTCTATGGTTTTCTAGAAGACAAGATGACTTCGATCAGCTTAGCCCCATATGCGCCATGTTTCAGCACGACAAACGTCACAAAAAGACAGTTCGAAAGATCGTCCATTTGTGTTACAGCATTCATCACTAAACGCCACCTCTGTCCCAAAACATACAACGTGGCTTTCTTCACTCGTTCCACGACGAACCACTGTTCGTTCCAGACTAAAACACTTCCAGCCAAACATAACCAGAACCACCCCTGCCATCAGCGAGCGACGCCACCGCGTCATTTTACACTCATTCCAACCACATCAACTCAATAACGTAAAAAACCCACGTGCAACCCACCAATCATCTTGCATCAACAAAGCCCGCATGTCGTTCGGACGCACAAGCGGGCCGCATTCCCCACTCACACTTGCATCCCGCAGAACACCCCCTCCTTCCTTCCAGCAACGCACCAGAAAATGGAGAAGATATGAGGGTCATTATGCATTATACACATACATAGTTCCAAAAAAACACATAATACCATCATAATACCCGTTCCCAAACTCCACCCAATGTCTAAAAAAACTCGCTCAAAATGCAAAATCAATATCCATCAACCACACATTCCTTCCACGGGCTTACAAAATCGCGATCCGGGGCAACGGCTTATTTTTCACCTCCTCATACACGCTCATCCTCTTCTGCTTCACAGGCCCATGCGTCATCATAACTAGCATCGTCGCACCGGGGGATCTGGGCGATCGCGGAAGAATCGGTAGGTCATCGGGCATGTTGCTGAACATGGCTCTTGCAGCTTCCGAGGGGCGGCGAGAGAGCGGGACAGGTTTACGTGGGATCTTGTGATTGGGTTTGTTGGTGTTTGGGTCGAGGGTGGTGGTTGGAGGGTTGGGATCCGTAGGGGAGGTGTCGACGGGACTGGTATCTGGACTGAAGAAGCTGAGGAAGCCGGGGGAGGCGCTGCGGATGTAGGGTCTGTTTGGATTGGGGAATGTGGGTGGGGCATCTTGTGTGGTATTGGTTGGGAGGGGAGCGCTCATGCGGTGGAACTGCTTTTCAGTGGATCCAGTGTCGAGGGTAGTTGTTATGCGGATGTTGCGAGGGCGAGGAGGAGGATGGGCGGGTGTGGGCATAGATAGGCCTTGTACGAAGGCACGCGCTATTTCGCTTGAATTGCCTCTCGATAACGAGTTACTTCGACGATCTGAGTCTGTATGTTCAGATTGTGAGCGGACACTTGGAGCAGCTGAATGATAGCTCAGGCGTTGTGGGCGGGTGAGTGTCGTCGAATGGCGAGAATAGGGACTCTGGTAGGAGGAAAACCTGCGGTTGACAACTTCGGGATGAGAATGAGCCAGTAGTGCTAGTGAAGCTGGGTTGGGATGGGCAACGCGCCATGTCGCTGTCGAAAAGTGCGCAGGTAATGATTGCCGTGTAGATCCTGGGACTACGCCAGATACAAAAGATCGCGACGAGTTTGCAAGTGACTTTTGGTATCTGTGTGGTTGGTGTGCTACTCGGAAGGTGCCAGGTAGTGAGTTTCGTCTCGGAGCAACATACTCGGCAGGAATAGGCGGCGGCGTGTGATGGGACGTGAAAACGCCTCTTCGGGGAGAAAACACTGTATAAGGAGGTGACATGATCGCACGTAGCAGAGCATCCTCTGGACTGGGCAAATCTGAATCGGCGTTCGAAGGATCGGAGACTTTAATCTCATGCAACGACTTTGGCCTGTGAAAATGTTCACGAGATTGATACATGACAACCTCCGAATCAGATGGTCCGGGAGTATAAGGTTTCGAGTACACTTCGATTGGCGGCTGGTAACCATGGTTGAGCAAATGCGCTTCGAACGGACGGCCAATACCAGCAAGAATGCCCAAGAGGGCAATTGACGAAGCACTGAGGGATTGTCAGCATATGAATGGTTGTGCAAAGATGTTACTTACAGTGAGATTACCGCGAAAGCTATTCCGACGCGACTGATATGACAGGTGAGGCCGTATTCCGAGCTGTCGAGCTCTGGTGCCATTGGCAAACAGACAGGTGTGCTTGCGACCAGTATCATGTCCCAACCGGAAGTCAGCAGCCAGAGTGCGCACATTGATCCTGCTATACGAGTAGGAACAGTAGAATTCCTTTTCATGGCGACCGAGTATCGCCGTTGTTGTTCCCATAGCTTCTGCTTCAGTGCAAGAATTGAATGAAAGATGGTATATCCAATCGTCACCAGGGCCTATAGATATCAGTATATGATCGTTTGTACCGGAAGATTGGGCTCACGTACTGATATTATCGTTAAACCCACCTGGGCGTAACTTGAAGTGTTAAATGGATCCGAGATGATCTGATAGAGGGATGCGGCGATGCAAATGATAGCGCTCCAAAGCAATACATTAAGAATGACTGTGATGAAAACGAGAGAAATCTTCCGGCGCGTGCCCTTCAAGCGGGCTTCGATGGTCGTTGTGGATGACTGGTCAGCGTTGCTACCGCTGCGACCCCGTCCAGCCATCACATGAACGGGAGCGTTGGAAAGCAGGGGAGAGACAGCTAGGTTTGAGCCAATACATTGATTGTAGAGTTAAAACAGTGCGACTGTAGTAGTAGAGGATTGAACGGCACGGAAAGCTGCAAGTAATGACTAAGGTGGGTTTTCTTGAAGGGTTGCATGAATGTGTTAAAGATCTCACACCGGCTGCGTCTCAGAAGCAACGCTACGTATGCAGCATGACTAGTTCAGCCCTATACGATGTGATGCGACACCAGGAATCCCAGCCAGTTGTTTATAAAAGTGGACTAAAGAGCTGGACGACGATGAGACAGCGCGTGTTGGCAATCGTGAAACCCATGGGTGAACGGGGTGTTGCTAGTACCCATCAACGATTGGCAACTGTAACATTTCTTCGGCACTACCAAATACGACTTGTATCGAGCCTTGCTTCCGATGCAAGCTCTTCTAGATGCGATTCGTGCATGTTTGGGTGGCAAGATGCTTTGTGAAGCACATTTGCGACTTTACCACGTCGGGAAAACGATTATGCAAGAGCCGGAGGGATATCCTAGAGCATAGCATAGTCCAAATTAAGCCAAGTAGCTGAGATGACAGACTAAATCACGTTTGTGATAGCTCCTCGAAGTTGTCGTCATTACTGCCAGGCATAGATCTGCGAGGTCAAGTGCGTGAAAAGCAACTTCACTTCGTGTTAGCCAGGTGTAGAATGCATGGTTTGACTCGCTGAAAGGAGGATATGATAATGGTATCGCAGGCACAAAGCTAGCCAGCAAGCTCTCTCGAGTGCCGGAAGCTGGGCACACGCGCATGCGGGAAGACATGCATCGGGCCGGGCCGAGGTGAGAGACATATTCCTGTCGCGCTTTCAGAGGAACAGAAGGAGGACAAGTAGAAGTATAAGGACGAATATTAGTACGCCAATACAGCAGCTGGACCAAGAGTCTTGAGAGGGGTAGTCAGCATTGCGATAAACATTTGCACCACACAACATACCTTCGTTTTTCCTGATGATATGACCGACCTTCTGGAGGCCTGTCTGGAGTTTTCCGCCAACCCGGTCAGCTACATTGTCAACGTCGGCAAGCAGTTCGCCCTGCTCCTCGAGTTCGCGGCCCATGTCGTCGGCCTGCTGGCGCAAGTTGCCAACGGTGCGGAAAACACCATCGAGCGCCTCGTCCTGTTCATGCATCAACTCCATTTGTCTCTCTTGTTCAAATGCAGCATAGTTGTCCTCGTCCTCAAAACTGTCTGGATCAGGTAACACGTCGCCATTTGCAGTGCTCTTGCCCTTGTTTTTGGCATGTTGGACCGTCTGCTGGAGCTCCTCGCGCATATTCTCGATCTCGTACCCAACATCCCTGACCAGAGTTCTCCGGCGCTCGACTTCATCGATCTCAAGCCCAAAGCGATAGGGGTCGTGTTCGACCACCTTGACGCTCTCCACCATGTCCTCAAGATCCTGGCTGAGGTCCTGTAGCGTCTGCTCGAGTTCGCTGCGGGCTTCGCGGAGCTCAGGGCTATTGGCCGAGGATGCCGATGACCGGATACGCAGATATGATTTGAATAATGGCCGCGCATTGTCGAGTGCGGTGAGCACATCGCTACCACGGGTTAACAATGCTGCCTATATGGGGGTCGTAGGGTGCCGTCTCACGCTTGAACCTGGAGGAATGGATCCTCGCCATTTAGCGACGCCATTGTATATATACACGCGACGGCCGCTTGTTATCAATTCTAATAGTGGAGGTGGGTGGATGAAATGGTCAAGTTCCAAAGAACAATGTTGAAGCGCAGCGCAGCGACAGCCTGACCGGATGACGCGTTGGAACGAACGCCTCGGCACGGACCCACCTTCCTGAAAAAAATACCCCCCACTGTCTGCTCAGAACACCACCACCACGATGTTTTCTTGATGGCCCGACTATCATCAAAAGCTTGGATACGGAAAGAGTCGACTTGTCGACGAAGAGGACTTGGCTGAGACAATGGGACCGGATACGCCTCTACCTCTTCCAGCCGAATTCACAAACACCGACGAATACGTCGAGTCACTGCTCGAATTTGCAACTTCCTCATGGCTGCTCCAGACATTATGCGGCGGTGTCCACATTTTGGACTTTTATACAAGGTCACCTGACCTTTACTCGCACATCTTGCCCCAAACATGGAGGGATTGGTTCAAGACACGCGACATCATGGATATTTTGGATTTGCTCATGAGAGAGGACCTTGGCCAGTTTGATGTGAAGCAACCAGGTGTCTCTGAAAATTGGCGAGATGGGTCACCACCGCCACGGGAGCTGCTAGATTACATTAAGACGGTTCGGAAGCACTTGCTGGCACGCGACTTTCCTCCGCCCAACTCAAACATCACAGCTGGGAAGCCTGCGATACCACGCCATATTGCCATGGGCATGAAAGTCAAGAAGGTGCACGAGGTCGATAACTTTGCACGCTACATTGAGAGACTGACTGCTGAGATTGAGGCCTCTAAGAAGAAGCCCATCACGCACCTCGTGGATTTTGGTTCTGGTCAGAATTACCTTGGACGTGCTCTTGCTGCAGCGCCCTATTCCAAACACATTGTCGCAGTGGAGAGTAAGCAACACAACATTGAGGGTGCCAAGAACATGGACATGTTGGCAAAGCTGGTGCCCAAACCTATCGTTATGAGGAACAAGAAGGAGTACAGGGCCAAAATAGGCAAAGTCAAGAAAGGCAAGGAGAATGGGGTCAATACCTCTACTGCGTCGTCCAGCGCAGATGCTCTGGCACAGGGAGAAGATGCACAAGCAGACTCACAAACAAATGAAATCACATCAAGCCCGCCTACCGAACATGAACCAGTCAGTTCAACCTTGACTAGCGGGCCACAATGTGACGACGGATGTGTGCTTCCACAAGCAACCGAGATATTTGCAAACAACCCCCCGAGTGAGGCGACCAAAACTTCTACGCTGCAGATATACAACGAGGGTCACGGTAGTGTCCAATATGTCGAGCACATCATCAAAGACGGCGACCTCACGCCAGTCATCGACCAGGTTCTGGATACCACTCGTGTACCCGAGGAAGCTGTTACACAAGACAGTGCTGTGGTTGCTGAAGCTACAAACTTGGATGCGGTGCCTAAACCTACTGATGTGAACGCCATGGTAATTTCACTTCATTCATGCGGCAACCTAGTACATTATGGGCTGCGTTCCATGATGCTCAACGCTCACATCTCAGCCGTAGCCATGGTGGGCTGTTGCTACAACTTGCTTACTGAACGTCTTGGTCCGCCAACGTACAAGCTGCCTACACTGCGTGCAAACCATCCGCGCCTGGAGTCCACATCCAGTGCTTTCGACCCCAACGGCTTTCCAATGTCAGAAAAGCTCGCAAATTACCCACTTCCATATGCCCCTCTTGATTCGCGCAGTGGCGAGACAGCTGAACAACCTAAAGGGGTTCGACTCAACATCACTGCCCGCATGATGGCCGTACAAGCACCGTTCAACTGGGGTCCTGTCGACTCAGACCTGTTTTTCACGCGTCACTTCTTTCGAGCACTGCTTCAGCGCATCTTTCTTGATCGTGGCGTAGTCTCGGCGCCCTTACACGATCAAGGTCTCACTGGCAGTGCTGTGTCAGCAAACGGTCACACGTCGCAAGTAAACTGGACACCACCCAATGGCCGTGGCCCTGGTCTCTCTTCAGACGGCACTACTACGCCTCTCACAATTGGAACACTGCGCAAGTTCGCCTACAGCGATTTCGTCTCATACGTTCGCGCCGCAATAGCAAAACTTACGGCTGATAACTCCTTTTGTGAGATCGATCCCAATTTCATCAAGGAAAAGATGGACGGTTTGACAGATGACGATATTCGGGACTATGAGGTCAGGTATGCGGAGAGGAAGAAGGAGCTGAGTGTCATGTGGAGTCTTATGGCCTTCAGCGCAGGTGTGGTCGAAGCCGTCGTGGTAACGGATCGGTATCTATGGCTAAAAGAGCAGGAAGAGGTTGAGCACGCATGGGTCGAGCCCGTCTTTGAATATAAGCATAGTCCACGCAACTTGGTGGTGGTAGGCCTCAAGAAATAAATCATCGACTGTTTAACTTGGCGATGGTAGAGACATCAGCTGCCATCGTATAGTCGAAGCATACATCGGCTAGTATTCTCGCCCTTCAATCAGCATCCAGAGAATCCAACGCTGCAATTCTAGAATGTCAGTTGTTAGTAAAGAACCGTTGGAAACGTCAATGAGTACGTCATTCCAAGGCCACCAAGCAAACCGGACCAAACGGCACATGAACCCCACAATGGATGCAGCATGCAACCACTATAACCACTACAACCACCAGCAACTACTAGCAACGCATACGATTGCGGCTGTGCGGTGCAAAGTAATTGAGGCATCCAGCCAACCTTACAGACTACAGCTTCTATGTGCTGGTCGGCTCGTGACTGTTTCTTGGCACTATGAGGCACTTAGCCGAGGTGTATCGCTCGTGAAGCCCTACACGACGTGAATACAGCAACTTTGTACCTCAATGCGCAGTGAGTCACACAACAGAAATGATTATGATGGGTGTCAAAATAGCCCCTCGAAACTAGCAGTACCGGTAAGGTGTAAGTTTCTGCGACAAATAGCACAATAGCGCCGTCTTGTCCAGCCGCAACAATTCAGCCGCACCTAGGAAATGCACTGCTTCGCTTGCCCACCCCCAACGTGGATCCAATCCCTGCTTCTCCATGCCAGCCCCGTCCAGCCACCTCCTACCAATATGGCATGATGTTATCTCTGGAGGTGACTGTGCCTCTACAAGCCACAGGCACCAGTCCTATAGCGGCGTGGATGCAATCAAGATGGGTCATGCACAGTGCCGCCTAGCAGCCAAGGCTTTAAGCATGGCAGACGTACATGAGTGTGGAGGCCTCTAGACTGGGGCGGCGCACCCAATTATGAACTAACTAGGCTGTGCAGGATGCGTCGTTAAAGATGCATATACCTCCCCCCAAACTGCATAGTGTGTTCCTCACTTTGCCTGCCTCTTCCTTTCTCCTGTGTGAGAGTTTGGCCTGGAATCACGCGTTGTTGAAGATCCTAGAGGCCCAAGTGGATTCTAGGATCAAATACCAACACCGGCAAAATATAATACGAGAAAGCAGGGGGGACGACAAACAATCTCCAATCCATCTGAAAATATCGAGCATTAGTGTCTTTGAGCTACGAAGCTCACCTTGCTGGAACCACACAGGAGACTTTACCCAAGAACCGATAACAGCGCATCACGCCCGACATTCGTCCGGCGACTATGAAGCCTTTCACGGCGTTAAGCTTGCTCGCAGCAGTCGTATCGGCACAGACAAGCAGCTTTGACTTTGACAATACAGAATCGTTGATTCTCGAACCAACAGAAGTGCCGACGCCTACATCAATCGGAAATATTGAGGTAGAGCCTACCCCAATCGAACCTATCACAGGACCAATTGAGACTAGCGAGGCTTGTGGACAAATAGCAGATGCTATTTCGGATAGCAGTTCAGAGTTGCCGGTAGTAGAGGCTGAGCTTGCGTTAGCATGTCTCAAATCACTACCTTTTTATGCGACAGACGCCTCTGCCACGGTTGATGAGATCAAAAAGATGGTGGAATTCCAGTCCACACTAGCCTATCTCAAGGATCCACCCCAAGGATACCCAAATCCGGCTGTTGATATCGTATCTGGATTGGACGGGATCAAGAGTAATGTTGAGTCGGGAGTGTATGCCAACGAGTACGATTTTGAAGCCGACATTGCAAGCTTGATGGTCAAAGCATACGATGGTCACCTGGCCTGGTATGGCATGGCATACGCAGGAGTCTTTGTATGGCGAAGAAGTAATAAGATTGCGCTGATCTCTGCGTCTAGAGATGGCAGCGAAATACCCCAGATTTGGGCACTAACAGACTTCAACAACACCGACGGTGCTTACGAGCCTTCTCCTATTACGGAGATCAACGGAGAAGACGCTTCTAAGTTTTTGATTGAAGAGGCAAAGCGAGTAGCATACCATGACCCGGATACGCGCTATAATTCCATGCTGTTCATGCCAGCAGCAGAGAGCTACGGAGGCTTTATAAACCCGCGTTTCTTCCCTGGTGCTACTACCAATATTACCTACCAGAACGGGACGACCGACGAGTACCGGAATATTGCTATCGTCGCTGATGCTGAGGCCTGGAGCAGGGTCCGAGATGCGAACTCGTTTTACAATACTTTCTGCATCCCTACGACCAGCTCTGGCGGCGGAGTGAAGAAGAGGGACATGAATGATCCGCCGCTCCAGCTCAAGAACCCTCGCGAACGCGACTTCAAGTCTGCCTCCATGCTGCAGCACAGCTCGGTGCCTCTATTTTATCCCGAACCCTTCGTTGCCCACACAGAAGAAAATGTACCTCTTGCCGGCTACTTCATCAATACCAACGTAGGCCAAATCGGTGTCTTGATAATCCAAACATTCAATACCGCCGACGTCAGCGGTGCACGAGAGTTCCAACGCGTGATCCAACAATACATCTCCCAGTCCAAAGCCCGCGGCGTAGAAAAGCACATCATCGACATCCGCGGCAACCCCGGCGGCAAAGTCCTTTCAGGCTACGATGCATACCTTCAATTCTTCCCCTCGCAAGTCCCCCAGACGCAATCCCGCTACCGCGGCCACGCCGCCAGCGAACTATTCGGCGAAAGCATCTCCTCCTTTGAAGAAATCACCCTGCGCAACGGCCAGCTCTTCACCAGCCCCTTCAGCAACGACGCCTACCTCTCCGAGTCCCTCGAGGAATTCCCAGATTGGCGCTCTATGTACCCGCCCCTCCGCTTCAAAGGCGACAACTTCACTTCGCTCCTCAAATACAATCTCTCGGACCCCCTGACAACGAGCAGTACGCGTCTCGCCGTCGGGATTACGATGACTGGGTATAACGACCGTAGCAACTTCACCGAAGACCCTTTTCGCGCGGAAGATCTGGTTATCCTATCCGACGGTGTCTGTGCATCTACCTGCGCAGTCTTCCTCGAACTAATGGTGCAGCAATCCGGCGTCCGCAGCATCGCTGTCGGCGGACGCCCACTAGCTGGCCCCATGGTTCCCGTCGGCGGCACAAAAGGCACCCTAGTCCTTCCCTCCGTCTACATGGAAGCCATATCCGTCTTCGTAGCCCTTCAATTCGCCGACTCGCGCTCCGAACTCGCAGAGTGGTCTTCCTTCTTACCGATGCAGCCGCCCATTGCGGTGCTGGATGCCGGTGTCAATTTCCAGGATAATATTCGCGCGGGCTTGGAAGATGGCGGTATGCCGACGCAGTTTTTGAATGATAGTGCGAGTTGTCGGGTTTGGTATGAGGCGAGGGATTATTTGAATGTCACGGCGTTGTGGGAGAAGACGGCGCAAGTGGCGTTTGGAGGGGAAGATGGTAAGTTGGATGAGGGGAGGTGTGTTTTGGGGAGTGTGACGAGTAGGGAGCAGCAGACGGGGAGGGGAGAGGGTAATCCATCAGCGGCGGAGGGGAATGGGGGTAGGGGTAAGGCAGGGGATGATAAGGATGCGGCGAGTGGGGTGAGGGTTGCGTGGATGACGATGGTTGTTTGTACGAGTGCTGTGGTGTTGAGTTTGTTGTTGGTATGAGGTGTGGTTTATGGTTTATGATTATGATTCTTGAATAAATACAATTTTGATATACATGTCTAAAACGAAGTCTAAAAGATGAACACCATCACGTTCACCCCTCGAACGCCCCCAACCCAATCCTTCCCTCTCCCCAATCAAATACTACTTCCCTCCCTCTCGCAATCGCCCATCCCAGCCCGACCCTCTCCTCGTCACCCTCCTCCGCCTTTTTAACAAGGAGCACGCACTCATCCCCCCTCTGCAGGACATACTGCTTCGGCCCAACCACAATCTCGCTCTCGTCTTCCATCACAAGCACTAAATCCGGAAACCTCCTCCTAGCCTCACACTCCACACTCATGACCTCCTGCCCTTTCTCCTGTCCCCAACTCGGCTTCAGCACTGGCTGCGTCGCCAGAACAACCACATCCCAGAGCCCAGCAGGTAACGTGATGAATGCTGTGCTGAAATCCAAGACTGCGGTTTCAACGCTCATACTTATCATGCCGCCTTTGCGCACACCGGCATCGAGGAGGGGGATGTCGTGCATGTCTACGTCCCAGGGGTTCTGAGGTATCCATGTCATATGTGTGGCGGTTGTGTCTTGGATGGCAGATGATGTGGGGGAAGAGAAGGATATGGTGCCTGTGTGTGCGGCGTCGAGGGGGATGACGATGCTGATGCGGGAGTGCTCGTAGTGTGTGGCGTGTACTGCGGCGCTATTTTGGAGGCGGGATAGCGGAGTGGGGTTGTTGGTGGGGGAGGAGAAGGTGTAGTGGAGATGCTTGTTTAGCTAGTTTTCGGTGTTAGATGTGAGATAGAGATGAGGATGCGTTTCTTGGGCGGGGGTAAGAGACGTACTGTGAGGGGTAGAACGGTGACATCGGATAGAGTATCTGAGGGTAGGCCATGCATCAGTGGCTTTTGTTGGAGAAGGGAAGGGTCGAGGTAGGTGGCTTGACAGAGTAGCACGGGTAGGCTTGCGAGATAGAGTGGGTTAAACATGGTTGAATCGGATAAAGGTTGTGATAGTTGAAGGTTAGAAATTGCCGTGAAGCTTGAATAGATGCAGTACGTGGGTTCCTCTCCTTGCTCTTTATCTCACTACTATCCTTGCTGCTCCTTCGTTCCTTCCTCTTTGTTCAACTGCATTTATCTCGCTTGCAACTACGCCGCACTCGGATCATACCATAATGTGGACACCACCAAAAGTATGCCTTGTTGACCTGGTTTGCTATGTATTTCGGGTAGCGCCGCAGCTATTGGTTGTGGTGGAGATGCGATCGACCTTGGGTGGTGGCGCCTGCAGTGTGCCTGTGGTTCGTCGGCTGCGATTATGCGACCAGGGTCTGCGTGTGCGGCGCGGTTGTTGTAGTGGAGGCGGGCATATATTTGAAACTATAGCCGGGCGGCTAGAGCAGTGAGTCAATTGTGATTCATGCTTTTGGCGCGATTGATACTAATATTACATCGTAGAAAACGGGATGTAGCCGCGGAGAGCATCGTTGAGTATGTGTAGCCATGCTCCTGCTTAGCAAGTCCCAATCAGGTTAGCCACAGCAGACTTGGCAGGACTTCCAACAGCCTGTACCAGGCATTTTCCTGAGCTGATATAGTATAGATAAAGCTGAGGGGAACAACTGAAGCGCAGCCATCGTTCCTCTAATCAAACACTCCCCACCAAATCTCCTTACCTTGTATTCATCTCAGTATAGCAGAGACAGCTCAGCTGGTCAGCGAAGCGGCCAAAGGCATTCGTTTGATCGATCGTGCACCGAAAAGCCTCGATACCTGGAAATTCTGGTGCCATTCTCATGACATCTCTAATATTACCAACATGGCCCATTGATGAAGACATATACAAAGGGTTCTGGATCAATCATTCATTTGGTGCAGTCCGTGGCCTGACTCTCACACTCGATCTTCAAGCTGGCGGTCTGATCATAGCCTTTCTCGCTTTATTTATTGCTTCCACAGCGCGCAGCTTCTGGAAGATTACGCGATTTCTGGTCTTTGCTAATAAGTCAACTCTCGGTAAGCAGGATGGTGTCTATCACCAGCGACAGGCCATCTTGCGCAATCAATCTTTGGCACTCGATGCCGTGCTAGACCTGTGTCGACTCAGCTATGCCTGGAAAGATCGTGCCAAAGAGAGGCAACAGCGTATACTACCGGTCACCCTGATAGCTTCTGCTATCTCTGTTGTTTCTGTTGCTGCTGGTGCGTGCATGGAATCTGCTTTTGTGGTTTGTTGATGACTGATCCTCTCAGGTCTTTTGTCCTCGCGAATTTTGACAAACTCGAATCAGGAAGTTTTGATTGCTGGTCGAAACTGTGGGATATACAGCAGTCCGACTTCCCAAGTGTCTCTCTTTGAACCCGTCATGCTTTATCTGAGTCAGAAATCTGTCGACGCCTTTGGATATGCGATACAATGCTACCACGGGGGCAACATTGTCAAGAACGAGCTATGCGAAACGTTTGTAATACCAACATTGCCCTTTACGTCAGACAGAAACGCCTCTTGTCCATTTTCCGGGGGAATCTGCAAGTCAGATGTTGGTAACATCCTCCTCGACTCAGGCGTGCTACACTCTCAAATACACCTGGGCCTCAATCAGAACCCACAGTTTACTCTTCGCCATCGAACGCACTGTGCGCCTTTGAAAACAGCTGGCTTCACTGACACTGTGGTGGACCCAAATAATTCCCAGACTCGACAGGTCTATCGATATGGGAATATATATAGATCGGAGGGCAACAAAAGTCATATCTTCGCAGTTGACGTTAAGCACGGAAAGCCGTCAGCCGGAGACTCTACTATTGGCAACTACAAAGTCACGTATGTTCTATGAGACTTATCGCACCCTACTTCTATGGATTTTAACTCCTGAGCAGACCTGTGGTAGCGTACAATTATGATAAAAATATTCAGCTCATACCCGAGCTACGGAAACCCAATTCGACAGTGTCCTTATTATTTCTGGATGCCTCGGGACTCTTCTACGTCAACAAGACAGAGGACCCTTGGTTCTCGGCTACAAGCCTCTTTGATAACAGCTCTTTGGCTTCCAGTGCGAACGGTACAGGTCCATTTGTTGCTGACGAACCTGTTGGTGTACTGGGCTGCGCAACTCAGAGGTTGTATTGTAACCCGAACCTTCCTGAAAATGTCGGATGCATTGATGGTTTCGCTGTTGGTGATCATCAATCTTCATTGGACTTGTTCAAAAGCGCCTGGCCAGACGCGAATGATCAGTCTGTGATGCACGCATTTGTGGCTTCACTAGGCATTAAAGGCTTGTTAGATGACTATTATGCCATTCCAAGCTCACCAACCCTTCTATCGCGCAGTACCCTGATGTACAATGTGCAGGTAGCAGCTATACCGAAGGACCGATGGCAAGACGAGCGTGAACATCTTTACAAAGCGAGTCTTGCTGCTATACAATCTACGATGGTCGATCATGCTAGAGGGTTTGATTATAGCTTGGGCAAATATTGTGGGGGTGAAAGGGAGTGCCGTAGGACATGTCATAGCCAGGTTCGTGTATGGCCCTGTTTAGCTTGCCTGCACTGACATTTGCGACAACAGAAAATGCGCTCGTCCAAGCACTATTCTTTCAGTGCCTGGACCTTAGGTGTGATAATTATCGTAGGAAGCATATTGATGCTCACATCGATATTTGTGGAGGAACTTTTCGTCCTTTTTTTACAATATCCGCGCCTACGCAGTGCAAAGCTAATATACAGCTACTGCGAATGGCAAGCCGGATCCACCCTACAGTTGCAACGCCTAGCACATGAGAACCTCGGCCTTGGAACCTGGACGGGCACGGATGAGGCAATACCAGTTACTGAGCCAGGAGACACTCTGGGCGTACTGGAAGTCACCGATCCAAAGCACGTGCACATGGTCATACCGACCGAGGAACTCAACAGAGTTGACTCTGCAGCAGAATCTGCAAAATTTAATTTACTCGATCATAGAGTCGTCGATTGAATTAATTGTAGCAGCGCCACTCAAGCGCGAATCGCAAACAGATTTATGAGCTAGAACAGTATTAGCGGCAGCGGCTATTCGAGTGCGCAATCTTCTCAAGTAGCTAGACTGGGAGGGTGGCTTGGAGTGCATAAGCTGTAGTCCTGATCTCGGCCCGTTGAAGATCGGACAAGCCACTGCTGATGGCACGACGCTCAAGCGGGAAGGAACCCACATGACAACCAGCGGAGGAGTGTTGAGAGTATTGAAAGGCTTGATCGTTGTGTGTTCAACCAGATGTAAGCTGCTGGGCTCTCTCCGGAGTCTGAGGGTAAAAGAAGAGAAAAGTGGGAAGAGTGTTGCAAAAGAAAGCAAGAGACGTCATAGCAGAGGGGTGCTCATGCTCAGGGATGAGGTTTCGTATCTAATAAAAGACAAGGCCGAAACCAATGACATCTGTCATTTGTTGTAGCAGATGACAACCGGCCAGTCTCAGCAGGACGCTGGGCAAGGCTTGACATGGCTGAAGGGTCAGAGAAGTATGGGGTTGCTGGTTACAAAAACGCATACCTGGTAGCGCGTGGATATGGTAGTATGTCACGTGGGGTCGGCAGTGCAGGTGTAAGGGTAGGAAATGATTGCGTGGCGGAGAGGGCAGGTGGGCGGAACATCTCTAACGCCGTGGTACGGGAGCCAACCAGTCCCAACCCAAGCCCCAGACGCGCAACAACCGTCAATCCAGCCATTCCTCCACCACCAACCTCGCGGATCTCCATGCATATGTATGTATGTGCATACAAGGAAACGTACGTATCCATTCCGTCACTCAATGGGCTGAGCTGTTGACGCACGCTGCATGCACATGCGCAGCGTTACTTTTTGTCGCCTAGACTGATGTTCAGATCTCCCCCGGGCCGCAAGCAGCAGCACCAACAACAACAACGACAACGGAGCGGCAGTGCCATGGGCAGTGCGATACGAAAGAGCAGGCAAGCCATGCCACGGTAGTTGTGCCATCGCCAATCCTTCATAACATTTGGTCAAGCATTCCTTTTCCGCCCAATTTCCCGATGCGCTGCAGTGGCCGGCGATGGCCATTGTCCCCAAGCCGCGTGCGGCTCCAAGTGAAGGGGGGCCACCGCAGCCAACACGATGGATTTGCAGACGGGCAAATCTTGAATTTACTCAACGAGGCTGTGTTGTCGAGCGGAACGGCAGCGGACGCGCAATTCACTTGTTATTAGAGTCTCGTCATGGACCTGGCCCTGCCACTTAGCAGCGCCGTTGCCCCTGACCAAGGCTGGGCGGCCTTTTGCTAATCCAAGGCTATGGACTTGGCTGCTTGGTATCCGCCATTCCTGCCGGCGCGCCAACACTCGACGACTTGGCGCGCATCAGCGCCAGACAAACTACGGGGGTTGGCGAGTTCCACATGTAGCACTCGGGGGTTACCAAGAAATTGGGGGTGCTCCTGCTTCAAATACTTTTGCCATCCCGGCTCCTCCTTCTCCGTTCAATGTTCTTTGTGTGAGGATTCCTTTTCCTACTTACCAGTCACTCGTTAAGACTTCCAACTGCTTTGTTCTCTACTCTTCGTTTTAATCCATCTTCGCTTCAATCCGCCACTATGAAGTCCTGCCTTATCATCTCCCTCTTGGGAGCCGCCGTCGCTCCCGCACTCGCCGCAAAGGGCAACCTGACCCCAATCACCGTCAAGGGCAATGCCTTCTTCGCCGGTGACAAGCGCTTCTACGTCCGTGGTGTCGCCTACCAGCCCGGTATGTTGTTGCGCTAGACCGTGGTGTTTACAGTGATGCTAACATATACACAGGTGGCGCCGCTGACGCACAGGACCCTCTGCTCGACCTTAAGTCGCTCAAGCGCGATGTCGACAACTTCAAGAAGCTCGGCATCAACACTGTCCGTATCTACACAATCGACAACTCCAAGAACCACGACGAGGGTATGAAGATGCTTGACGATGCCGGCATCTACCTGGCTCTTGACGCCAACACCCCCAAGTACTCGCTCAACCGTGAGAACGCCGACACCCTCCACACCTCGTACAACGATGTGTACCTCCAGTCTGTCTTTGCTACTGTTGATGCTTTCGCCGAGTACAACAACCTGATGCTCTTCTTCTCCGGAAACGAGGTCATCAACGCAAAGAACAACTCCAACGCTGCTCCTTACATCAAGGCCGTCACCCGTGACATGAAGCAGTACATCTCCAACCGCCACGAGCGTATCATTCCCGTTGGATACTCTGCCGCCGATGTTTCTGAGAACATTGAGCAGCAGGCCACTTACTTCAACTGCGGTACCGACGACGAGCGCTCCGACTTCTTCGCTTTCAACGACTACTCTTGGTGCGACCCTTCGTCCTTCACCCAGTCCGGCTGGGACAAGAAGGTCAAGACCTACGGCAACTACAGCAAGCCCATCTTCCTGTCCGAGTTTGGTTGCATCACCAACACCCGCCAGTGGGGTGAGATTGCTGCTCTGTACTCCAAGAACATGACTGGTGTCTACTCTGGTGGTCTCGCCTACGAGTACACTGTCGAGCCCAATGGCTACGGTCTCGTCGAGGTTGGCTCTGACGGCAACATCAAGCCCAACGCGGATTTCGACCGTCTTGCCAAGGCTCTCAAGGCCACCCCCAACCCCACTGACGACGGCGGCTTCAAGGAGAACGGCAGTGCTTCCCAGTGCCCTGCCGAGTCTGACGACTGGCAAGTCAAGGGCACCAACCTCCCATCGATCCCCAAGAAGGCTGCTGCGTTTATGGACAAGGGTGCTGGTTCAGGTCCCGGTCTTTCTGGCGATGGCTCGCACTTTGCTGGTGAGCCCAGCGAGTCTGAGGCCCAACCTGGATCTGGCGAGCCCACGCGCGCTCCTTCAGCTGGTGCCACTGGCTCTGCCGGTAGCCAGGGTGCCGCTGCTGGCCTCGAGGTGCCCCTCCGCATCATCGGTATGGTTGCTGCGAGCACTATCTTTGGCGCTGTGCTTCTGTTTTAGATGGAATGACGAGTCGGGGTGTATGCAGCATGGAGTGGGTGAGGGTGCGACGACGCGCCCGTATAGATTCGTACAAGTGTAGCGGTTTTCCTATTTGTATCTGGAGTTTCTTTGACGGCCCTTAGCTCGGCATTGCATATACCTGTCAGACATTGCAGGCGCCTGGCCTTTTTTTTTGTTGTGTAGTAATACATCACACGACCTGATTTGACTTTGAATATGCATTGTGAATAGTATACTTTCCGTGTATTTGTTTGTGCTGATGTCATATGCAATACAGTACCTACTCCACTTAGGCGCGCGTAGTCATGTGCATGCAGCTGGGTTGATACGAGTAAGTTGTTTTCTAAATCTGGTACTGATGATGTATTGGTGCCCTCCCACCAAACCCCGCCTTTAGTGGCAGGGCTGGGTGGTTATCACTAGCGCGGCATTGGGACATTGGGACCCTTGTTCGGGGAAGGCAGCCATGGAAGCTTCTACGCTCGTCATGGCGCTTGCTACACCACCTAGCCACCAATATTGGCGCATCTCTGTCACCACACTGAGAAAATACGTTTGACGGGGTTTGCGCACCATTTCGACTGCTCTTCTTCTTCTCTACTACTTGCAATTCCGCCCCAATGGACGACGCCCGCAAAGGTGACGCTGCTCTCAGCGCAAGCAAACCCGACGAAGCCATTGAGCATTACACCAAGGCCCTTGGTGTCAATCCGACCGCCGTGAAATATTACATCGGCCGCTCGACAGCCTACCAACGTACCTCCAAGTTCTCCGAAGCCCTTCACGATGCCGACGTCGCAGTTGTCCTTGCCAAAAAGCGCGGCTCACGCGAGCTTATCAAGGACGCCCAGTTTCGACGCGCCGTCGCACTCTACCACCTTGGCAAATATGCGGATGCTGACTTTCTCTTGCGCATAGTAAAAGGCCTTGACGAAAAGGACAAGATGTTGCCAATTTGGGAGGCCAAGGTCGCATCCAAGTTGAAAGATGTGCCAGAGGATGACGAGCAGAGGACAGTCACTATAAAGGAGGACCCAGACGTGGAAATACCTAGTGCAACCACAACCCCCGCCCCAGCTAAAACCGCAGAGTCGACAACAACCCAGGCACCGAAGCCTCCTGCGCCGACACCCAAAGAGAAGATCAAGACCGACTGGTACCAGGCTCATGATAGCGTCACTCTGAACATCATGGCCAAGGGTGTGCCCAAGGACAAGGTTGTTGTAGAGATTGAACAAGATTCTGTCTCCGTCTCTTTCCCCATCTCCGACTCGTCGTCCGAATACAGCTACAACGCCGACCCTCTCTTTTCCTCCATCGATCCCTCGCAATCCAAATACCGAATAACACCCACCAAGATCGAGGTGACGCTGCGAAAGGCAACGCCAGGCGTGAAATGGCATAGCCTTGAGCGTGCCCAGGGCGAAGCAGCCGCCGTAACGTCACAAGCATCTTCTTCTGTCGCCCCTGTAAAGGAGACCGCCCCCGCATACCCTACGTCGTCTAAATCGGGCGCAAAGAACTGGGACAAGGTGGTGGTTAACGATCTCGACGACAAGGACGAAATCGAAGGAGACGAGACATCGCACTTTTTCAAGCAGCTATATAGTGGAGCTACGCCTGAGCAACAGCGGGCTATGATGAAGAGTTACTCTGAGAGCGGCGGCACGGTGCTGAGTACCGACTGGAGTAATGTTGGGAACAGGAAAGTGGTACCTGAGCCGCCAGAGGGAATGGAGGCGAAGAAGTACTAGACCTGATAGACGGTTGGGTGCAAAGAATATCTGTAGCTGGTGGAGAGGTGTTAACGACTGTATTATTTCGTGATGTAGCATAGCGTTGGTGTTTGAGAGTTATCAGGGACTTGTTGTCCGAGTATTAGGTCCGTACAGTTCAAAAAGATATAGCAGTTTACTGGTACTACACAATCGCATGTATTATGATGAGGGAGAGGATATGTGAAGTTAATAATATGACTTTGCCTCATAATGTGGTCCCATCCTACTCTATATTAAATGATTGAGTATAGGAGACAAAGGTTTACCCCCACATATATCATTCAACCATTACTAAATATGTTAATACCTCGGATAGTGACTATAACGGGATATAGGTAGGTAGAGAAGCGGGTGGTGCAATTTGTAGAAGAGATGATGATGATGATGACGCTGTTAGTATGTTAATCCCCATCCATCGCTATATCACTACTAATAACACCCCTAACCGTCATCTTGATATAACCTACAATCTACCTTTCTGCGCATTCTTACTTTGTAAATTCAAACTAGACATTTACTACACGTGCTGCGTAACTAGCATCTTCTTCTTCTCTGCCTTACTCTCAACCTCTGTCTCTGCACACACAGACACAGAGACAGTAACCACTTGCTATAATGTAGAAAAAAAAATTCTAGAACGAACATGGCCACGTGTATGTCGTGTGACTCTTAACTGATAAAGACATGACTTCGTAGTACACACTGGGTCCGTTCACACGACAGATCAGAACTGCAGCAAACAGGTGTCCTCTCGCTCGGGCAAAGTTACCTACCTCACTCAGACAGTCAGAGTCAGTCCCGCGAGGAAAAGCTTGGTGCTCGCATGCAAAAAGGACTATTGTGTAGCAAAAGTAAGGGGGGGAGGGGGCGGTTCACGTGGCAAAGTCGTGTTCAGGGCAACATGGGACCAAAAACATAACTTGTCAAGTGCGGCTACGTACGTTAACTCGCAGTTGTTGAAGGTCCCGGCGCGAGTTTGGAATTGGAGAAGAAAACCAAGGGAAGGGTTAATGCCGTTCGGGGGAAGGGGAACCTATCTAACGGCTATTACATTAGCCTGGATTTTTCCCAAGGTGCTCTGACATTGGAGGGTTTTCTTAAACCAAGCGTATCAGAATTCTGTTGGTTTTTAGTTTTGGGTTCATCGGATTTTTTATTTTGGCGTTTGATGTGTCGATGTTGGGAGGCGGGAGGGGGTGGAGTGGATGGAGGTTAACGCGAGCATAAGCCTTGTAAAGGCCGCGCATTTCCAAAAAAAGAATCGATAAGTACAGGCATGGACCCCCTGGGCTAAAAGGGTTGTTAATGCAATCGAGACAATGTGTGTGTGCGTGCGGGTTTTTTTATCGATTGACGCTATTGCTATCGCAGCCGGACGAGCGGCGAGCGAGATCCGCTTTTTTTGCTTCTTTTTTTAGGAGTATAGTACTTATCGTTGGGGAGACAAGATGGTTGCGTGGAGACGGTTGCATAGGGTGCGCATTGCAAGGTCGTGTTCTCTCAACGCAACGATCCGGTGTTACTACGATAATGGATGCCAAGACATGAACTAGCAAGAACAAGAAGCCCGGTGAGTCAATGAATCCAAGCGTATGCGTAATGGTTCACTTGAAGAACACGATTATGTACTCACCTGGCACGAACTTGCCGGACGCCAAAAAGCCAAGCCAGGCACCAAACCCTATCTACGTAGATCACCAACACATCCCGCGTGGCGTCGGGCTTAGCAGCGATAGTGTCTCGGGACTTGTTCTTTTCCATTGTGCACAAAAGCGAGTAGGGATGGAAAAGGAAGCCAGGGCAGGGAGATGATGCGCAGAAGATGATACCTGCATCTCCTTTCCGCCCCTTCTTCCCGTGCCGCATGCGCGCACGTGTGAGGGTGTCGCAACATGAGCGTGGGACGGGTAGGGGGGGGGGGCATGATCGACCCAAGACTACCATTTTTCTCTTGGGTGTCTTTAGCCGTGGATACTGCAAACGTTGAGCGTTGCAGAATGTTGTTTTCATTGGGTCGTGGGCCGGGCGAGAGAGCAAGGCGGGAGAGAGACCATGGCAGAAATGAAATTCAAGGGGGTTGAAAGGGTGTTTGGTGAGGCGAGGAAGGGGAGGGTCTAGGAAACTAGCTGCCGATGAGCACGTGGTGTTGGACTCGATTCAAAAGTGTGCAAGTAGTAGGAGCATTACGAGGTCGTATGAGAGCGTGGTGCGGAGCGGTGTATGGAGGAGAAAGTGAGTATGTAAAAGGGCATGGGGCAGGGGTAAAAAGGAGTTGGGGGTGGATCTAATGGGCAAGGAAGTGGAGGGAGGGGAGGCGGGCTGGTCAGACGAGTGCCGTGTGAGACGGTTGGCAGGAATAGCAGGTTTGGATAGGAAATGACGGTTGTTTTTGGCAGGTGGTGGCAGGTGAGGGGCAAAGGGGAGTTTGATCCAAGGCAAGGCACAAAGGGGCCGACAAGGCCAAATTGGTTTCCCTCGTCATCTCATTCTCTTCACCAGCTGTTGGTGGTAAGTAGATACGAGGAGGAGGAGGAGGAGGAGGAGGAGACGGGTTGTGGGCTTCTGTTTAGACCAGGGGATGACTGTGATGGTGGTGGAGGTGAGGCCGGGGCGGTGAGGCCGAGGGTAGGGCAGAGATGAAGAGTGATAGAAGAGTAGCAGCGGGTGAGGTCTGGCAGTAATCTCGTTGTAGGATTTATCGAGTCTTGGTTGGCTGGGTGGGTGGGTTGCTGGCGAAGGGGGTTCGTATGGGCAGGGCGGGTGCTGACAAGAGAGGATGGAGGGCGCATAAGCGGCGAGAATAGCACCGGCAAATCAGGCAGCACGACGTGGTTTAGCCAGCCGAGGTGGATTGGCTGCGCTACTGCAGGAACAGCGCTTGGCCGGCCCATAGGCTGCATGTCACCGAACTGACATGGCGTCGGCCATGGCGAGGGGCGATGCTATAGCCATGGATAGCGAGCTATGTATTACATCCATCTCCAAGTACACACAGCCAAGAAAACACATCCAAGTAGAAACATTTTTTCTTCTCCCTCCCGCATCTGACCTCGTACGTAAGTAAACAAGAGTAAGATTTGGCCTTGGGCAAAGAGACGCAGCAACCGTGCAGGCCACTAGCAGCAAGGACACCGTGGAGCGTGCCGACACGGCCGTGTGCACAATAGTCGTGGATAGGTATGACGACGACAACGCCGAAGACGACGAAGCAGAGTAGCCTCAAGAGGCCGGGCGAGCAAGTCAGCGCTTGACCGCAGTATTGCCGCGCCAGTAACGTCTTCTTGGGCGTGGTTTGGCGCAATCTCCTGCCCCGCTTTCCCGTGCCAACTGAAGTTGCTGCTCACCGACACGACGGCAGCCCGCTTGCCACCTTGCACCCGCCTACTTTGATACTACTCTACTACGTTTGTACAAATCCATACATACCGGGACATTGTCTGTATACATAGACCACTCACCACCCCCGCCCGGCACCCGCACCCGCACCTCTATCACAGGTGCGACAGGCAGCGCCCCTGCGACGGCCCAATTTGCCCCCAGGATAGCCAAGTCGAGCAATCATGGCGGAGAGCTGGAGACAGCATGACAAGGCTGCCGTTTGGCGGTAGCCGCAGGCCATTGCGATGGACACGCAGTGGAGAGGAGAGGAGATTGCGATAGCTGGCACCGGCGCGCACGGTCTGCTGGGCCACCATGTTAGGTCCCGACGGCGCCAGGCCAATCCTCTGCCCCCAAAAACACTGCCGGTCCGGCTGTATGTACACATTGCGCCACGCTGCCTGCCTGCGGATGGGCTGCGCCGTCATCCCTCTTTGCTAGCCCTCTGGCAAATGACTGGGTGGGCCGACTTGGTTGACCAGCCCGCTTGCCGCATGGTGAAGCAGAAGCCAGAAGCCAGAGGCCAGAGGCCAGAAGCCAGAAAGCACCATGCCACCATCCCCCATCCCCCATCCCCTTCACCATGGCCCCCCTCGCCCCCCTCTGCCCACTACCAAGCATTCGCGGCTCCACCCACGGGCTGCTCACCATGCTTCCATGCTCAACGCCGTTTGGTTGAAGCCGACTGCCAGCCTGCGCCCCCTCGCCGCAATCCATGACATAGATCCCCTTACTGCCATGTTTCATCTTACTATCCTAGGGCTAGCCGCCGGTGCTCACTAGGCCACAGACCAACCACATGCCCGCTTGCGTCCTGTCAGGGACTCCCTTGCCAGCCCGCTAGCCCGAGTTTCATTCTCGCTAACTCAAAGCATTCCTTCATCTCCCCTAAAAGCGTCTTCACTGCACGGCCCCCAGCATCGTAACCGCTTGTCTTCCTTAGCCTCCATTTCCCTCGCTCTTTTTCTATTGCCCTTAGTCGCGTCCATTCCTTCGCTCGTCACTCCTTTGGCTTCTCTCCCCATCCGACGCCCACCACCCTCTCCTCCCCAACACTCGCTACCACTCCTCTTGCTGTCTTCGCGACAGCGCTACACTCATTTTCTTGCGTCTGCAATACTGTTTCCAACAACCGCGCCGGATCAGAAAGCTAAAACCCCGTTGACCATATCCTAATTCATTCACCTTGCTACCCGGGACCGCACTCCGACAAACAATCACGACTACCAAGCAAACCATGAAGTCTGTCGCCTCTCTCTCCGCTGCCGCGGCCATCCTCGCTGGCTCTGCCGATGCCTTCTGGCGCATGCCTTCCCACGGCCGCACTGCTCTTGCTCGTCTTGATCCAATCGTCGACAAGGGTGTCGCCTCTTCCCACGCCCACACAATCCACGGTGGAAACAGTGAGTCCAACCCTACACCGACTCCCTCTCGCGCATGATTTGCTAACATCACTCGACAGACTTTGGTGCCTCAACCACCTACGAGGACCTCCGCAACTCCGAGTGCACCTCTGCCCAGTTCGAGGATGACAAGTCGGCTTACTGGACCCCAACCCTGCACTTCGTCCATGAGAACGGCAAGACTGAGATTGTCCCCCAGGTCGGTGGTATGCTTGCCTACTACCTCCTCCAGGGCGACAATATCAAGGCTTTTCCCAAGGGCTTCATGATGCTTGCTGGTGACCCGCATCAGCGCAACTTCACTCTCCCCGTACCCGACCCCCCAGTCTACGCGTGGACAGACGAGGACAAGACCCAGCGCGCCCTTGCCGCAAAGTCCATTGGCATGAACTGCCTCAACTACGCCAGGGCTCCCGAGGGCTCGCGTTACCGTCACACCTTTCCCAGCAAGGAGTTCCTCGATGCGGAATGCACAGACGGTATCCGTGCCGAGATGCTCTTTCCCTCATGCTGGAATGGAAAGGATCTCGATATCCTTGACCACAAGAGCCACGTTGCCTACCCCAGCATGCTTGACGGTGGCTCATGCCCCGACGGCTTTCCCGTTCGTCTGCCTACCCTCTTCTACGAGACCATCTGGAACACCTACGCCTTCAAGGGCCAGGCTGGTCAATTTGTCTGGTCCAACGGTGACCCTACTGGTATGTTTTTTTTTTCAATTGAGTTTTTTTCTGACCATGAATCGTATCTAACGCAAAACTAGGCTGTGGTTACCACGCTGATTTCATGAACGGATGGGACATTGACACCCTCCAATCTGCCGTTGACACTTGCACCAACCTCTCTGGCCGTACCGAGGACTGCCCCGTCTTTGCCGGTCGTCTTCAGTCTGAGCAGAAGCAAGATTCGTGCAAGGTTGAGAAGCTCCCCAAGTTCCTTGACAGCGATAACTGCGCTGGCCCTGCCAACGGCCTTTGCGGCAACAACCCCATCCAGTACGGACCCGAGTACGCTAAGCCCAACGCTCCCTCTGGTGACAAGCCCGAGGCCAAGCCCACTCTCTCGTCCGCCTCTCTGCCCACCCTGTCGTACGCCCCTGCTCGCTCAATGGGCGCCGGTGGCATCTCCGTCTACAACGTCGCTGACAAGCCCACTCCCGCCGCTGAGTACAACAGCTACCCTGAGATCACCCCCGCCGCCCAGCCCCCCAAGGAGGCCGTCAAGGAGGAGGCCCCCAAGGATGAGAAGGATGACGGCATCGTTAGCACCACCACCTACACCAAGGACGGTGTTGTCTACGTTGTTGCCATCAAGGAGGTCGAGGTCTACGTCACCGACCCTCTCCGCCGCCGCCATGCGCACGCTCACCGTCGCAACATTGGCAAGCACTAAGAAGATTTGGAAATTTCCCTTCTTGGATCTTTTTTTTTCTTTTGTTCTCTTCTTTCTTCTCCTTCCATTTGCCTCTTCCCTCCCATAAATCTCTGACGAAATGTATTCCCCACCCGTTCTTGTTTATTTGCGATTTTTTTCTCCAAAAGGGAAAACACACATGAGAAGAGGGAAAAAAGGAACAAAAAGAGAGAGAGAATTAAAACAAAAAGGGAAAGAAACAAATCTTTTTTAGAAATGGAAATTCTTCTGCTGAAAAAAACTCCATCCGCATGGTGGTGGTCCCCCCCCAGTCCGAACTCCGAACCCCCTTTTTGTTCCGCTGCGACTTTTTTGTCCTGCGTTTACTTTTTTGTTTGCCATTTCACTTCACGACCCTCAACAACAAATAAACACTACAAACAATTTTTTTACTATTCTCTGGGAGAAAGTTTATATATGGGCTTGTTTGATACCTACGTTTTTTCCTTTCTCTTTTCTTCGATTTTTACGACCAAATGACAAGAAATTCTTTTACACTTTTACAATGCATATACATACATACGTACGTGTACTATGTAAACAAAGTCTTATATTTACATAGCTTAGTGATTTTTTTGTTTAATAGAAATATATACATATAGAACTAATCCACCTTGTTCTCTCTTTGAATTTTTCACACTTGCGTGAATGTGTGTGTGGGTTAGGGTTGGGCTAGCTAAGCTAAGCTAAGCTAGCTATGAAAGATGGGGGGGTGGTGGTGGTGGTGGAAACGAAACACCAGACTAGTTTAGCCGTGACGTGGTTGACAGTTACAAGGACTAGGTCTTGGGGGGTTTCGATACACGATGAACCAGTCCGCTAAGGGGGTGGAGCTGTGAAACGAAGAGAAACTTAGTGTGTAAGTAGAGACGGCATTGCAAAGCCTTAGGCATACCAGCCCTGTAATTTGAAAAAAAATAAAATCATCTATACCTCTGTCTACGCGGGAAAGTAGGTGTGTAGAGTAAAGCTAGTGATTCATATTAACGAGTCTAAAGATGTATGAAATCTCTAACTACTTATCCACTTGTATAGTTGGTCCTTTTGTAATCTCACAGACTTGGCTCTTTTTTTTCTTTCTTTCTTCATCTTGCTCGTTCTTTCTCAAGTTGTTTCATGGATAGAAATTGTTTCTCGGCGGGTGTTGCTTGGCTGCGCTAGTGTAAGCTACCCTCGTGACGGGTTAATTTATTTGATGTTGGAATGTTGGAATGGGTCGGTTGGTTGGTTTACCCCGCTGTTTGTATGTTTTGGGTTTATTAGGGTCGCGATGGTGGGTTGGTTGGGTAGTTAATGTGTTATTCGAATTAGTGTATGGATCCATGGGGAATAAGAGGGTGAGTGATTGATTTGCTTGATAGAGAGGGTAGTGGGGGTGGACTTGGCGGGTGTGACGGGTAGAGTGTTTGAGGAATGGTATGGAGGGGGATAGTAGTGAGGTAGATGTCATTTGGTTTTGGAGTTATGGGTGGTGATGGTGATGTGGGCGTGGGTTGGATAAGACAAGGGAGTTCCGTTAAGTGTCAAGTGTTTGATGGGCGTAGGGTAAGACGTTGAGGAAACTTGCTTCTTGTGTTTCTTGTACTTTTTGTAGAAGAGATGTGTGAATGGAAACATAAGGCTGGTGTTTGAATGTCTTGCTCTTGTTGCTTTCTGTAGCACGTTGCATTGCACATCCCTGTATGCACTACAAGCACAGCCATCTCCGTCAAATATGTATCAGTGGTAACTACTAGTAACCATTAAACAGATACCTACAACACTACTCTACGCACATTTGTAGCATATCCTCCTTATCGCATCATTCTTGCCATGTCATTGTCCAAATCGACGAAAAACTACAAGCAGAGCAACAAGACCGACACCATACTCTGCCACTATACAAGAATCCACATCTACGGCATTCAGCAGAACGTGATGGACGGAATGGCTACGTTTTCGATGAAGAAAACGACAACTGCCAACAGCAAACCATCCGTGGATCAAAGCCCACGAGCTCAATAGTAAGATGTGCTTGGGTGTCACAATCAAGCGTCTTGGAATCGAAGGAGCACAAGACACAAGTCCCATGATGCATATGTGTAAGCAACATGAATTTCGTCCATGATACAGATTCTTTGTCGACATGCATCTTCTACCCTACCTTCAGATTGAGGCATGAGACCTCAAACGACATGTTTTTGAGGGAAACTTATACAACTGCAAAAAGGCACAATCAAAGGTGCACCGACGTCTTTGCTCAAAACGCGTCATACCAGGTCTGCACACATACGCAATTACATGCGAGGTGTGCATTACCAACAGACAAAAACAAGGGTGGCTTGCATCATCCCTAGCAAAACGCCGTCCCGTAGTGCAGCAGCGCCATGTGCATGCATGCAGGCATAGGCAGGGCGGCCATGACTCCCGTTCCCAGCAAATGTGGGATTATGTCATGGGTTGGACGGGCGTGTCCGTTGTCGAGGCAGAAGCGAGCAAAACGATGTCATACAGAAGGGAGAGGGCATTGTGGAGGCTGTTGCGGGGCGGGTAACTGGCTTGATGACGAGCTGCAGGTGAGTGTAATGGGCGTCAGATGTGGACATGGTTGCTGTCGATCGTTTTCAATAGCCGTCTGTTTGCAGACGAGATTTCCCTTTGCACAGTTTAGCTATACAGACGGTGGTAAGCAGTATGACATCACGCCCGAGAAAATGGTGGTCAGAGTTTTGATCAACAAAGTCTCGCCTTGCCGGCGGCAACCGTATTCGACTCGAATTACCACAACAGTGTAGCTTTTGCAGCTGCGAGGGCGAAAGGGTATTGCGTCGGTTGGGAAGTGACATGAGCAAAAGTCGAGACGATGGAACAAACACGTCAAGCCGTGCCGATGCTGATGCCGACAGGCTGTGTGTGGATGCCGGACTGACGCAAGCCGCGCTTGAGAAGATGTCTAGCTCTTATGGGTGATGGCGGTCAGGCCACGAGCAGCATCATAGTCCACAAATATCACAGACATGTGCACCCCTTGCAGCATATCAACCGAGCAGTAGCGCGCGGGACGGCAGGTTGGTTGACGGGGTGAGTGCAAGTGCACTTTCCCGAGCGGGAAGGGGGAAGGGGGAGGGGGAGAGGGTGTTGGGGCCAGATGGGTCGTCACTGCTGAAGGCGGGTTGGTATGACGTGCCTGTGGCACGAGCGGTAAAGTGTGGCGGTAGCCGAGTTGCACTGGGAATAGAGGCGAGACTCTGTGGGACTTTGCGATGAAACAGAAGATGGGAAAGAGAGAGGGTGGTAATGGGAAAGGTGGAATTGACGATAGGGGTGTGCGTGGATGTGGTCTAGACGTTGGGTAGCGGCATCGAGGATTTGCAAAGGGATCGGTGTTTGTTGGCCTTTGACATGTTTGTTGCGTACAAGCCTGGTCCGGAGTAGAGCATGCGCCACAACTCTTCTGCCACGTTCACTGAGGCTTGACTGAGCTTGTTGTCGGTATTCCTAGGTATGTAGGTACAGTTGGGTAGAGGTTGTGGTTGCATGAAGAGTAGGTGTATGCAAGAGGTGATGGCTACCAAGCCGGCTATCATGGATCAGACGCAGGGATCGTCTCGGTGATGACCAGAGAAGAGCGTGTAGCACGGAGATAGGCTACAGGATGCACAGGGCTCGGGGTATGGTGGTCAGCGTCGTGGTTGTGGTTCCATTACTTCATCATGGGGGTGCCTGCGTCGCTGGTAAACGGCGTTCGGAGTGGTGGATGAATGGGTACTGTAGAGCGGCTGGATAGGGGAATAACGGAGTGGAAGCTGAAGAGGAGCAAAACAAACAACGGGACAAACGTCAGAAGTGACGATATGCCGCCCACGAACATGCAGCGAGTGCGGCAACAGTGGGGAGGAGGGTATGAACGAACGCAACGGCTGTGCGGCCGCCCGAGACCCTGCATCTTCAGGGTGGCGCTAGACCCGCTTATACATAGCCGTGCAGGCATTGCAGCCAATCTGTTGTGGGAGGTCGAGGAGAAATGACGTGGGTGGGCACATACGAGGGACTGCGACTGTCAAAGGTGGATGCCTTTTCCGCTTTCCTGGGTCCTTTTGCGCGAGATTTGGTTTCGAGGCTGCAGAACACATGTCGGGTCTGACGTCGATGGAGGGCCTCTCGTGGAGCAGAGAGGAGGGACGGTGGGCCAGAGGATGGATTTGCCGCCCCAGACGCTGCGTCATTGGCCACACAGGCACACAGGCACACACCCTCTCTCTGTGTTGTAGAGTAAGCAGAAAGAGAGTACACGCCGTCTTTGCAATTGTGCTTTTTTACTTTGTCGGCCCTAGCATAGGGTGGCCAGGCAACAAGAAACAAGCCTAGTTATTTACTGCGCAAGTAGTCGAAGCGAGGGCGCGGCCTGGCATGGCGGCCTACTGCTCGGCGGGTCAGAGTTCCGGAGCAGCAAAGCAAAACAACAGTCGGGTGTCGACACCAGTCAGTAGACGCGGTCGGGCGCTGGCGGGCTGGGAATGGCCAGGCTTTGGCAGGCTCGAGTCCCTGTCGTCGCCTCTAATGCAAGCCAGACCCCTAAACTCCCTCCTCTCAGCGCCGCCTCTCCACGAGCCCGTCATTGGCGACATCATCACCAACGGCCTGATCCCGACACCGCCAGTCCGCGGCAAGCAAGGATGCCGGGATCGGAGGTCTCTCATTGGCTCTCTTAGCCGGCTAGCGCGCAACAAGCAGGACCCTGTAGATCTGTTCCCCTCCAGCACCCCGGCCTGGCGCAATGCTGAGGGTGGATCTCTGTGCTGAGCCGATAGTCATGGGCAGATCTATTGCCATGCGTGGCCATGATGGACTATCTCGTCCCGTCCGCCCTACTTTGCTCCCTGTGCGTGCGTGCGTTTGGGAGATACGAGCACTTAGTACATATATAGTTTGCACCCCGCTTGCTTGCTACTCCCCTCATCGTCACCATCCATCTGCACATCTCCAACCACTACTACTCTCACCATACATCTGCGCTCTGTCTTCCGTCCTTGACACTTCACCATCTCCAACCATCTCAACAATGTCCGCCATCACCGAGACCCGCCAGTCCGTCTACGTCTCTGACGGCTTCTCTGAGCCCATGGGCGCTCAACACAACTTTGCCAACAACTTCGACCTCAACGACCCAGAGCGTGCCATGAGCGAATACCAAAGGTATGTCTCTCCATCCCTCACCTGGCCCATCAACTCCCACTAACTCGCCCCAGAATCATGCACGAGCACACCAAGCGCCAGCTCAGCACCGCAACCGACTCTGCCCGCCGACGAAGCGGAAGCTCCAACGAATCCGGAAGCTCCACCAGCTCGTAGTCTGCCTCACACTCGTCCTTTTACCATACTTTCCACCTCGGCGTTCGAAACGCAATTTTTTCTATAGCTATGCATGGACCAGGGTCACAAATTTCTATCCACTTCATGAGGACGGTTGGCGTTCTTTTTTTTTTGCTTTACACTCGGCTTTTGCCAGTGGCATTACGGTTCGGTGTTGGATCGACTTAGCGGATACCTTGTCTAAATGAACCAAATTCAGCGTCTCCTTTGTAAGAGACTACTTTGTCTGCCATCTTCTCCGCATTTTGACTAGTGTCCAATCATGTTGCCGTGTCTTCCAAATTGCATTTCAGGCCACTCGTGCACGCAATATACGACGTGGCAAACAAAATCCTCAGGACCCAGTGTAAATTTGCATGCAGGCTTACCACGTAGAGTCGTGTACGCGTTGAAGTGTGCGTTGTGCGTGTGTCGAGCCAACATGTTCATAGAAATTGCCATGTGACTTTTTCCGGCCACCGGTTCCAAGCCACTGCATGCAGGCGCCCCCCTATGGTTGCATCAATTACCCATGTAAAAATTGCCATGTTGTTGAAAATCGGCTGCAGGGTCTTGATTTCCGCATGACCACGGCACCACGGGCAAGTTGGGCTTGCAGCTGCGGCAAGCAAAGTGCCCAAGCGGATACGCTGAGTGCCAACCATGCCAGCCAGGGTCCACTAGCCAGACCCTGTTTCCAAATGCACTAGTATCTTGCAGTAGGATCTCAAAAACCTGATAATCCCGCTAGAAACACCGTTAAACCGCCGTCGCCGCCCGGGGTATGGCTGGCACTTGGGCAATGCCTACAGGCAGGCTCACCAGCAACCTGCCGTCCTGGGTTGGGTTGGGGATTTGCATGGCAAACACGTGGAAACGGTGGAGATGGCGTGCTTTTGGAGGCGTAATGGAGGGGGCGTGTATCCAGGCACCTCTTGAGGGGATCCGGTATGCAGACACAACACGTATACCTCTATTACACCGTGCTTAGCCTTTACTAGCTAAACACTATTATTGGCTTGGACTGCGCGGCAGTAGGTATGCTAGCTGGCCTGCACACACCGGACATGAGAGCGTTTTCAGCAACGCCTTTTCTTGTAGTGTACCAGGTATGTCAACAAGGCTATCGCGCTTCATTCTTGACAACTCGTCATGCCGAAATTATCGCCGGCCCCGACACTTCCGACTCCAACGTTTTTGACTCCCGTCTGCGTGGTCCTGGACGAGAACCTGTTCTTCCACCCCGGCTATCGGCTCTGGCTCGGTCTATATTCGACCCGGCTTTCCTCAACACCGCACTGCAGTCTTGTCAACGCAGTTTTGCCCAACGGATACCCAAAGCATTAACCCCCCAGGCCTGTTGTTGTTGCTGATGCATGCAATCTTCCCCGCACATGTCCAACCCCTCGGTCATGCAAGATTGTCCGGGTTGATCCGCCCACAACCGAAGCATTGCGTCTTCCGCATCATGGAGCCCTCCTCACAGACATGTCAAAAATGCTTTTAAATCAAAAATTCAACCTTACCGGTATTGAATCCGTGATACTGGAATGAGTAAGGCACAAAAGTACCTCCACCCGCTCTCCACCGAACTGCAACCTTCAGAAGCGCATCACTCGTCCACGCGCCAAGCAGCAGCAATGTGATTGGTCGGATATACACGCGTTCCCCACTAGTGACATCGTCGACATGCGTCAATCCCGAGCATTCATCAACAACTGCCAGGTACCCTTCAATCATTCTCGCAGCCTCTTCCTTTCATCCTGAGAGCTCTTCCTCGACCGTTTCATCGTGCACGCGTCGTCTCTCGTTTTTCCCGTGTCGCTACCATCATGCGTTCCTCGTTCGCTCTTACCGCCAGTCTGGCGGCGCTTTGCAGCGCGGCACCCTATGGACCGCAGACTCCGCTCAAGAATATCTTGGAAAATACCGACAAGAGTGAGAAGTACAAATACCCTACCGATTTCACAAGAAACATTCTGCCCAAGCCCTTCCACAGCCACAATGACTACTGGCGCGATGTTCCATTCTACTCCGGATTGAGTGTCGGCGCCATCTCGACCGAGGCTGATGTCTGGCTTATCAACGGTACGCTATATGTAAGTTTTGTGCTACTCTGTGCGGTATCCTCTTTCGATTGAGCACCCAGACTAATAGCCTAAAGGTTGGTCATGAGCCTGCTGCTCTCAGCGACAAGCGCACTCTTGAGTCGCTCTATATCAACCCAATTCTTGACACTCTGCATCGCCAGAACCCAAGCACACCTTTTGTCCAGCCAGGCGAGCAGAATGGTGTGTTTGACACGTCTAGTGGCCAGACATTGTACTTCTTCATCGACTTGAAGACTTCTGCCGACGTGACCTGGCCAGCCGTTCTTAAGGCCTTGGAACCTCTACGAAGTGGAGACTGGCTCACCACCTACGACGGCAAGACACTTCGCAGAAACCCCGTCACAGTCGTTGGAACTGGAAACACTCAGCTTTCGGATGTTCTTGCAGCATCCCCTCGCGATGTGTTTTTCGATGCACCACTTGCAAACCTCCAGGATGCAAAGTACAAGGATTTGACTGAGAACGAATCACCAATTGCGTCTACCAACTTTGCAGCATCGTTTGGCGATGTGCGCAAGCGCGAAATGAACGAGACGCAGCTGGAGACTTTGAGGAGCCAACTCGATATGGCTCATGGAAAGGGCATCAAGGCCAGGTACTGGAACCAGCCTAATTACCCCGTTGGTACGAGAAATGCTGTCTGGAGGACTCTTTGGGATGAGGGCGTTGATTTGTTGAACGTTGATGATCTGGAGGGTGCAGCTGTATTCTGGGAGGGTGACAACTAAATAACGCCCATGTGTCTTTTGAAGCCGTGTATGCGGGCCCAAAAAAAGTAAACGTAATTCGCCGACAAAGTATGTAATCGATATGAAGACCATGTAATGAATTATCATGCCAATAATGCCGTTGTTTGCCCGCGTGAACATGTCTCGCTTAGGTGTGCGGCTCTTCCGGTTCCTGCAGAAGCTCATCCCTGCAAACCCCAGATTACGTACTCGCCCGAGATTTTCCCAATGCCAGTCATCCAGACGGACCAAACTGTGCTTCTAGACTTCATCTCGTGCTCTCTTTCATCATCAATTCATTGCTAGGCCAACATCGCCAACCGTCTACCTGGGACATCTCAAAACCTATAGGCTTACCTGACTGGGTGTTGCAGCCACTTTGACGCGCTATAGTCGCTTTTTCTGAAGCTTGCGCGATATTTGCGCCACAAGCTTTGTACACAGGCAAAAGGTCGCACGGGGATCTTTACGCGACTTCTTACCGAATTTGTGTTACCGAGACAGTACACGACTTAACCATTTGGCTCAGGAAGAGCGTGTTGAGTTGTTGAGAACTGAAAAGAGCTTGGAATCAGCTGGCATACGTCATAGCAAACATGTTTCCTCCAACTCAAGGGTTGCGCCTGGACATTGATGCCATTAGCCAGATTTTTGGATCAATCAGCATTGCTTGTTGGATAGGTACGTACTATTGTTCTTTTGTGTCGCAGGAACCCTGTGTATCCAGACGTGCATCACGTCGCCGTTGTACACACATTTGATGAACCTCGGCTAATGCGTGTGACAGTCGTCTTTTCGCCGCAAATCATTGAAAACTGGAAGAGGAGCTCTGCAGAAGGACTATCAGTCGTATTCATCGTAATATGGCTTCTCGGCGACTTCTTCAACATCATAGGAGCCGTGTTGCAAGGGGTGTTGCCCACCATGATTATCCTGGCTGTGTACTACACACTCGCAGATATTGTCTTGCTCCTCCAGTGTTTCTGGTACAAGGGCTTCACGCTGCGCGACGACTTTAAGAAGCCCACGTCTGATTCTGATGAAGATAGCATAACCAGCGAGCAGTCTCCGCTCCTTGGAGAGCGTAGACCGCACTCAAACGGATCTCCTTATAACAACCAACACGGCAATGGTATCGAGGTCCAGCGGCCCAGGATCTCAGACTATGAAAGACGCGGATCAGGAAACTCGCAGAGCTCATTCCGCGAACGCTATCTTTCCATCGACGGCACTCATCTCTCGCCCGTCACTCCGCTCCTCGACGACCCCACGTCCGGCCGCAGCACCAGCGCCATTGCAACCAGCCCCCCACCCCAACAATCCAACCTCCAAATGATCATCTTTAACGCAGGAACCGTAATCCTCGTCTGCGCCGCCGGCGTTTTCGGTTGGTACCTCAGCGCACGCAACTCAACCGTCCCCAGAGACTCCGATCCCCCAGCCGACTCAACCCTGCACTTTAACCTCTGGGGCCAAATCTCCGGCTACGTGTGTGCTGCGCTGTATCTCGGTTCTCGCGTGCCTCAGCTCCTGCTCAACTACCGCCGCAAGTCCACCGAAGGGATTAGCATGCTCTTCTTCCTCTTTGCTTGCCTTGGAAACCTCACTTATGTCCTTAGCATTCTGGTGTACAAGCCAAAGTGCGGAGGTGGCGTCTGTCATGACGGTGAGGGCCGTGCAGAGTATGGAAAGTATATCGCGGTGAATATGAGTTGGTTGCTAGGAAGTTTCGGGACGCTGTTGCTTGATGCGGGTGTTTTTGTGCAGTATTTCATGTATAGGACTGATGATGAGGAGAGTAGTGATGAGGAGTATTAACGTTTTGGGCATCTTGTGGTGGGAGATTTTTTTTTCATATTTCAAAAAAAAAAAGGTGTTAGGTTTGTTCATGGCCATGTACGAGATTTGAATGCGTATGTAAATGAAAGAATTTGTATGGTATGTGTAGTATTGGGAAGAGAGAAAAAGTTCGCAATTCATGTTTTAAAAAAAAATCTGACTTGAAATTTGCTAGGCACCAAGCTAAAGAAAGGAGGAGTTAATTGATATTAGATTCTGATATCTCTGTCAGATATAATACTATTTCGCTCAATCCGTAGCAAACTCAATCTAACCAAGTCCCAAAACAACCATTATGTACACTCACTACCCCAACCAACCAAAAAAAAACCCTCCCCACTCAATAACGCTCAAAAAAAGAGGCCGAAAAAGTCGCTACCATCCCATGATTCACTCCTCCCCAACAGTCCCATACCCCTTCTCCTCACCCCCCAACCCCTTCCTCTTCCCCTTCCCCTTCCCCTTCCCTCCCTCCCTCATCCTCCTCACCTCCTCCTCCACCCCCTCCTCAACCTCTTTCTTCAGCCCCTTGTAAAACCCCAACTTAAACAGCGCCTCATACCACACAAAAAGTGGCGCTAAGAACAGCGCTTGGACCAGATTATCCAGCAGCGCGGGTTTCCTGCCCTCATATTTGCCGTGGCCCACAAACTGTAGGATCCAGCTGACGATGTGCACGGCGGCGGCAATGGAGTTGACTTTTGTTTTGGAAAAGCGCGTTGTGAGGTAGTTTGAGGCGGAGGCGAGGGAGAGGACGAGCGGGGTTATGGTGGCTCCGGCGAGGTTGGGGGAGAGGAGGAGATACAGGGTTGAGTAGGTTGCTGCGGCGAGGGTGCCGAGGTTGGGGGGGAGGTGGAGGCGGGTTAGGAGGGCGGGGGTGCGGATGGGGAGGGTGGGGGTGTTGGTGCCCTGTTGGTGGCTTGTTAGGTACTTTTGTGTGTGTGTGTGTGTGTGTGTGTGTTTATTGCAAAAGAGTTATGGGGGAACGTACGAAGAGGAAGCCTGTGCCGAGGAGGATAGGGACGCAGGCCATGTGGATGGCGACGTTTGTGGGGTCGCGGTGGTATGCGCCGTACTGTTTTGCTACTTGTCAGCGCAAAGCTATTGTTTACTGTCTGGACATGGGGTAGAACGTACGAAGACGAGGTTCTTTTTCAAGTCGAAAATCGCCATTTTGGGATGTATGTAATTGCCTTTTCTTTATCGCTGAAGTTTTCCAAAGGGTATGGAGAGAAAGAGTGGAAAATGTCACTGGGCGCGCAAACACGCGACAGGGCTGAGACACTTTATATATATAGTAGATGCTGAGCAGGAGTTACAATGCGGGGCACAAAGAGCGGATCCGGGGGGGGCGCCCAGAAAGCCAAGGTAAGTTAAATAATGTGCAAATCAGTCAAGCTGAAAGTGAGACAAGAGGGTGTGCAGGATCTAGCTCCTTCTATATACGCCTCCCCTGGGCTGGATGTAACGGCTGCATGGCCTCAGTTACCGGTCACCCCATCGCAAGTACTGCCAAACACGGGGGTTGCTTGCGGCAGCCGAATGAGCGTTGACATGCGCGGGGCGAGGCGGATGTGGGGGAAACGGTTGTGATTGGATGGCGGTGCAAGTGCCGAGGTATTAACTCAATTGGGTGTTGTTATCGTAGTCTTACCACCGTTTGATGTGTGGTCGCGCTTGTGTCTGCCGTTGCTGCATGTCAGATTGACAGGTATTAGAAGAGTTAGTGGAATGATCTAGTAATGTGGTGGTCTTTTTGCGGAGCCATTATGACGCAAGGCGAGGGCTTGGCTGTGCGGGTAGTCTGGGGATATCTGTTGTTGACTACAGTCACTAGCAAATTCGGCTTCCGCCTGCGCACTCGCGCATTTATAGTAAGCCACAGTGCCAAGTTATACGAGCGCCATCATAGCTTACTGCTTTTATTCCTGCACTCTCTAGCGCCAATGCATCTTACGTGATCTAGTAGGGACGGCTAGGAGATAACCCCTCAGGGAATAGTGATTGAACGAAAATCAAAGGTATTACCTATACCATATATTTTAAGGCAGCGCTACTATAGATAATATTAATAGCATCTCCACGGCAAGTAATTTCGCCCAATGTAGCGCTGGCAGGGACCGTTTTTCTTAACGTTAGTTAGAATTATCTCAAAGCTAGAATATGATTTTAAGCCAAGATTATTCAAAGTAGAGATATATTTGATTAAGTCCCATCGTTAAGTACATGTAGAAATTAGGCCGAGGGGTAGTAGGCGGGGAAGAGGGATGATAGGATAAATTATTTAGTGCTCGATCTCAGCAGCTTAACCACGGCTTTGTGCTGTCCCCTGATTGCCCACAGGAGCGGCGTGGAACCATGTTTGTCCTTTGAGTTGACGTCAACCTTGCCCGTCTCAAGCAGCAGCTTAACCACGGCCTCGTGCCCTCCTCTAGCTGCCCACCAAAGCGGAGTCTCGCCAGAATCGTCTTTTAGGTCGACCTCGACCCTGCCTGTCTCGAGCAGCAGCTTGACTATAGCCTCGTGCCCTTCCTCGGCTGCCCACCAGAGCGGCGTATGACCAAGCTTATCCTTAGAGTCGACATCAACCTTGCCTGTCTCGAGAAGTAGCTTAACTACGGCTTTGTACCCTTTCCTGGCTGCGTTAAAGAGTGGCGTCCAATCAAAAATGTTCTTGAAGTTAACGTCAACCTTGCCTGTTTCGAGAAGTAGCTTGACTACGGCTTCGTGTCCTCCATTAGCTGCTAACCAGAGCGGCGTCTCATCAAGATTATTTTTTACGTCGACCTGAACTTTGCCCGTTTTGAGGATTAGTTTGATTATAGCCTCGTGCCCTCCTCTAGCTGCCCACAGGAGTAGGTTCTCACCAAATTTGTTCCTCGAGCCAATCTCAACTTTGCCTGTCTCGAGCAGCAGCTTGACCACGATCGCATGCCCTCCCTCGGCTGCTGACCAGAGCGGAGTCTGGCCAGAATCGTCTTTCAGGTCGACCTCGACCTTGCCTGTCTCGAGCAGCAGCTTCACTACAGCCTCGTGCCCTCCTCTAGCTGCCCACCAAAGTGGAGTCCGGCCAGAATCGTCTTTCAAGTTGACCTCAACCTTGCCTGTCTCGAGCAGCAGTTTGACCACGGCCTCGTGCCCTC